CCTCTATTAAGAAAGGCACAGGAATAGAAATAGGAGTTACTGCTCTAGACTATAAACAGCAGGCTAAAGAAATCTACTCTACTAAATATAATATTAGCAAAGGCTAGATTGTATACAATGGAGAGCTAGAAGGCATAACAAGAGCCTTTGAGTTTGCAGCTTCTATAGCTATAGCAACACAAGAGATCCAAGTCTTTGCATACAACTAGGCAGCTATTCTAAGGCTAAAGACTCCTTCTAATAACCCTAAACAAGCTTAGCAAATCTGCTGCACAAACGCAGCAAAAGCAATTTACAGCAAAGGCGCAACAATTAGCCTACACTAGACCGTAGGACACCTAGATATTACAGGAAACAAAAAAGCAGACGCCTTAGCAAAATAGGCTACAAAACAGCAACCAGTATCTAATACTACAAGCCTTGCAATAACAGGTATTAGGATTAAAGCTATTGCAAGACAAGAGTAGCAACAGAAACTCCAAGCCTACTCCACAAAAGCAAAGCTTAGAAATCCTAGCACCTATGCAACAAGATTCTTGCTAAAACTAACAAGCAAGATAACACTGCTAAAAAACACTAGAAGAGAAATTACAAGCGCATACTACTAGCTAAAGCTAGGACATAGATATAACAAAGCATATCTACACAATATACAAAAAACAGAAAGCTCTAAATGCAGCTGTAGATATACACAAACACCTTAACACCTACTACTTAGCTATAGAAACTATAGAGAAGTAAGAAAGAAAATAAAGAGTAGCCTACAGGAGACAAGACTTACAATGTCCCTTCTCCTAGACACAAACAGGGGAATCTAAGCTACACTAGCTTTTATTCAAGAAACTAAAGTAGGCACGCGCAAGTAGTACCTACAGCAAACAATAGACAACTAATTTCCTTTATTTATAACTAGAGCACAGGCTCTCACTATACGTTCACGAACCTATATATACTATTCCCTTATACAGAAAAAACTTGTAAATTACTAGAGCAGCCTCACTGCTCTCGTCCTATATAGTCTTAGACTCACACAGGACGTTATACTAATCAATCAATCAATCAATCAATCAATCAATCAATCAATCAATCAATCAATCAAGCGTGAACAAGGGCTAGATAACTGCTAGGTCCTTGCAGGCAGCCTGCTGGCGATTGTATAGGCGGGTCCACCACTTCTAGAGCTCTAGTGTACGCTTTACTAAGTTGTTAACCTAGTTCTTGCTAACAGGCTTTGCGCTGTGCTCTCTTAGCAGTTTATCTGCCATATCTTGTACGTCTGCCTTTAAGGAGGGTAGGCCACGTGCAGACTCCTCAAGTATACGTAGTATAACTGCCTCCTTTTTTAGCTTTGTAAGGCGCTTTGTATTTAGCTTGCAGTTGTGTCAAGAGCGTGTTCTGTCGTGTTAGCGTTAGATTGTTTGTTTAGGCACTTTGTAGACTTTCTTAGCGCGTTAGATACTTTGAATTTAGTTTCTTAAGATATTAGATATAGCAAGCTGTACATCAGCTTTGGTATAGAGTGTAGGAGCTTGTTGTGGTTGAGACATTACGCGCTGTTGTTGCGCCGGCGTTCTGGCAGCGAGAGTGCGGCGCTCGCTTGTGAAACACGTTATATATAGCTGTAGATATACACAAACACCTTAACACCTACTGCTTAGCTGTAGAAACTACAGAGAAGCAAGAAAGAAATTAAAAAATAGCCTACAGGAGACAAGACTCATAATGCCTCTTCTCCTAGACATAAACAGGGGACCTAAAGCTATACTAGCTTTTATTTAAGAGACTAGAGTAGGCATATATAAGTAGTACCTACAGTAGACAATACATAACTAATTTCCTTTATTTATAACTAGAGCATATGCTCTTACTATATATTAAAGAATCTATATATACTATTCCCTTACAAAGAATAACTTGTAAATTACTAGAGCAGCCTAACTGCTCTTGTCCTGCATAGTCTTAGACTCACACATGACGTTAAACCAATCAATCAATCAATTAATTAAGACACTAAGGAATATGCATAAGTTTAGATCTTAGTTAAAGCTAGTAAGAAATTCATTTACTTGATCACTAGTTACAGCCTACGTTGGGTTGTCTTAGCTTGTTAAAGGTAGAGAACTTGTACTGAAGACTGTACATTCACGCGTTTGTTGGGCGCAGAAGCAACGACGCCTCGTGTCTTCATCTGCCCATTAACTGTCACATGGTCAATTTGGTATCCAAAGATGCTTCCTATATATTGAAGAGCGCAACCTCTCGCCCACGTACCAATTAGCGGCATGTCTCGCATTGGGAGTATGCCAATCAGGGGTGCTATGGGAGGCCACTCGCGATGTTCGCCTTGGACCTGATCCTAGCGTCCTCAAACTCACCATCCTTACGTTGACTTCGGCGTCATCTTGCATGCGTGACCAACATTCTACGCGTAACCCCTATCCCCTTGACATGACATGACGAAGTGCTTCGATTGACAGGCTACTATACCGAGGCCTGCCAGTTCAACGAACATGGCAACTTTGCAAAGCGATGTCCAGTCTGCAACGGACTTCGAATACAATCGCCTTTCCGAGTCGACTTCCAAACGCCTGCTAAAGGTGCGACCGGTATAGGCGAGCGACCTGATACAGGTCCAGGTTTGGCAAGGTTCAAAGGCTGTGCCTTACCGCTGCCTCTCACATACCTGGGGAGCGCCCACACCCATGCATCTGATACAAGTCAATGGCCACATAATGCGCGTTGGTACAAACTTACATAACGTTCTTGTTGTTGCTGCGGAGCGCTTCGCAAACACGTCGTTTTAGATAGATGCTATGTGCATCAACCAACGTGACAACACCGGGAATGCTGTGCAAGTTCAACAAATGGAATTGACGTTCAATGAAGCAACAGAAGTTCTTATCTGGCTAAGCAATGACAAAGGCATAGAGCAGCTACTCAACTGCACGCCCCAGCCCACGGACTGGAGACATAAGGTTCGCGGCTACATGCCAGTGGAAAGACTGCCAAAGCATTTACTGGCACCTACAGTAAGACCCAAAGATCACCCTCACTGTAAATGAGGATGGATTGTTCAGGAAATTGCTTTGGCGCGCCCCCTGCGACTTCTATGTGGTTCATGAGAGACTACGCTGAGCAAGCTTGGAACATGTACCATGAAAGGTGGCTTGATCGATGCTATATCAGTCACAGCACTTCGCGGGAACACCTGGTCATTTGCATCGTATTGCGAACTCCCGTGTAAGATCGCTGACAATCTTATTCGCTGCATATTTAGACAGTTATCCACATCGCGAACCAGAGACCTTTTCTACTTCTTCCTCGGTGACCCTGGAATTGTGTCGAAAAAGCCACCGCTCGATTTTTGGAAGATCATCGCACCCTCGACGATGTGTAAAGACCCGCGAGATCGAATATACAGTATGGTAGCAATCATTGATGATGCATATGGATTCGAGGTGAACCACAACGAGAGCGTGGTCGAGACCTTCTGAAGATCCGCCGAGTATTTATCTGCCTGGTCTAACTTCTATCGCCTGAGTTTGCTGTGGGAACTCTTTGCTATCAACCGTCAGATATTTCTTACAGCTCTGGGGGAAAACGGCGGGAGCGGGGCTACGCTGCTCCATCGCCATACGCTCTTGCAAGCTGGACACTCGCCTGGGCCATCGGGTTCTGGACAAATTCTGTGAGCTCAAGACCTACATCAGTCATGACATATAAATAAGAGGCTGCGGCGAAAGCGACCTCTTGCTTTGTTCCTTCGTCGGGGAGCAAGCAAAGAACAGCGTTCACTCCGGCGTGAACCACATCAGGCTCAGTCAGGCCGACGGTGTTTACCCCAGCTTTGACATCTGATCATACATGCCGTTGGAAAACGAGTGGTTTACATTGTCTCGAGACTCGGAGCTGTAATCTGCCGGAGAGGGAGTGCCTGCAAGAGTCTTTGACTTGGAAGGAAGTACTAAGGATTGCGGCGCTTAGAGGGGGTGCACATCAGGACTAGCAGACAAGCCGCGCTTCAGTCTCAAGACTAACCAGCGCTACGTACTCCCTTTCGCGTACTGGCAGGGGCGAAATTGGTTGAGTTGAGCTTTGCAACGAAGGCAACTTCCAGACTTTGTTCTGAGCTCGGCGGCCATAGACTTTACTGCGCCGTTCACATTGGAGAATCTCTCGTGTTCGAAAAAGCCTGCTTCTCAGAACCTCATGTAGAATGCTTGCATGATTTCCATACTGGCTAGGCAAAACTCGAACGATTCGCCATCTCACAGTGCAATCAAGCCCCAGAGTGTGTGAGCAACCCAAGTTGCGTTGGTAACAGTGCCTTGCTCACGCTGTAGTATACAATATCCAGCAACACTTATATAAGGCTACAGGCGCCCTGTCTGCTGCTTTTCATTAAGTTGGGCATTTCCGCGTCGAATGCCTCTTAGAAGTCATCCTTGCAACCCTTCCTCCCCACCCCCCTTTCCCCACCACCCTGCAACTTCCTCATCACCCCCCTCTTCTCCGTCATCAATCCCGCCATCAAATCTTTGACCTCATCGAACTGCTCTTCAAATTCCACAATCGCCTTGCCCAGGCTCTTCCCTTCCTTGAGGACATCCTTCAGCTCAAGCTTGCCCATATCTTCGATCTTGACACTAGTCAACGGCTCCATGACAGCTGCAAGATGCGTCAGGTAAGTTGACAGAGTGGCACCGCGACGGATCAAGGCGTTGACGTGCCCCGGGAGGTCTGTGAATGGCAGAGGGTGAAATACGCGGGTCTCGGTGATTCGAGGGCCGAGTGGGGGAGCGAGAGCTAGGGCGCGCATGTCTTCGTAGGAGGAATAGGGGGTGACTTCGTTTTCGTAGCAGGAGGTGTATGATGTGTTCCAGCTGTTGCGCTGGCGACGTTGGATACGGGGGCGGCGAGGGCCAAAGAAGGGGTCGAAAGGGCCGTCGAACATTGCATTTGTGTAAATGTGTGTGGTCGGTGATGATGGTTAGCAGTTGTGTGGGAAAGAGGGAGGTGAGGACTGGAGGCGTGGTTCATATATCGAACGAAGGCAAAGATTGCATGTCGAAGTTGTAGGCTTGCTGGCTTGAGCGCGAGTTGCGATTAGTGTGTCAAACGCATAGATAGATAATGATTGTTGGTCGAGGCTGTAAGACCAAGACATGTCTTGCTCACGTCGCTTTTATTTATGATTGTCTTGTTTTAGCGCACAAACACAGCAGTGCTCAGCCTGGCTCGAGTGTTCTCGAATGGCTTTTAGCTGAGGCTAGGCAGCAATCGTTCAGATGAATCGACTCGTGGCTAATAGGCCACGCGCGGTTCACGGTTTTAGTTTATCTTCATTGATGTGCGTACTCCACTATTTCATCGTCAGCATCACCTCCTCTCATATGCCGGTATATTGCCCATCTCAATCCCCACGCCCGCTCCCATGCCCTCGCCGATCTTCTCCATGCCAAAAGTATCTTTCTCTGGTGGTGGGCTCCTCATTTCCTTCTCCCTACCCAATCCACTAACTCCCTCCGGCCCATCGCCCCAGACCAGGTATTGAATAGCAAGCCCCGCATCACAAGTAGCTTGAAAGAGACCACACGCCTTGAATGCCCACGGCACCTCCCCCTTGGCGCTCGCAAAGAAGAACCACATCTTGAACGTATCACCGACAACCCAGTTCGCAATCACGCTCGGCCGGAACCCCTTGCATCCTCGGCGTTGCCAATTCGCGAGCAACTGTGGCAGTGGCAGCGTCGCCTCGATGGCCAGCGCGACTGCGCCCAGCAGTTCTGTGTACGGTACGAACAAGCTCGTAGGGCTCAGCAGCAAGTGCAGGACCAGCAGGACGCCGGTGAAGTAGGTGATGAAGCTCCAGTAGGGGCGCGTACTGCGCCACTGCCAGAAGTCATAGGGTCTTTTGCGTGGCGCGGGCGCGAGGGCGAGCTGGAAGGGCTGATGCGTGTGTGCGGGTGGTGCGCGGTTCGTGAGTGCGACGTGCAGGAGCAGAATTTGGACGAAGATGGTAAGAAGTGCCTGGATGAGCAGAGAGGTGCTGAAGTGTGCGCCAAACCAGTAGAAGATCCTACAACACGATTGTCAGCCATTGGTTTCAAAAGAGTAATGGAGGCAGGAATACTTCAGGATACTAGCAACCAGCATGATCAGCGGTATGTCCAGCGAGAAGCCGGCGCTGCTGCGCGTCTTGTGGATTGAGTAGATTTGGTCTGCATAGCTGGTGATTGGGCTGGTCGCGATGAACACAGGGGCGATGTGCTTGACTATGGCGTTGAGACCGAACATGGTGTGTATGGTGGGACGTAAAATGTGCGGACTTCCGGCGTGTTTTGACGCGCAGACGCCGCGGGAGTGCCGGAATGGGCTGATTGGAGAGGCGGAGGAGTTGACCAACACGGGCAGCAAGACTGGCTCAGGGAGGCTGAGGCGATGGATAAGGTTTACTGCGGTTGTCTGCTTGTACTGACACGCGACACGGATGCAAGACGACTTGTCGACACGCAAAAAGGAGAGTCTGCGTGCGCGTCATTGCGCAATCTACCGGTAACATTCCGTCCACCTAAGCATGGGTGGCACGTCACAGTAGCGGCCGCTGAGCTTAACCTTAACTGCTTATCTCCGTTCCTGTTTCGACCCCACATGGTCACGACTCACCGTCGTTCTTTATATATGGACCTGGCATCTCTCTACGCCTACCAGCACCGCAAGCGTTCTCCGCCTACCTCGCACCGCCTCCACGTCTCAAGAACCAGCACAATGTCACACACAGCCTTCTTCTACGGCACCCTCATGGCCCCACCCGTCCTGCACCGCGTAATTTGGGGGAGTCAAACACCACCCACATCCGCGCATGCCTCGTTACTCTCTATCCGCCCTGCAATTTTGCATGCATATCAGCGCCGCCGCGTCAAAGGCGCAGACTACCCCGCTGTCGTAGCCTCGACCCAGAACAGCGAGGTCCGCGGGACGCTGGTCGAGGGCCTGACGGATGGAGACATCTGGCGCCTCGACATCTTTGAGGGCAGCGAGTACGAGCGTCAATATGTCAAAGTGAAGGTTTTGGAGAGTAAAGGGCGTGCTGGCGATACTGAACATAAAGACGTAGAGGGTGAGGAAGTGAGCGCGCAGACGTACATCTGGATAGCAGGGAAGCAGAGGCTGGAGATGGAGGAGTGGGACTTTGATCACTTTGTCAAGGATAAGATGAGCCGTTGGGTCGGTAGGGAGGCTGCAGATGAGGGGTTTCGGGGTAGGGCTTCAATCAACGGTAGGCTCGGTATGGGCGTGAGGGATGTTTACTGAAGGTGTATAGATGTTGACGATGCTGTTGCGGAGCTTGGAGACCCTACGGGTGGACGGGGTGTCAACGGGGATATTTCGAGACAGCTCGAAAGTGGTGGCAAGGCCAAGGAGGTGCTCGGCAGCGCTGTCTGAGACCTTGCACTGTTATCTGCAAGCTTGCGGCAGCCTCGCCCTGCGGCAAATTCATGTCACGCATCTGGTGATGTTAACAAATCACAAGCCTACCTCGACAGTCCAAGGTCCGTACGCAGCCACGCGGAGCTGTCTCGACTTGATTGCTCTCACAGCTCACCATGATCGCGTCACCAGGTCCGAGCAACGAAGACGAGCAACTCAAACGTCTGCTCCGGGGTCTATCTTCTCTGTACGAGTCTCTAAACGACTATTTCTACTCGCCCAATTGACATCTGCCAGATCTGTGGCGCAAAGCTCAGTACATGCACGCCATCCTTGACGCATCTCTCGACGATCATCGTGTATCTCCTCATGCTGCGTTAGCCCTGCTTGTGGCTAATACAGATATCCTGGATCCTCTTTTGCATTACAAGACGAGACAGGTATGAGAGGACTGAAGTGTATATCGAAGGCAGTCCTACCGCAACAGGCGAACGACCCACAGAAGTTGCTGTCTCGACGTGGCATCAAGCTGTGTCAGAAGGAGATCAAGAGGTATGTGGCATAGGTATTTACGGACGATAAGAGCAAAGGGTGGAAGTATATGGACCCGGATCTGTGTACGAAAGTGCAAGACACGACACGAGATGTAATGGAAATGGGTATGCGTAGAAAGTATGTCATGTATCATATGTTGTGATATATGTAGCTGATCAGCCAGACTGCGCGTCTCGCTACTAAGCTCTAACACACCCTTTGCTGCCGAAAGCAAAAATGTTAGGTCAAGTCCTTTATATGCACCGTGTGATGTGGCGCCATATAGCTTTACAGATGTAATTCATCGTCAACCTTAGACATCGTTGGTCAAGTGTATCTCCGACGAGGGTCACTAGTCTAGCATCACAATATCCGGCCTTGGACTGTTCCTTCGTTGCTCCGGTGATTCAGGGATTGCCTCGTCATCGTTGTCGACTTCCATAGGTTGCGCCTCTTGCGTCTCGGGAATCTCTTGCGACGCGTGTGAAGACTGAGAATAGACGGCTTGTACGTCAACCACATCTTCCATGGGGTCATCTGGCTCGTACGGCCGATGATTGTCAAGACGAGCCAGTCGTTCGCCCTCATCATTTAGTGACTTTAGAAGTGCACGCATAAGATCGGGATCTTCCTCCCAGTCGCAGCGATCGACATCTCGTATGGAGTCATCGCGGTTGGCAACCTGCTTACGGACTCCTCGGTGGTGTGTTGGAGAGCTTTGCGTTTGATGCTTGACAAGCCGAGCTGGTGCCTGGACGGATTCCTGAGAGCGATTGAGCTCGATGACCTCAGGCTGAGGCTTTCTTGCAGATTGTGATTGCTTCTTGATAGGCGCGTCCAGATCCTGTGAGTCGTCCAGCGTGATAGGGTCATCGTGACTACCTGATCGCATGCGCGCTTGCAGCGGACTGAAGGCTGTCGAACGTTCGCGCGATGGCCTGGCTGGCGAGTTTGCTTGTGTTTTCTTCGCCGCAGGCATGTGAAGCTTTCCGTTATCTTTACTGCGCAAGCCATGATTCTGCAGTGGGCTTGTCAAGTCAGCTGGCTGTTGTCTGGGAGATTGCGTTCGATCACTCGTGCCATCATACGGTTCATAAGTTGAAAGATCGATAAGCGGTGATTTGGCGGGAACACGGACCTCTGGACCCTTTGTTCGTTGGGGAGACGACTGTCTTGGCCGTCCTGGTGTCTTTGAGGATAAGTCTTGTGCAGTTGAGGGTGCACAAGCTATATCATCTGTTTGTACAGCCCCAGTGATGGGCGAAAAAACTCTTTCGGATTGTGCTTCAGGTCCGAATGGAGACCCTAGGCGCGGTGTGTCTGTGGGAGGTGTGGATGCCTTGACTGTAGTGGCTGTTGGGGTCGGCGCCGGATCGGCGACTGAAGGCGCTGTAGCTGGACTTTGGGTCTTCGAGGCATCCGGTTGCTTCAGAGCAGGGCTCATCACCTTGGAGCCAATGTTCGTGGGCGATACTGGAGCATCTTTTCCATTTGCAGTCTGCTTGGCCTTGTGTGCCTCCTTTCGCGCGCCGTTCCGCGCATCGTTCAGTCGAAAGATAAGTTTGCGAATATCGTCACGCATCTTCGAGGGGTCCATATCTGGCCAGTCTGACTGTGCAGACATCTGCTGTTGTAAAAGCTTCGTTGTGAAATCGTCTGGGTTTGCGAAGAACTTCCGGAGATATCCCAGGACGTAAAGACCACAGTCAGAGAAGTTGGTCTGCATCGGAATCTGCGAGAGTTTTGGATAGTGGCCCTTATTGTCGATCTCGGCTATGATGCCGCGTTTATCAACGCCTTCGGCCTCCAGCCACTGTCGCAGAGCACGTGTCGCATTGCTGTGCTTTCCGCCGAGCGAGTCGAGAATCATAATGACTGGCTTTTCAGGATCCTTCTTCTGGAGTTGTGAGCTATTCCTGGCCTTCTTCTTTGAGGCTTGCTTTGCCTGACTCGAAGCCAAAATCGATGAGATTTCTGTAGCTTCCAGTGGCAAACGCGCTGCCAAGTTGCCCTTGTCCTCGACATGTTTCCTATTAGGCCCGTCTTGCTCAACAATGAGCTGTGTGTTTTGATCAGCAGCCGGTGTATCGCGATCGATGAGGTCGAGCTTCTTCTCCTCTTCGAACAAATTGACGTCATCATTATCAACGATCTCTGTGTCAAGGGCATTGCCAGGCGAAGTTGTCTCTGCGGTAGTGTTGCTCTGACCCGTAACATCAGTATCGTTTTTCGAGATCAATGGGATGTCAGATGCGTGAAGACTAGCCGCTTCTTGATCCAGATCCTGTGAGTCCTCTTGCGAAGTCCCGTGTTCTTTTTTCCGTCCGATTTTGCCAACGTTACAAATGATTCCCAAGTACCAGTGAAGACTATCCGCATCAGTATGTGTTCGAAGCCAGGTTCTTGCAACTCACTTCTCGTTGATCGGAACTACGAGGTAGTCATAGCTGAAAACATCGTCTCGCTTTGTCCATGACTTGACGTCATCATAGTTGATGCGTTCTCGCCCTTTCACCTTTCTTGTAAGTGTCGGGTAGAAGTATGTGTTAAAGAAATACACGCTGTCGATCGACACTTTGAGCTCCTGGTACAAATAGCTGGAACGTTGTGAGTGACATTTCGCAATCTGCCATGTCGAACTTACAGCATGTAGAAGGTCATAATACTGTCGTTGAGGAATTGACCTTCGTCCAGCTTTCCAAGGTCGTCAAACTCGATAGTGGCCTTTCGCCGTTTGAGAAAACCGCTGTCAATGCTGTAATTAAGTGGCCTGATACGGTCAGACAACCACATAGTCAGCATCAGATCCGACTTACTTGGCCCATGGCTTCCCCAGACCATGGATTTCCGAGTATCTTTCAGGCTCGATCTCTTCGTGGGTTTTGTGGTTGTGGATTGGCGCTGTTGCCCGCGTTGATCGAACCGAGCGCAAGGGTGCTTGTGTAGCTTTTGGGGACTGCCTTAACCTGTCCAAGGTCGATGTGGTCGCTCTCTTACCATCAGGTGCGCTGTCTTTGAGCGCACCGAGGATTGATGGTTTGAAACCTGCTAGAGGGCGATCATGCGCAGAGCCTGTATGTATCTCCTCGCTTATCATCGGTGACTTGCCTATCTTGTCGTTCCACTGGGGAGGCTTCTCGAACAAATCGACCATAAATTTGCTAGTGATGTGAGCGAATGCCAAAATTGACAGCAGCGAGTCTTACTCTGTATTCACTACATTCTGCAGACACTCCGGATGCACGTATGTTTTTCTAAAGCCTGGAAACTCGAGATTATTGGCAAATTGCAGGTCGAACCAGTAACGATTACCGTTCGTGGCTGGGCCCAGAAGACGTATTCGATTAATGTTGTCGGATTCGGATCGGTTGATACGATTCAAGTCGATGATCTCGTGAGTCTTTACGTTTCCTTCACTGTCACAAGTGGTGATGCGGAAGAGCTTCGGGTCAGTCTTGGTTTGTCTGAGTTGGACACCCTCAGAGTTAACGACGGAGTCATATGTGCGAGCGTATCTGAGCGGGTAGGACTTGCCCAACGCTTCGCTTGTGTGTTGAGAAGTACCCTTCGGCCTTGCCTTGGATAGTGACTGTCTCCGCCTTTGTCTTGATGGACTAGGAGTTGCCTGCGCTAGCTCATCCTCACTACTATCGACAGGGTCGTGCTCGACTTTCGATACGTGTTCAGCATGTCGATGTTCTCGCAAGTTTTTGTGTAACCCATTTGAGCCTCCCTGTTCTCGAGCTATTCGGTCATACTGTTCTATAGTGGACTCCTTGGCGGTGGACTCATTGATGCGCATCTTGGGATTCTCGGGTCTGAAGTAATTCGATGTCAGTCCAGTGGAACGCTGCGCTTTGTTCCGAGGCGGCTCCTGTCTCAAGCCTTGCTCGTGGCTCTGGAGTATCAAGGCCGTTGCAGTCTCGGGAGACTTCAAGGTATCGTCATGGATGGTAAAAGGCTGTTCTTGAGGCTGACTCCCGGCACCAAGAAAGGGGAAGTCGGCAGACAACTCGTTGCGATGCTCGCTGGGGCCCTTTGACCCTGGCCTCCGTGGCCGTGGCTTCTTGTTACGTCTCGGATCAAGCATTTTATTGGTGTTTTCAAACTCACTAGTAGGCTGCGACGCGGGTCTCGGCCCGGTGCCAGCATGCTTGCTTATTGTGCTGCGGGGGCTTCCAGAAGATACGACCGAGCACGCTCGCGGCACCGATGCCTGACAAGGATGTGCCACCTCATCCTCGTCATCGGTTATCTCGACGAAACTTGCGGGAGCCGTACTAGGTTTTTCGGTCTTTCTGCGTTTGACGGAAGGCATGTACAAGTCCGTCGAATGGTGGTTCGATTGCCGTTGGCGGTACTCTTCACTCCCGGGAAACAGCGCTTCGCGACTGGGCACTTTGGCAGTATTGCGACTGAGTTTGCCGTATGTTCTGCCCTTTCCGTAAGCTGGGTTGGTGCCGACGGCGATAGAGTTGTCCTGGAGAGTGTTGATCGGCTGAACGCCCATTCCTGCCCCTGGCTGCGAAAAATTAGCCCAGCTCCCCGCCACGCGCGCACACCGACGCCGTACCTTGCCCATTGAGTGCGCTCCGCTGCGGAACCCCAGCGCAGGATTTGGGACCGGTGTGGCTTCTGAGTTCCTGGTCACGTATCAGTCCCTGCTCTTGACCTCCCCTCAATCTGCGCAGCGGCCTCGCGAGGGGTATGCTCTTTGACTGACCGTCTCTTGCTATGACGTGGTAGTCGCTCGAGACGCTTTCGTGAGGTTTCTGGCAGATTGTCGTCTTGATATGGGCCGCGCGTGAGGTCTATTGAGGCGGTGGTTCGGTGTGGGAAGGCGTCCGGTGAGGCCCAAGGGAGCGTCGCAGGCAGTGGTGGTGGTGAGGCTGCATGACTGAGCTTGGTAGACATGGCGTCAGCGTTGTGCGCGGGAGGTTGCAGAATGCCTTCAGTCTCAGAGGACAGCTTGTGCGCTGTTTGGAGCTGGCTTGTGGGGCTGCCTACGTCGTTTGCTTCTTCGGCAGCGTCGCCGTTCTGCGAGCCAAACATGCGTTTAATGCCCTGGATGCCGCCTCTAATGCCCTTCACTATGTCCATGAGTAGCTCCCGAAGATGTGCAAGTGGGATGCATGGTCCTGCGCGGGGCGGGCAAGCGAAGGTGCGCGGGGTGCGCGACGTTGTCGAGTGTCGCAGGTGAGATGCGGATGGATGTTCAGCGCAGGCAAACGTCAGAGGCAGGCCTGTCTCGTTGCCGTGCGGAGATAGTGGGCTTAAGGGTCTGCGCTAGGCGTTCACATCTTCACTTGTTAATACTGACGATACGGCACATCTTCGTGGTAATTCTCGTAGAATTTCATTGTCGTGTTGACTTTCAGTCCTTCGTGGTCTTGCTAAGGATCCTCATCTGCGCGCGTCATCATTTGCTGGACATGCTGCGCCAGTGCGCATCAACAGCTATGTAGAATACAGTATGCAGAAGTCAGAAGAATAAAAGCAATGCCACCCGCTACACGGAGCCCAGTGATACTCCTCCGTACTTGTTGCGCCGTGCTGTTCGCCTGAAAGCTATGCAAGCTCTATCTGAGGAGGTATTCAGAAAGGTTATGAACGCTCAGTGACTGAGCTCTGTAGTCGTCTCTTCACTGCTGCAGTAGCCAGCACATGCGCTGGGGCGACACACAGCTACGAAACGACATGCCTTGCACGGTGCTCGAAGATCGCCTGGTTCGACTGGAGGAACGTCCAGTGAGATGCACAGAGCTGAAACATCTTCGATGTCCGGGCAGCCATACGGATAGGCCTGTCATCCAGCCGAGCGGGACTCTCGGCTAAGGCTGAGGTAGACCACCTTCGAGATTTACCTCGCAGGGAGCTGCCTTGGAAGTGCCACTTCGTTAAGCACAGTAGTGGCCACGATATCGACACTACAGCGGTCGCGAGATGGGAAGACGACTACAATACTCGAAACATGAACTACAATCCAGCTGTGGATTTCTCCCGCTGTGTCTCGTCCGACGATGTTACTCGACGTTTCTCGTGGTTGAGCTGGTTCTTTTCCTGACGTGCCTGGTCAATGGCAGTGCGTTGCGCGATGCTGTCGTCGTGACTACGCCAGATGATCTGGGTGCCTTCAGGGAGGGTTAGCACACGCTTTACCGTCTCCCTGATCTTGATGTTGCGGCCACCGTCGTTCTTCGTCCAGATGCTGAAGACGTCCTCGCCGCTTCGAACACTGAGGACGAAGCCGCAAACTTCCTCGCCGGCCTCGTTGAACTGGTTACCAATACATGCCATGAGCAATTCTTCCCAGTAGCGGTCTGCGACTCCCTTTTTCAGGCGCATGATCCATTTGCCGCCACGCTTGTTCTCCTCGTCTTCCCACACAGGCCTAATGCCTTCCTTGAAGACGTGGTAGTCAGAGACTGTGGGCAGCGATGAAGGCCGCTTGAGGTGCACAAACACCTTCCAGAAATCCTGGGCGGTGCTTATTCTACAAAGAGGCTTCATCGACTTCTCGTAGTCGTTGTTCTTGGGTGTGGGCGGGCGGAACCAGACGACCCACGAGTACTTCAGCGGCCACGGTGCATTAGGGTCGAGCGGCTCTGAGGGCATTGTGCTCTCTTGTGGCGCAGATGTGAAAGTCGGCTCCTTGCGTGCGCTGTTTAAGACCTTGCTCGGCGCCTTTCTATCGGCGGGTGTTATTGGTGCCGCTGCGGGTACTGCAGCCGTCTTGAAGTCGAAGGCAGTGCCCGGCGTCTTTGGCGCCTTGTTGGCAGACCCAAAAGACGCAAAGGCACCCGACCCAAGCCCAAACGCAGAAGAGCCCCCGGTGGTCGGCGACGCGAGCGCGCCGGGAGTTAATGGCGAAATGGCGTTGAAGGGATTGCGGCCGCCGTGCGACGACGTGGCGCCGAAGCCTTTTGCAGAGGCGGAGAATGTGCGCGTCGGAGCGTGGTCGTTCGGGTGTTCGGACTGCGAGGTGGACAGAGAGAGCTTGCTGGTGCTGCAGGGTGCCGTTAGACGAGTGACGAAGGACGTGCGGGGACACGAGGGCGAGGGCGGACATACTTGGAGCGGCGGGTCCAGAGGTTCTCCCTGTTATCCATTGGTACTAGGTCACGGCGGGGAGTGATTATGGGGAGGCACTCTGTCTGGAGCTTGGTGGGACGAATGAGCGAACAAGCAGCAAAGCAGAGCTAGTCGAGCTTCAACAGCCAATGTGCGTCGGTGGTGCGCGGGGATGTGCAGTGTCTACAGGTGTGGCTGGCGGGGTTCAGATATATACGGCGTGTGTGAAGTGGAACAGTCCTGGTCTATGAGAGCAGCTGCGGGTGTGGCGGGCGGTGGCGGGCGGTCTGGTGGAGTGCAATGCGGTGATATTGGTGTCTTCAGGAAAACGCTTGAGAAGGTTGGTTGGTTGGCTCCTGCTCACAAGTGGCCCGCGGTTGCCAGCGTTGCGCGAAACGTCCGTGCGTTTCTGCGACTACAAATTTCTCGCGTTCACAGGCCGCGCCATCTCTTCCACACGGCCTTCTACTCAAATCTGCGACAGCTCGAAATCTCCAACTCAGCTGCCGCCTCCGAAGCTGGCCCAGAATGAGCCATTCCTCTTTTAAAACCATCATCACGAGGGCCACCTTTGTGGCTTCCATGATGCGGTGATGACCTACAAGCAGGGACATTTCTTTGTCACGCGCCTCCGCGTTTGAGGCAGCAAGCTTCCCAGTCGATGTATGTTGTCTTCTGGTCTTTGCAGTACTGTGATTTTGGTGATGAAGGTCTTTGGACCACTTCTGGTAGTCTGAGTCTCAGCCAGAGCGACATATGCAACGACTGCATTCTCTTGGTTGCGCCTGAAGCTTCAAGGCAATGTCTGAAGAATCGTTTGCAGTGTCTACACCGTGTGCACATATCACAACACAGGCTGACCGCGCTCGAAGATCTTGTTAGCGCAAAGGTTGTGCACGACGCTCTGAACCTTCAAATTGTCTTTGGGTCTACTGTACTCACTTTTACCTCGAGCTTCCATCCATGGATGGCTAAAATATTCGTGCGCGGCCGGAACCGCTCCTTATGACTGCCCGAAAATGCGGATTTATGTGCCTGCAGAGTGCATGTCGACGATTGTGATGAGACTATTTCTGGGCCATCGGGTAGCTATTTACGCTGTCATTGGAGGATCTAGCATGCAAGCCGCGCTCTATTACAACGACACCTGAGGTCTGAGACATGGGGAGCCCAAAGTGTGTGCACTTGCATCTGCCTCAGCCACTCCAGCTCCTGTCATTGGCTCGGTGAAGAGACATCGCCGCTAGGCCTCGTCGCCGCCTACGAGGCAGATACAGATGATCAGATAGCTGGCGGCGCAGACGCGGATAGCTGAGTGCGAGGTATGCTCATAAAAGCTGCTGCATGTCCAGTGTCGTGCATGCTTGCAGCGGCTAATTTTTTGTACCTGCCGTCCGAGACGTCATCGTACGTGCCCTCACCCAGCGACGCTAGCACTGCCCATGCCCCACCAGCTCACCTTCAATTGAGTACCGATCTTCGTCGCTCCTACTCACAACACACCAACTACCTACATCGTCGCACTGTCCATATACACCGCAAATCACGCTCCACGGGGACCGACGATCTCACGTGCATCACTCACCATATCGCCCCACCCTGGAGGCATTCACGTGCAAGCAAACAGTCAAAACACCCAGCCGCCACGCACTGCCCCCGCAATCATGACCGCACAATCGCCGTTGCACTCGCCCTCATCGCACCTTGAGAGGCCAAGAGGTGAGCTCATGGAGCACCTCCAACTTCGACCATCACCAGACTGACGCTTCACAGGCATCTTGAAGAACTCTAGCTCGTATCGTTCCAGCTCGCAGAGCTCCCCGCCCGCCGATGCTGCGATCAGCCCCATCTCCGAACGCCCCCCACTTGGACGCGAGAAGTCGGAGAAGGAGATCGTCCTCGAGAACACTTTGCACAATGCTGGCCAAGGCCACCGCCGCTCGTCATCGAATCCTCGTGGCTCGATTTCGCGACGTCAGTCGGGTGCCAGCCCCCACCCTGACGAGATCAGCCCCCAGCTCAAGTGGGACGAGGCGAACCTGTACATCAACGAGCAGAATCGCGACAGCACGATGAAGATCGATGAGCCAAAGACGCCCTACGCCAAGCAGTACGACCCCGCCGAGGATGAGGAGGAGGTCGAGATGCTCGACGCTAGCGAACTGAACGTTGATGAGTTGGACACGAAGCCGAAGCGCAAGGGCAAAGTGGAAGATATTCCTGAATTCGACCTTGGAGAGCCGGAGTTGCGAGCACGACGCGAATCCCAGACGCCGGAAAGCGAGAGACGCGTCTTGGTCGATCCTGAGGAGGACAAGGGCTACCACGGCGAGCTGCCTCCCAACGCTACACAGGAGGAGAAGGAGAAGCACCGCAAATTTGAGGAACTGCGAAAGAAGCACTACGAGATGAGGAATGTCAAGGATCTGCTTGGGTATGTGGAACGTCTTGACGACCTCGAACCATGTTAATGTTTCCTCAGTCACGCCGAGGACGATGACGATGATGAGGCGCCGCCAACTATGCCCAACGGTCAGCGCCCTTCGTAGCGGCAGCGATTTTTCTTTCAATGAGATGGTACACGACGCGACGAACGAACGAACGAACATTTCTTTTGTGAGAGCTATGGGCGAATTGGCGGCATCATGGTGGAGTTAGCAGGGATCTTCGCACATAAGTTGTTTCTTCCTAGATTGCAATGTCGGCACATTGGAACGATCAATCATGGTTTTTGCATGCTAGCTAGATGAATCTTACGATTGCTTCTCGCGCAACAAGTGATTGGATCGAGATGAATGTGGTGTTGATACTAGACCCAGTCTCCGCGCACAGTGGAGACTTGACGGCACAAGCGATGAATTCATAATAACATCAAGTCAGGTCATGTCTTGACATTGCGAAGATTCTCAATGGCCATTTTCCATGTGCCGATGAATGTTTGTTCTTCGTGTTGGAGCTGCAAGCATACTGATTGAGCCACAATGATTTTATACTTTAAAAGATGCACTCTCGGACGCACGAAGATATCCATGCGTCCACTACGAGATGGGCTCTCTAAGAAATGCGCAGATCGTAGCTGTTGACACGCGGGAGGTAGTCACGTCGTCACATTCCACATGCATGTTGTGAAACAAGGTGGGTCCTTCCCCAGATCGAGACAGCTCCGTGCGGACCCGCGGCTGACGTGCGTCGCCGCAGCACATCAGACCAGCCTCCAACCACACTCTGTATCTTCAACATCCTCGACAGCTAGCAGTAGAATATGACGAAGAACCACCCTTCCCTCCGCAAGGCAGCATCGAACGCGGATCTTTATGCGAACCCTTCACCGCCCCAGCAGCTGCGGCACTCGCACTCGACGCTCGCGCGCTCGCACACGACAGCCGCACTGCCACGGCGAAGTCTAGCCGACTGGGACAAGAGACCCCAGATGGGTGAGAAGGGCCGCGCCCGCCACAGCTACGCCGCACCCTACCCGAACCTGATCGAGGACGACGAAGACTTCCGGCCCAACAGGCAGCAGCAGAGTCCGCCACCCGTCCCGCCCAAGATCCTCGAGGAGGTGCCCGTGCCTGCACCGATCCTCGAGTTTAGAGATGGCGAGTACCGTCTGCCAGCGTGCAAGATCACGTCCAAGCCAGTGCCTTCGCACCCGTGGCTCCCCGCCCAGCTCCCACCGGTCCCCGTACGACGCGAGAAGGTGAAAGCGGACCCCGGGAGGTACACAAAGCCTTTCACCGACTTCATGACCGCCAACCCGACAGTCTTCCACGCCGTCGATGCTGTAGCGAAGGATCTCGAGCAGGACGGATACAACAAGCTGTCTGAGCGCGACGCGTGGGATCTGAAGGCTGGTGGCAAGTACTACGTCGACCGCAACGGGACGTCGCTCATCGCCTTTGCTATTGGAGACAACTACAAGGCAGGCAACGGTGCAGCCATTGTCGCAGGCCACATCGACGCCCTCACCGCCAAGCTCAAGCCGATTTCCAAGCTGCGGAACAAGGCTGGATATCTCCAGCTGGGCGTTGCGCCTTATGCAGGCGCTCTTAACGATACCTGGTGGGACCGTGACCTTGGAATTGGTGGACGTGTGCTGGTCAAGGAACACGGCAAGATCGTCACCAAGCTGGTGAAGCTGGACTGGCCCATTGCAAGGATACCGACGCTGGCACCTCACTTCGGTGCTGCTGCGAACGGCCCATTCAACAGAGAGACTCAGATGGTCCCCATTGTTGGCCTCGACAACAGCGATTTTAATGGGCTGAATGCTTCCACGGGTCGCGCGCTCGAGTGCGAAGGTGAATGGAAAGCCAGTCCACTGGGTGGTGAGGGTGCGTTCGCCGCTACCCAGCCCGAGAGACTCGTCAAGGCCATCTCGTCTGAGCTCGGCATCACAGATTGTAAGTCCCTCGTCCCGCTAATGCAAGTATTGAACTATGCTGACTACCTCCAGATTCCACTATTGTCAACTGGGAGCTTGAGCTCTTTGACGTCCAACCAGCCACTACTGGTGGTCTCGACCGCGAATTCATCTTTGCTGGCCGCATCGACGACAAGCTGTGCTCTTGGGCCGCCATCCAGGCGCTACTCAACTCTGATGCATCCCTAAGTACCTCCTCGCAGATCCGTGTCGTCGCCCTGTTCGATGACGAAGAAGTTGGCTCGTTGCTGCGTCAAGGTGCGCGTGGTAACTTCCTCCCTAGCGTTGTCGAACGCATCGTGGAGGAGTTCGCTGAGTCGAAAGTCAAGAACTCGCTTGCCCGGACCTATGCGAACTCCTTCTTGGTCTCCAGCGACGTTATTCACGCCGTCAACCCCAACTTCCTCAACGCCTACCTCGAGAACCATTCTCCACGGCTCAACATCGGCCCAGCTGTCTCCGCGGACTCCAACGCCCACATGACAACCGATGCTGTTAGTACTGCCATCCTCCAGCGTTGTGTTGACGCCGATGCTGGTACACGCAAACAGGACCCTAAACTGCAGGTTTTCCAGATTCGCAATGACAGCCGGAGCGGAGGTACTGTAGGCCCGATGCTATCGGCCGCTACAGGCATCAGGGCAATCGACTGCGGTATTCCGCAACTCAGTATGCACTCTATCCGTGCAACTACTGGCAGCCAGGACCCTGGCCTTGGCGTTTTTGCGTTCCAGAGCTTTCTTGAGAGGTTTGAGGAGGTAGACAAGGAATTCAAGTAGGCCCTGGATTCCACGCGAGTGAGGAGGACGACAACAGGCAGCGTGAGCGTGCTGGCGAGCAAGTGGGAGGAGATGAGTTTGATGCGTGGACTGCCTCCAGGAGTAGGTTTCTCTATTGACAAAGAGGTGGTATTGTGAGGTCGTAGTTTTGAGCGAGCACGGCAATGACATTGATTTTGACTGTTTGGACACCTCCGGGGTGGTGTGTGCTGGTGGAAATCTCGCGATTGGGAATACGGCGGTTTCCGGCCTCTTGCCCTTGCTGAGCGCGGTTCTAGAAGAGCTATCGAACGTGGTGCTTCTATCTGGGGTCGCTATTCGGAATCTCGAAAGCGCTTTGTATTGTCCGGGTGTGCGATGACAATGAAAGATGCCCCCAACATGTTCATGCCCCGTTGGCCTCGGAGCATTCGGACTCGACGAGATGATGCTCTTCTAAGCTAGCTCCTGGTGTTTGAGAAACTGAACATGTATGCCTCTCGAAGCTGAGACACTGGATCTACATATTCTGTCCTGGACCCTTCCCGAATGCTTCACCTCTAGAATCGACTTTGTTCTACCAAAGTCCAAGAAAAGGCGTTGCTGTTACCCATGGTCTGGCGCTGTGGAGCTATGTATCGAAGGCGATTACAGATTTGCTTGGCTCGTTCGTCTGGCTTTCAAGTTCCAACATTTACTCACCACATGCTGTGCAGTCGATCTCCACCCAGGCATGATATCTCTTCGAAGCAATGTTGGCAGAGTCATACGTCAGCTACCCTCCAGTTGTCAAATTTCACATGCATCTCTTGAGACTCTTCGTGTTCTCCCAGTACCGGTATGTTTCATAGTCATTGTTCAGGTGTGGATGGAAGAACAGTCAAAGTGGTGTGTCTCTCTTCTTGACGAGCACTTACTTCCATATCACTCACGGGCGTCACAACCTTGCGTAGATAAGCGCTAGTTACTAGCCGCATCGTTAGCGCATCTGCTTTGCAGCTGTTGTAGAACGTGAAGTCCGGGATCTCTTTCCTCACGCTCATCCTTCATTAGCCCCTCGTCCCAGTCGCGCCTGTTGGTTGGTGGTTCGCCGGTCTTGATTTCGGAATAGCAAAAACTCACCCCCTCCCCACCAGTGCATCTACACTCACAAAGGAGACTTGCTGCAAGGCTGATCAGCCCAGTTCCAAGAGCTTGGCAGGAAGCTCGTCTATGCAGGCTTTATCACCCATCACTTCGGTCTCTTAGCCTGCTGGAGAAAACAGAGCGGGTTATAAGGCAGCCACCACCGCCCTTCGCAAAGTTGATCCTGAAATTGAACTTTGTCTGTTCACGATGAGATTTCAGTTTTTCACTATAATCCTGCCCTCGATCGTCGCTTCGGTATCGGTTCCAGCATGTCGATGTGTAAGCTTAAATTTTCCAACTCACGTTTTGCCTGCTAACGTGCTCACAGGGTCCAGAAGACGATTTCTGGCCATCAGAGACCGTGTGGAGAAAATTTGACTCACTCCTGGGACACCGACTGATCAAGACGTCACCCCTAGCTGAGTCTTGCTACCCTGGTCCGCAAGAGAATCGTACAAAGTGCGATTATATCAACGCCATCTGGTCCACGCAACCTTTTCACACAACTCAGCCGCTTGGTTTGACTTATCCTTGGAACATTACTTGTCCACCTATTAATTACGCAGCTGGAGAGCAGCCAGTGTCTTGCACACTCGGACCAAACCCGAGATATGCTGTCAGCGCTTTGAATACCCATCACATCAGGTCAACTCTGGCGTTTGCAACTCTATGGAACATTCGTTTGGTCGTCAAAAGCACAGGTCATGATCTTCTTGGCCGCAGCGATGGATACGGAAGTCTTGAGCTCTGGCTACACAACTTCCGCAACGGCATTGAATATCAATCCACGTATGTGGCCACCGACAAGTGCTCGAAGTCCGGGTGGAAGGGCGATGCAGTCAAAATCAATGGTGCCTATCAGTTCACAGATGTTTATGCCGTGGCAAAGAAGAACAACGTCATCGTTGTTGGTGGAGGTGCGCCCTCGGTCGGAGCAGTAGGTGGATGGCATACAGGAGGAGGTAAGTTGAGTGCGTCCAGCCACACAGTGGTACACTCTAACTTTGTCCAGGACACGGGCCCGCAACCCGCAACTATGGCCTGGGCGCTGATCAGATCCTCCAAGCTAGAGTCATGCTAGCCAGCGGGTTGATTGTCACCGCAAGTGCCTGCCAGTACTCGGATCTCTACAAAGCGCTACGCGGGGGAGGTCCTGGCTACGGTGTCATCCTCAGTCTTACGGTCAAGGCTCATCCGAATGTGAAAGCCATTGCTGTTCAGCGTCTTGAAATTACTCCGAAGACGTCCAACTCGTCTGCTGTCTTGGACGCCATGACAGTCATGTTCCAGAGCTTCCCCGACATCAATGATGCCGGTTTCGCTGGTTACGGCTATTGGGCAATCAACGGCTACCAGACGCTATTCGCAAATACTACTGCAGGCTACTACCATGACTTCTGGAACATTGGCAACGACACGGCCACAGCCAAAGCGTCTTTTGCGCCTGTCCGTTCAAGGCTTGACAAGCTTCAAGACATTGTGACCATCAACGAAAGCTACAAGGAATACCCAGATTATTGGTCGATGTACGAGTCCGAGTCAAGCCTGAATGATCCTGTCGGCACCACCCCTGTACTATCCTCCCGCCTCTTCGATCGGGCATCCATCTCCAGCCACCAGAAAGTTCGCGATACTCTTCCAATCATTATCGGCCCACCCGAAGAATTTGGACAAAACACCATTCTGCTTGTCTCTGGCGGCCAGGTCGCCAAAGATGCGGCTGATCCGTATTCTGGCCTCCATCCCGCATGGCGAACATCTCCTTTCGTGAGCATTGTCGGACGCGGCTGGCTGCCAGGATCCAGCGAAGAGATCAAAGCCTACATCAGGAATGACGTAACTAACGTGAAGGGTGCGGCGATGAAGGCACTTGCACCCAACACTGGAGCCTACATGAACGAGGGCGATCGACTGGATCCTGAATGGCAGGAAGCCTTCTACGGCTCTAATTATGCAGCTCATTCGGCAACAAAAAGGAAGTTCGATCCGTTCGACCTGTTCTACTGTCCAACTTGTGTAGGTAGCGAGCGGTGGATTGAGCGTCCGGATGCACCTCTTTGCCGTGCGTCCTAACCTTGGAGATGGAGGTAGCTGCATCCAGCACTCAGTGCGGCGATGATGCTTTTGTTCGCACTCATGAGTTGGTCGGCGGATAGTTCAGTACCCTGCCCGAGTAAAGACAAATACATTCATTCAAGCGGAGTCCCTCGACTACAGCAAAATGCATCGGCCGGGAATCGAACCCGGGGCTAGCCGAAACTGTCCTGTTATGGATGGCAACGGCTAATTTTACCACTAAACCACCGATGCTGACGAAGGTGTCTTGCGTACTTTGATAAAGAAAAGGCGGGTGTCTATTATTATATTAATGAAACAAAATTTAGATTCCTGGAACATCACTGTTCGTGGCTTTTCTCCTATGGGGTAAACGTACCTCACGGGCGAGTGGAACACCGAGCGAGTGGAACACTTTTGCCAAGCCCCCACCAAACCACCCTTTACATACTAATGCCTTCTCAACACCACTATTTAGACGTGTCAAACGAAGCTCAGATACAGCTTGCGCTTCAAGCTCTTCAACAAGACGCGACTCTATCCCTGCGACGCGCTGCTACTATCTACAGGGTTCCTCAAGCTACACTAAGTAGACGACGCGCAGGACAACCTTCACGCGCTGATATTACAGCTAACTCACGGAAGCTGGACAACAATGAGGAGAAGGTGATTGTTGAACATGTTTTTGAGCTAGATGCGCGAGGATTTTCCCCTCGGCTCTCAGATGTGGCTACTATGGCCAATTCCTTGCGCGCTGAGCGTAATCTGGGCCCTGTTGGCGCAAACTGGCCCAGTACGTTTGTTAAGCGACACCTAGAGCTTAAAGTCAAGTTCAATCGCAAGTACGACTACAAGAGAGCTCTCTGTGAAGATCCTGAGGTTCTGCAGGGCTGGTTTAGCCTGGTAGCCAACACCAAAGCCAAGTATGGCATCCAGGATGAAGACACGTACAACTTCGACGAGACAGGCTTCATGATGGGCCAGATCTCCCAAGGAGCAGTTGTTACAGCTTCAGAACGACGAGGTCGGCCAAAGGCAGTCCAGCCAGGCAACCGGGAGTGGGCTACAGCTATAGTAGGCATCAATGCCAAAGGATGGGCCATTCCTGCCTTCCTTATCTTTAAGGCCTACTACCACCTCTCTGCCTGGTACAAAGAAGAGGATCTGCCTCAAGACTGGGTTATTGGAGTCTCTGATAACGGCTGGACTACCAACAAGCTTGGTCTAGACTGGATAAACCACTTTAACAGGCATACAAAGGAGCGTACTGTTGGCACCTACCGTTTGCTCATTATTGATGGTCATGAGAGCCACAACTCTCTTGAATTCCAGCAGTACTGCAAGGATAACAAGATAATTGCTCTCTGTTTGCCTCCCCACTCATCACATCTTACACAGCCTCTTGATGTGGCTTGTTTTGCTGCTTTAAAGAAGGCGTATGGGCGCCAAGCTGAAATACTCATGCGTAACCGGATCAACCACATCACAAAGACAGAGTTCCTACCATGCTTTATACGCGCCTACAATGCTGCAATTATTTCTAGCAACATTCAGGGAGGGTTCCGAGGCGCTGGACTAGTCCCATTTAACCCACAACGGGTTATAAGCAGCCTTGATGTGAAGCTGCGCACGCCATCACCACCACTACCTGTCAACAACGAGCCCTGGCAGTCGCAAACCCCAAGCAATACCTTAGAATTTGACTCACAATCTACTCTGATTCAAGACAAGTTCAAGAAATACCAGGGTAGCTCACCAAATTCCACAACAAGCGCGCTTGAGCATTACATCAAGGGTGCAGCAATAGTCACGCACAAGCTGGTTTTGGCGCAACAGGAGATTGCCGAGCTTCGAGCAGCAAATGAGGCAGCTACACAACAGAAATCACACAAAAGAAAGCGAGTTCAGGCAGAAGAGACCCTAACAGTTAAGGAGGGCCAGCGATTGACAGCTCTAACAGAGTTTGGGGCGCGTGGTGATGGTAAGAAGGCAAAGAAGCAGGTGCGCGCTGATGGGGCTGAGCCGACCCAAAGGCGCTGTGGACGGTGTAGTAAGACTGGACATAACGCGCGAACGTGCAAGACTGATATAGAAGTAGTCTCTGAGTAATATTACAGCTTGTTTTGCCTTGTGCAGCGCCGTTTTGTGGTGTTTTGGGTCATAATAGGGTGGGCTTTGGTGGGGGCTTGGCAAAAGTGTTCCACTCGCTCGGTGTTCCACTCGCCCGTGAGGTACGTTAATCATCCCTCCAAATCTTAGATGGAAATCCCCTGTGGAGCCGGTGGGTCTCGGCCTCGCTTGAAGATGCCTCGATACACTTCAATCGAGCTTCGATCCAAAGCCAATCCAAAGCTCCCCGCCTCATCGCAATCTTACGTCGGCCCGGACGCAAGATCATTAGCTCCATGGTGTGCACCTTTGTAATGATCGTTGTTGTATACACCTTCCTATCATGGGCCTCACAAGCCTACCTGCCTGTACGGGTTAGAGATCGTTGCGCAAGGTGGGGTACCTTCAAGTACCGCACCACAGCATCATTATTGTCTGCCCAAACTTTCGCCTCGAGCTCCTGTAGACAAAACCAATTAAGTCTGGAGGTGCAATGAGAAATTACAGTGTCACCCTAGCGCTCAGCGCGTTGCTCCCGACACTCGCCTTCTCGCTGCCATCTAAACCCTCTTTGACATGGGACATAAAACCGACAAATAGCACCCGACAATTCCGCGGTCTTTCTCCAATCTCGCGTGACGTAGCCTGGATTTCAGGCACAAACAGCACCGTCCTCCTCACCACCAACGGCGGCAGATCATGGACCAACGCATCACCCTCCCTCTTCCCAGAAAACTCCACGCTCTTCCAATTTCGCGACATCGAAGCTTTCTCTCCTGAATCCGCCGTTGTCTTGTCCATCGGCGAAGGAAATGCAAGCCGGATCTACAAGACCATTGACAGTGGAAAGACCTGGAGACCAACATTTATCAACACCGAACCAGCTGCGTTCTACGACTGCATGGCGTTCGAGAACAAAAAGCACGGCCTTGCGGTGAGCGATCCGGTGGATGGCAAGTTCAGACTCATTGAAACGTGGGATGGCGGCGCGACGTGGAGGATTGTCGATCCTGCCGGGATTCCTGCTGCACTAACTGGCGAGTTCGGATTCGCGGCGAGTGGGACGTGTATTGAGGCTGCTGCAGGGCGATGGTACGTCGCGAGCGGAGGTGTTGATCCGGGACGTATTTATTGGAGCAAAGACGGGCAAAAGTGGAAGTTTAGCAATAGCTCGATTGCGGGCGGCGCAGCGGCTGGCGTTTTCTCGGTGAGATTCAGGGACGAGGAGAATGGCATCGCTGTCGGTGGGAATTATGAGAAGCCTGCAGGCAACGTCGATAATGCCGCGTGGTCGAGCGACGGCGGTAAGACATGGCACAAGGCAGAGAGCTTTCCTGGGGGGTACAGGTCTGGTGTATCCTGGGTACCTGGGCGACATCGTACCGCAGTGGCAGTAGGGACGTCTGGCTCAGATATAACGTACGATGGTGGCAGGACTTGGCAGACAATTGGGAATGGGACGTTCGATGCCGTTGAATGCGTGAGCAAGGACGCATGCTGGGCGTCCGGGTCAGGCGGTCGAGTGGCGCGTTTGAAGCTCTAGACATTGTAACGGCATTAAGGAGTACGTATTGCAAAGAAGTATTGCCACCAGGATGCATAGAGTCCTATGGGTCTCGTTTTCGGTTCAAATATACATTAAACAGTATTTACATATGGAAGTGAGTAAGTGCACCTCTCCTTCATTCGCAGGCTTGCGCGTTCTTCGCAACCTTTGTAACTGTCGACCATACAGTAGTCGTGCTCTTCGCCACTACAGTCTTGGTGCCCGGAGGCGCAGTTACTGTATCCGTAGCGACACCGCCACCCTGTGTGATGGTCTGGTACACGGTGTGGGTGCTGACAGGGAGTGTAGTGCGGATTGTCAAAGTCACATCTGCAGATCTCATGATGACCACGGTTTGCTGAGCGGCAGTGACGACCTGAGTCGATGTGCGGGTCTGGAGGCTGCTGATTGTTACAGCCTCGGGCGTCACAGTCTGCAATTGCTGCTCCGTGACGTAGCTGGTGGACAAAGCAGTTGTCGTGGAGGCTTTCAGGGTGGTGGTCTCGCCGATCGTCTTCGTCGACGTCTCAGTGGTCCAGTCGGTTGAGCCAGCTTGCGCGATGGTTGTGGTCTTGACATAAGACCCTATGCTCAAAGTACTGGTCGCGCCTGGCTGTGTGTACGTCTTGATCTTGGCGACTGAAGTCTCAGTGACAAGAGCAGTAAATCCAGCCTGAGTCGCTGTAGCGGTCTTGACGAAGCTGGTAATAGTAATGCTGATTGTTACCGTCGTAGTGCTGGCAGCCGCGCGGGCAATGACAGCACCGCGGCGGAGCATGCGAGCAGATTCGGTGGGGATGCAAGACTCCGTTGTCGTTGTCTTTTTCGTGACCGTCTTGGGAGAAACGGTGCTGATGGTGACCGAGTTTTTGGGCTTTACGGTCGTAGTTTTGGTGCTGCTGGGCTCCAGCGAGATGGTCGTCTTGATTGTTGTAGTGATACCCCTGGGCGTGATACTGTTGACAAACGTGGCCGTAGTCCCCTCGCTCTGCGTGATCGTAGTAGGCTTGGGGCTCACAGTCTGGACAAAAGAAACAGTAGTGGTTCCCTTGACGGTCACGGTTGGAGCCTTCGCCCTTGTGGTTCCACTTACTATCGTGGTCGCCTTGACAACACTACTCTTGGTAACAGCCTCTGGAGTAATCGTGAGGCTGTCGTCTTCGGTGGTTACAACTGTGGAGGTGGAGGTGATGTCGGGGGAAGTGTACGAGACGGTCGCGGTTTCCTTGTTGACCACGGTCTTAACCACATCGGCACCGGTGATTGATGCAGTCGATGTGATCTTAACGATGGTGGTGGAGGTAGCGTCAGGCTGGACGATGGTAGTGCTAGCCGTGAGCTTGATGACAGCTGTGGTTGTTGTGTAGACGGTAACGACTGGGAGCGAGGAGGTAGAGATGAGACTTGAGGAAGAAGCTGTACTCGAACTCATGGAAGTGCTGGAAGCTGAGACTGCCAAAGACGATGCAGTAGCACAGACCTGAGCAGTGCCTATTCCTACGGTGAAAGGCTGGGTGTCCACGCGAGAGAAATCGATGAACATGGTAGATGCAAAGAAGTTGGCAAGCTGGAATTGCACAACATCGGCGTCCGAAAGCTGCTGCGAAAAAGATGCACGGCCGCAGATACTCGAGCCTGGCCCATAGTTGTGATACTCTCCAAATGTCACACCACTGGTTTGAGGCGACGACTTGCTCCACTGATTCCACCCCGCGGCGCTGATCATCAAATCGAGGTAGCTATCAACAAACGCCACCCGTGCATTGCTGTTCCACGGTCTGCCAAGTCCCACATTTTTGAAGGGACCTGTGCCTGATGCAGGCTTTAGGGTGCACTGATCGAAGACGAAGCCGGCAGCAGTCGCATTGGTAGTGCGTTTGCCCGCGGTGATGCTGATGCTGTCCTCGTTCGGTGCGATGGTCGATTCGAGGAAGTATGCAGCTCCGTTGCCGTAGATGAAATCCACATTTCCTTCAATGTAGGTCTTGAAGGTGAACAGATATCCTGAGACAGAGAGGGTATCTTGATTTCCATAGATCTGGCATCCATACAAGGCAGCATACTTACTGCTCTTCACTGCGAAGCCCAGCGAGGCAATATTCTGAGTCGTGCCGGCCGTGTTGCGGAAGTTGATGTTATACGCGTAGAAGTAGTTGCCAGTGGCGTACACAGTCGCTCCGTCGGTATTGCTTCCCTCCGTGCCCTGAGTGTCAATGCCGCGGTTAAACTCGATCGAGACCTGATTTTGTGAGTAGTCATCCGTAGCATTGCTGTAGCCCATGAAAATGGTAGTGCCGGACTTGTTGACGATGAGCTGTTCGTTGTACACGCCGGGGTAGATGAAGATGGTTGCGTTAGTCTTGCTGGTAGTTGGCGCAGCGTTCAAGGCATCTTGAATGGTCTGGTAAGTCGTGGTACCGGCGATAGGACCCTTAGAAACGATGAGAGCACCACTTGGTGGGGTTGTGCCATCTGCGGTAGAATTACCGCTAACAGTGGTATTACTGGGGACAGAAGGCGCCGCAGTGGCAGGGACCGGTGTCACAATCGAGTTCCAGTAGGTCATATCGATCCACTCCGTCGAGTCCAATACCGAAGGAAGTGAGTAGGTATCCGAGGCAAGAAGTGTGGCAAAGCCGAAGGCCTCCCGGGCAGCGACGTTGTTCTCCCAGTTCGACGGGCCGCTGTTATTGAATTCGGCGAATATCACGTGGTCTGTTCGTGGATCAGAAGCACTCCAAATCTTCCATCCTGCAGGCGCTATTGTCGAGTCAATATAGCTGTTCTTGATTACGACAAGCGCATATGCAGAGTAGGGACGACCCAGGTAGACCTTGTTTGTGAGATCGTCGGCAACGCCTGGAGCAGCCGTGAACAGGCAGTTATCGAAGATATAGCCTCCAATGGCAGACATTGAGGCTCTGCTGTGAGCGGTGATGGCAGAAGACTTGCGCTTGGCACCGATTGTGCAGCCTTTGAAGTACGCCTTTGAGTATCCCCAGACAAAATCAATTGCACCACCGACGTAGCAAGACTCATAGTACTGGTAGCCGTTGGTAGCACCAGTGAGTAGCGTGTCTTGCCATCCGTCGAACGAGCAGCCATAGAAAGCGATATCGTTGCCATAGATGGAAGCTGCGAGTGTGACATAAGACGCTTGAGCACCATCGAGGTTATCAGTGTTGATTATGGCAATGTTGTAGAAGCTGATGCGGCTCGAGGCTGTCTGTATGGTAGCAGTCTCGGCGTCCGAGTGGCCAACGGGAAGTGGCGAGACAGAAAGACCATGCGAAAATGTAATCGTAACAGTGTTGTCCTTGTAGGACTGGCCAGAGTTCCCTGCGGTGTACCCAATGATTCTGACGGCACCAGGACGGTTGATAGTAGGCACCTGCTCGTTGTAGCTACCGGAGTACAGGAAGATCGTCTGGTTTGTGTTGTCCTTCGGCAAGGACGCGAGAGCCGCGGTAAAATTCGTGTAGGAAGCATTGTGACTTCCATCGACCGAAACAATAATTGCACCAGCTGGAGGGGCTGAACCGCTATCAGGATGAGCATTAATGATTGAAGTGGTCGTGCTCCCGGTGGAAGTTGTGGTGTTGGTCGAGGGCGAAGTTGAGGTTGAGGTCGAAGTACCTGTCAAGCTATAGGATGGGACATAGTCGTAGGCCGTCTGATCGAGCCATGTGGTATCACCGATCCAGGCAGCAAGCTCGTATTGCGCTGCTTGGGCAGTCGTCAAATTTGTCGCGAAGATAGCACGCTGCGTAGTAGCTTGCCACGAGCCAGGGCCGGTGTTGGCATATTCACCAAACATGATGTTCGAGGTTTGAGGAGAGCTTGTTGACCAAACCGACCATCCAGCGGCAGAAATGTGCTTGTCGATGAAAGAGTTTGTGTAGACTGCAATCGAGTTCTCGGAGTAAGGACGCCCTAAATAGCTCGTGCCAAACACGCTGCCGTAGGTGGAGCTGTAGGTAATGACAGACCGATCGAACACGTATCCACCGGTGGCAGTGGCTGTCTGTCGAGATTGCGCCGCGATACAGGTGCCGGGGGTGTTCGTGATGATCATGCATTGATGAAAGAATGCGGTCGAATAACCCCAGATGAAGTCGACAGACCTTAGCTTGGTCAGCATGCATTGAGCAGAACACCACGGATTCGAAAATTCACCCTTCAATGTAGCAGTTGGAGAAGACCTGAGTGCCTTTGTTGGCCAAGAGAGTATCCTGGAACCCGGTGAAGGAGCATCCGTATGCGGCCATGTTCGACCCATAGAAGTCGGCAGCCAGAGCAGCTGTATCCTTTGTCTGCGGGTAGACATTGGCAAAGTTGATGTTGTACAGCGCCAAGCCTGAGTTGTCACTGGTCTTCTTCGCGTAAATGGCGGGTGTAATCTCATTCCGACCAGCGCTGGTTAGGACACCGTTCGAGGTCTGGATAGTCACTTGGTTTTGGGTATAGTCGCGGGTGCTGTTTGTAGCGCCGATCAATGTGACTTTGCCCTTACGAGTGATCGAGATCTGCTCGTTGTAGACACCAGCTCCAATCTGAATGGTGTATGCCTGAGAGTCGTTCGGCAGAGCGGCGATGGCAGCGGTGACGTTGTTATAAGCACATTCCAGACCTGAATCCTTCGATACGATCAGGGTGGCGGAAGGCGCGCATGAAGATGCCGTCGATGAGGCAGTAGCACTAAGACTTGCTGACACAGTAGCATTAAGGCTTGCTGACGCAGTAGCACTGAGGCTTGCTGACACAGTGGCGTTCGCGGTGCTGGAAGGTGTGAGTGAAGAAGTCGAAAATGTTGAAAATGTTGAAGACGTTGAAGAGGCAGCAGCCGCCGAGAGCTGCGCAGCGTCAGAGTCGGCCACAGAAGACAAAACTGATGAGTCAATCCATGAAGTCGAAGAGCTGCCGTAAGGAGCGAAAGCATTCGTAAAGACCTTGTCAATCGTGTACTGCGACACCTGATCGGCTGTGAGCAGGCTATCGTACGGAGGGCGGGTCGCTGCATTGCGAACGTATGATCCAGCACCCGTGTTAGCAAACTCGCCGTAGAACGACGAGACAGTGGCAGCTGTAGGATGGAAGCCGGATGTCGAGATCAGACTTCCCATTGCAACGTTGCGGTAGATGACGGTAGAACCAGCTCCATTGGGTGCCGCTAAGAACACACCAGTGTTGCTGTAGCCAGCCTTTTGCTCGATCGAACTCGAATCGAAAACGACTGTCGAGTTGTAGAAGGTAGAACCCACGGTCGCACCCTTCGAGAACACGACACTAGCACCTGTGGACAGTGGTACAATTGTCGACTTGTAAATGTACATTGAAGGGACGTTGTAGAAGATCTTGTCTGTCCCCTCGATCCTGGAGTAGGCAAAGACCGTGAGACCGTACGACGCAGATACTGCGGTAGCTCCCGGAGAGACAATGGAACATCCGTAGAATGCGATGTTATTGCCCCGCAGAGCGAGTGCAGCTGCATTGGCTGCGGAGGCTGTGGTAATGAAGTTGATGTTCCTGAGTGTAACGCCTTTGGCACTGCTTGAGCCGATGGTGAGAGCTGCACCAGTGCTGGAGATGACCACTTGATTCTGGGACCAGTCTGCAGCAGTGGTGGTAGTAGCTCCAACTATGGTCACCGTGGCCGTGCCTACGATACTCACTGCCTCCAAGTAGGTGCCTAATGATGTTTAGCTTCGAGGTCAGCAACGGGTCCAGGCTAAACTTACCAGGCAAGACTGTCACGGTGGGGACACCGCTAATTTGTGCTGCGCTGACAGCAGCATTGACGGCAGTGTATTGACCTGAGCCGTCTAACGCTACAGTAATGGCTGCACCGGCACTGCTGAGGGTCGCTGAGTAGGACAACGTTGAAGTTACGAGTGATGCGGCTGCGCTCAACGAAGTGCTGCTGGTCGTTAGATTCGATTGAGCTGGTGATTGAGCAGCCACAAGCCCGATGAGAGCAGCAAAAACAGAAGACCGCATAGCGAGTGACGATCTCCGACGATGAGAAGATGGGGACGACGGAAACGCGAGGAATCGCAGGTTGGTAAACTCTTGGTTTACGGTGATCCACGCAGGGGTTATGCCTCTCCTAGTGCACGGGAAAGTCTAGACGGTAAGATGCATCTCGATCGGGATGTGATATAGCGGCTCATCATCGGCACGTCTCACGGCTGGGACTCGACAGCTACATCAGGATGGTTCTTCCCAGGGCGGATAGGCCCGGACCAAAGTATGAGGGGCGATGCCGTGATATTCCCGTATTCCTTACATTGAGCGTGGAAGAAAACGAACCTTCGAACTGACAGGGGATTACCTAGGTACATAACCGTTCACCTGTAAGCACACCAAAAGTGTCTGTCACTTGTGCAACGCCTGACAATAGGCACTTTGTAACAGCTGGAGCTGTAACTTGCAACGAAGGGCTTGTGGATCATTGGACAAGATGCACACGATCGAAAGCTGCCACACCAGGTTCCCCCAGCACCGCGGCTGGCAGGTCGCCGTTGCAAGCTTTAGCTAGTAACGGAATTAAAGGCGAGCCTAGGATCATGGTGGCGCCCCGTCGGCGTTATTGCGATGGTGGTATTGTTTGCGCAAATGCCCTCTTCATTCTCATTTTGTGTAGGTGCAACACTCGCTCAGCGAATCTCGAAGGTGGATCATGAGCTGGTATGATTACCGAGAGTGCCTTATCACTACCGCGCATGATCTCGCGGGTAAAGTCGTAAGGGTAGGTTGAATACCACATTGAAATACCTCCACATAAGATAGAGCGAAGCACCGAATGGCAAGACCGATACAGTTAACCACGTGGAAGGACGCGCTAGGAGCGCAGCAGCTGAGACCCGGACACTGAATCGCTATGCATGAGAATCAATAGCTAGGATGTGGCAGCGTCGTTCGATACGAGGGTTTTTGCACAGATGAGGGCACAGCCCACGTCGTGAACAGGAACTCATCGGGATCCTCGCTGTACCCAGTGCGCTGGGTGATAGGATTTCCAACGTATGGGTGTAACAACGTGGTCGAAGACTGGGGATGGACGGATCAAAAGTGGCGTCGAGATGCCTACCCGAGGCTTGCTGCAGGGACCGCGGACTTCCGGTTCATGGATTGAATTCTTCCTTGGAGCCGCTGTCGGGTTCGGGCTGAGCCTCGCCCGCTGTCGCTGTCGGGCATCCTCGCCCCAGCTCCGCCTCGGAAATTGCATTGTGGGAGGCCAGCGTCTGGACTGAACGCCTCCTCAACCCTTCAAAGCTGAAAAGAGTGGAAAACGAACGATCATGAATCGATGAACGATAGGGGCCCAGAGTGGGAAACCGCGTACGTGGACCTCTTGAGTCGCGAGTGGGCAGTGGGGCACGCAGCCCGTAGACAGATCATTGAGCCGCCGTCTGCACTCCTGCTCTGCTGCATTAGTGTCGCTTATACCCAGATGATCTAAAGGAAGCCCGGGGAAGCGGCTCGTTGACTTTATGTGATAGGCAAACGTGTCCTAATCTCAAGGCACATTGTCGTCTTTCCGCGCTCCTCTGATGCCATCAACAACACCTCCAGGCTCTTTAGAACAAGCGGTACGAATCGAAGGGAACCAATCATTCGAGCGCCCTGATGTGCCTCATCGAGCAATTATGAGGTGTGATGACGCAATGAATGTCCGAGGTATCGGCGGTCGGGGACCTCAGCCGCCATTCACCGATACACATGTCACTCGCTCACCGTCTGCTCCGCGTAAAACAACATAAGCTACTGCATCTGTCTCTCGTAACCCAAGGACATGGACAGCAATGATTTTCGTTAAGCCACCGTCAGCCTTGCGCAATCGGACCGTTCCACCGGATATCCGAGCTGATCTATCTTAGCAACGATGACGCACGACAATCCAGCTCACATTACTGCAGTCACTTCGCCTGCATGTCGCGCAGTTGAAACCCAACACAGCATAGGCGGACGAAATGTCGTCGTGTGCAGGAGAATGGGCGTGTTTGAGGGGTGCCAAGAAGAGTGTGCGCAACTGCCACGTTCTTTGTGCCTTTACGTTCCAAGCTCACTGATACACATGGGTACTCCTAAGGGGCTGCGTCGCATGGGCATCGCATCTGCGTAAAGCAGAGACCTTTTCGAAGCTTGGTATCGAGCAAGCTCGGTGTTCGGTGCTTCGTACCAGGCTGACAAATTTAATCCGCGGACTACAGTACCGGTAGCGTTGAAAAGCGCAACTCCGACCCACTTTCCCATGTTTGAATGACCCATTTCCCATGTTTGGAAAGGAGAAAAAGCCCACCCAAACGGGTCCAGAGTGCCAGTTTGCCCTCGGGTGCCGGACATCAAGGAGCCCACGGCAGCGCCCGGTCTAACTACACCAGTCTCTGGCGACTAAGGTTATGTCATGGCTGCATTTTCGACCAATAGCAATGGCGAGATTGATCTCAGAGGTGAAAATACTGGAGCTACGCACTGCGATGTCCACGCACCAATCCGTACCTTTGACATTCTATCTAGATCGCCTGCAAACGGCCAAAAATGCCTACCTTCGTCCTCGCACAACCAGGGCCAAGCAATGGTTGAGGACCGATTGTGCAAGCTCTCTGACGTTGCTCATCATTTGTATTTAAGACTTAATATCTTTTCTTCGCCCGATTCTCTAGTCCTCAACCTTACCTCCCAGATGCCAGTTCAGGCAAACTAATTCTCACCACATACGACATGGACGGCAGAAGACGAAGCATATCCGTTATGAGTCCCGGCTTGGCCGAGGGAGCTGGTGATGACCTCTTCCGGAGGCTCTCGAGAACCTTCTCCGGCAAATCACAGAGACAACAGGAGCGAATACCAGAGGAGCACGGGATCGAACGATGGACCTCAAGGAACGAGAAGGGCGAGGTCGACGACGGATCAGAGAAGACCAAGGTCAACGATTGGCGCCTGGACCAGCACGTGAAGGAACTTCAAGCCAACGATCCTGCAGAGGGTCGTAGCCTTGGCGTCACATGGAAGGGCCTCACAATCAAGGTCGTACCATCCGACGCTACGTTACAAGAGAATGTATTCAGTCAGTTCAACATGGTCCAGCAGGCAAAGGAGGCGCGAAATAAGGCTCCTTTAAAGACGATCCTTGATGATTCTTTCGGATGTGTTAAGCCTGGTGAGATGCTGCTGGTGCTTGGTAGACCGGGCTCAGGCTGCACGACTCTCCTGAAGATGCTCGCCAACAAGAGAAAGGGGTACGTAAACCATTCCGAGTGTCTGACCGTGGAGTATCCACTGACGTGACAGTCAGATACACTGAGATTGATGGCGACGTCCGCTTCGGATCCATGACTGCGAAAGAGGCCGAGCCGTACCGTGGGTCCATCGTGATCAACACTGAAGAGGAACTCTTTTACCCTTCTCTCACCGTCGGACAGAGTCTAGATTTTGCCACTCGATTGAACATCCCCGACACGCTCCCTGCCAACTCAGAGAACCGCGAAGACTATCGTGTCAAGTTCAAGAAGTTCCTTCTCGATTCTATGGGTATCTCACACACCGAAGACACAAAGGTTGGCGACGCGTTTGTTCGAGGTGTGTCTGGTGGTGAACGCAAGCGTGTGTCCATCATCGAGACCTTGTGCACAAGAGGCAGCGTCATGTGCTGGGACAATTCGACAAGGGGATTGGACGCCTCTACAGCACTTGAATACACCCGCGCCCTGCGCTCATTGACCGACACGATGGGTATTGCCACCATCGTCACGCTGTACCAGGCGGGTAACGGCATTTATGACTTATTTGACAAGGTGCTTGTCCTCGATGAAGGCAAACAGGTCTACTACGGCCCACTTGAGCAGGCTCGCCCCTTTATGGAGGACCAGGGCTTCGTCTGCAGTGACGGTGCCAACGTTGCGGACTTCCTGACAGGTGTCACCGTACCAAGCGAGCGGCAGATCCAACCTGAGTTCGAGTCACGATTCCCTCGCAACAACGTTGAACTAGCGAAGGCATACCGCGAGTCGCCCGTCAAAGCCGACATGGAGCGCGAGCTGGACTATCCCAACACTCAAGAGGCGAAGACCAACACGGAAAACTTCCTCCATGCAATTTCTCTCGACAAGTCTAAGCACCTTCCTAAGAAGTCGCCTATGACGGTTTCGTTTCTCGCTCAGGTCAAGGCGTGCGTTGCCCGTCAGTATCAAATCATTTGGGGTGACAAGGCCACGTTCATCATCAAACAAGGCTCTACCATCGTACAGGCCCTCATCTCTGGCTCTCTCTTCTACAACGCTCCGGACAACTCAGCTGGCCTATTTATCAAGGGCGGTGCTCTATTCTTGGCTCTTCTTTTCAACGCCTTAATCGCCATGTCGGAGGTCACCGATTCCTATGCTGGCCGTCCTATCCTTGCTAAACACAAGAACTTCGCTTTCTTCAACCCAGCTGCTTTTTGCTTAGCCCAGATCGCTGCGGATGTTCCAATCCTCTTCTTCCAAGTCACCTCGTTCATTGTCATTCTGTACTGGATGACTGCCCTCAAGGCCACAGCCGCCGCTTTCTTCACCTGCTGGTTTGTTGTGTACCTCACAACATTCGTCATGACTGCCTTCTTCCGCATGATCGGTGCCAGCTTTCCCAACTTTGACGCAGCTTCAAAGGTTTCCGGTTTTTCCGTCACGGCCCTGATCTTGTACATTGGCTACCAGATTCCTAAGCCACAGATGCACCCCTGGTTTGTGTGGATCTACTGGATCAATCCTCTTTCCTACGGCTTCGAGTCGTTGATGGCCAATGAATTCGAGGGTACCGTAATTCAATGCGAATACGCAAATCTGGTCCCCAACTACCTGCCGCAATACGAGAACCCCGCTTACCAATCTTGCGCTGGGATCGTAGGTGCTGCCCCCGGTGCTGTTTCATTGACTGGCGAAGAGTACCTCCGAAGCTTATCGTACTCGCCATCTCACGTCTGGCGGAACGTCGGTATCCTCTTTGCTTGGTGGGCCCTCTTCGTCGGCCTCACCATCTTCTTCACTCTTCGTTGGGATGATGCTGCTGGTTCTACTGGTGCGCTCTTAATTCCCCGCGAGAACGTAAAGAAAACTCCCAAGTCCATTGCTCCCGCTGATGTCGAAGCTCAAGCCGATGAGAAGGCTCCTCGCCCCCGATCTAACGATGGCAACGACGCCTCGAGCGACCAGGCTGGCGGAAACCTCACGCGTAACACGTCAGTCTTCACATGGCGCAACCTATCCTATGTTGTCCAGACTCCCTCAGGCCCTCGCACTCTTCTCGACAAAGTGTCGGGCTATGTAAAGCCTGGAATGCTGGGTGCTCTCATGGGTTCATCTGGTGCTGGAAAGACCACGCTACTTGATGTTCTGGCCCAGCGTAAAACTGATGGTTAGTTTCAAATTTTGTTTCAATCCTGATCATTGCTAACACCACTCAAGGCACTATCCACGGTGAAGTCCTGGTTGACGGCCGTCCTCTTCCTGTCTCCTTTCAGCGTTCCGCAGGCTACTGTGAGCAGCTGGACGTCCATGAGCCCTTATGTACGGTCCGCGAAGCTCTCGAGTTCTCCGCTCTTCTTCGTCAAAGCCGCGAGGTCTCTCGTGAGGAGAAACTTGCCTACGTTGACACTATCATTGACCTTCTGGAGTTGCACGACCTCGAACATACGCTTATCGGACGTATAGGTGCTGGTCTCTCTGTCGAACAACGTAAGCGTGTCACTATTGGTGTTGAACTCGTTTCCAAGCCCTCTATCCTGATCTTTCTTGACGAGCCCACCTCTGGTCTCGACGGACAAGCCGCCTTCAACACAGTCCGCTTCCTCAGAAAACTTGCCGATGTTGGTCAAGCAGTTCTGGTCACCATTCACCAGCCTTCTGCCCAGCTTTTCGCCCAGTTCGACACACTCCTGCTACTCGCCAAGGGCGGCAAGACAGTCTACTTCGGCGAAATTGGCGATAATGGTCAGACCGTTAAAAACTACTTTGATCGCGAAGGTGTTCCATGTCCTCGAGATGTCAACCCTGCGGAGTTCATGATCGATGTCGTCACAGGCGCTCATTCGACAGAACGGGACTGGCACCAGGTCTGGCTCGGATCGCCTGAACATACGCAAATGGAACAAGACATGGAGCACATCATCACTGACGCTGCCGGCAAGCCACCTGGTACTACTGACGATGGACACGAGTTCGCTACCGACATGTGGACCCAGACCAAGTTAGTTACTCAGCGCATGAACATCAGTTTGTACCGCAACGTCGACTACGTTAACAACAAGTTCGCCCTCCACGTCGGGGTGGCTCTCTTCATTGGTTTCTCGTTTTGGCAGATCGGCGACTCGGTTCAGGAGCAGCAACTCGTCCTCTTCTCTCTCTTCAACTACATATTTGTTGCTCCTGGGGTCATCGCACAACTGCAGCCTCTGTTCATCGACCGCCGAGATATTTACGAGACAAGGGAGAAGAAGTCAAAGATGTACCACTGGGCCCCTTTTACGACTGGACTTATCGTCTCTGAGATGCCTTACCTCGTCATCTGCAGCGTCCTCTACTTCCTTTGCTTCTACTACACTGCCGGCCTCCCGGTCTCTTCTGATAAGGCAGGTGCGGTATTCTTCGTCATGCTCATCTACCAGTAAGTTGCTCTCCTTCATCACACATCCAGTCAATGCTGATTCTAATCAGGTTCTTCTACACTGGTCTCGGTCAGTTCGTCGCCGCCTACGCACCCAACGCCGTCTTCGCCTCTCTTGTCAACCCCCTCATCATCGGTATTCTCGTCTCCTTCTGCGGTGTGCTTGTCCCCTACGCCCAGATCCAACCCTTCTGGCGCTACTGGCTGTACTACCTTAACCCCTTCAACTATTTGATGGGAGCACTCCTCGTCTTTGTTGACTTCGACTGGGAGGTCAACTGCAAGGAATCAGAGTTCGCCATCTTCGATCCTCCTTCCGGCCAGACTTGTGCTCAGTATCTCGAGGGCTGGCTTTCTGGCCCCGGTGCCCGCAACAACTTAATCAACGGTGATGCGACGGCTGATTGCAGGGTTTGTCAGTACCGCCGTGGCAGCGATTACTTGTACACCGTTAACCTTAACGACTACTACTATGGCTGGAGGGATGCGGCCATCTGTGTTCTCTTTGCCCTTTCTAGCTACGCTTTGGTCTACCTGCTTATGAAGCTCAGGACCAAGACTAGCAAGAAGGCTGAGTAAGACACGGAAAGCACTCTTTTCGTACTCAGTTTTCGGCGTTCTGTTTGGTAGATTTACGGCCGGCTCAAAATCCCGTCGATATTTAATTTGTTTCCATACGTAACGTGTTTTATAAGCGAGTGCGCATTACAAGCGAGTGCGCACCCTACCAACTTTGCGCACCTCTACAAGCGTATATCTCAACAACAAGATGAGATAGTATGTAGATATTAATAGAGTAGATTAAACAGTATCTAAAGTATCTTTCTTGCATGTACGAGAGTTATGCCCAGTCTCTCTGCACCTCTTACAGCGCGCAAGAGCCTGGCGGCTAACACCTGATTGCTCTCCTCCTTGGCGCTCTTCACAAGCAATCTGCTGATTAGCCTCACGTTGAGCAAGGATATCCTCGCCAGCTCCCTTCGTTAAGACCCCACACTGCTGTATACGCTTTTTCTTGCGCTGTTTACGTGCAGACGCTGCCTCATTTGCTCTCTCAAGGCCAGTGATCCGATCGCGCATCAGCTCAGCTGAGAGCATCATCACCTCAGCGCCCTTCTTGAGCTGGTCAATCGCGTCAATAATTGAAGCTGGCGAGGAGCTCTTATGCTTTCTTACGCGCTCACGAATCAACGTTGATTGAGCCTCAAGCTCACGTACGTTGCTCGGCGTACGAGCCTGCCAGGGAGCCTCTGGCAGAGCAGCTGGAGTAGGTGTACGCAGCTGCACGTCAAGCTTTGACAGTACAACGTCTGGTTGGAGAGGTACAAGGCCTGCACCTCGAAAGGCTGAGCAGATATTGGCTGAGGTAAACGATTGATTGAACGCTGCCTTAAATGCTGGCAGGAATTCAAGCTTCGTGATGTGGTTGATGTGGTGGCGGATCAGCGCCTCAATCTCGCGGCTGTACGCGCGCTTCAACGGCGAGAAGCAGCCAACGTCAAGCGGCTGCAGCAGGTGGGATGAGTGAGGCGGCATGCAGAGCGTGCAGATATTGTTCTTCTTGCAGAGCTCCTGAAATTCAAGAGAGTGGTGACTCTCATGGCCATCCAGGATCAGCAGCCGGCGCGCCCCAACTACCTTGCCATCTGTATGCTTAATAAAGTGCTTCAGCCACTCAACTCCAAGCTCGTTGGTTGTCCAGCTGTTCTCAGTGACTGCAACAGCCCAATCGCGTGGGATGTCTTCCTCATACCAGGCAGAAAGGTGGTACTGGCCAGCAAAGATGATGAACGGTGGGATAGCCCAGCCAGCAGCATTGATTCCCTGGATCACCGTGACCCACTCGCGATTGCCAGGCTGGATAGCCTTCGGCCGGCCTCTCCTCTCTGATCCTGTCACAACAAGCTGGGTTGTGATCTTGCCCATCATAAAGCCAGTCTCGTCAAAGCTGTGGACGTCCTCGTCAAGGATGCCATACTTAGCCTTTGTCTGCTCTACAAGCTCAAACCAGCTCCTGATCAGTACAGGATCCTCACATAGAGCTCTCTGCCTGTCGTACGCTCGATTGAAACGCGTTGTGAGACTGTCTGTACGCTTGACAAAGTTGCGCGGCCAGTGGACGCCGACCTGACCAGCGCCGCGCGCAGCCAGCAGCTTATTAGCTATATCACGTACGGCTGCGTACGTAGGCGCAAATCCACGTCGATCTAGATCGAGTATGTAGCTGACTATCACCTCCTCTTCTTGCTTAGTGAGCTTCTTTGAGTTGGGTTGGCAATTGCGTCGGGCAGGCTTGCCAGCAAGTCGGCGGTGGAGTGTGTCTCGAGAGACATTAAACGTCTGTGCAGCAACTGCCTCACTCTGAATTTGATTTCGCTGGAGAGCTAAGATAGCAAGGTGTATATTAGCCTCATAAGAAGCTGGCTGGGCTTGAGTTGGGGGTGCCATGATAGTATAAGTTCACGCGTTGCAAAAAGTTGGTGGGGTGCGCACTCGCTTGTAATGCGCACTCGCTTATAAAACACGTTAGCGAAAAGCATCTTATGTATACCTTCGACCTCTCTCGTCGGCACTTCTTACCAGATCAATAGACTCTTTCAATCCATTCATTATAACACCTTTCTTAATGACTTATACAAATGCTGATGGCACGAAGGTGGCGGGTAAAGTCGCTACTCCCGTTTTTCTTACTGAGCATCCCAGCTCAGGTACCAAACAAGGCTGCCGCGGATGGAAGAGCTACAGCTCCCTACCTCGTCATCATCGAGACGCCTGACAACAAACTCCAGCATCTCGAACCGGCTGTTGGAAAGACGACCGATCTGAAGGTCATAGTTAAACAGACCAAAGAACTATACAGGTGAATGGAATCTCCATGTCCCGAGAAAAAACTTGCTCTAGTGTTGACGGAGATGACTGTGCAGGACGAGATGAAAAGTGACGAGGTGGCGAAGGACGTGAGTGAGGACTACCAACGGAGGCGGGGTTAAACGAACCGGGCAGTGGCCGCACTGAGCATGGAAATGACGACAGCAGCTCCTTCTACTTGAAACGACAAAACCATGAGGTAGACCCATTGAATTTCTACTGTAGCTCTGTCGCCTCCCGTTCTGCTCTAACCTGACTAGATCAGGCCCTTAACCTCGCGTACCACCTCGTCTCCCATTTTCTTCCCATTAATTGAGCCCCAATTGGTATTTCCCCTGTATATCGCTCCACATACGGACTTCAAGAGCGAGTAGCACGAGCAATTGGAATAGCAAGGCCGTATCCAGAGAAGAGTCCAGTAGGATCGATAGCCGCCTTGATCTTCTGAAGTCTTGCAAAGTTGGCGCCATACAGTCTTGAGCTCCACTCTTTGACACTTAGCTCTGAGTTGACGTAGTTGACGAAGCTGCGAAGAGGAGCGGACTTCTTCAGCGAACTTTCGAACGGCTGGAGGAGGTTTTGCATGTAAGCAAGGCCATCGCTGGGCCAGACGCCTAAACTCGCAACGCCATCAACACGTATCAGCCAGAGATTATCACCGTGCGCGAACGCATGATCGCTGTCGGCGATATGGCGACTAACACCCCCCCATAGATCAAGGAAGCCAGTTTGAGTGAGGTCAGTTCTGTTGAAAGAATGATAGCTGGTGAGCAGGGCTTTTGCTTGCTTGATTTTTAGCGGGTGCTTGTTTGTTGTTGTCCAAGACTGGACGAGCGAGGCGCGGCCCCCGAGAGAGCCTCCAGTGGGTAGGTTCATACCAGCGCCAGCGGCAGCAACCTCGGACTCCCAGAAAGAGGAGAGCACAGTTTTCGTCAAGTTCACTGCAGGGGTGATCGATCTCAACGACTCGACGAGCGGGGCGAAGACTGAATCGAAATCTGCTTCCGGACCATAGAAGAATCCAGCGGACGCAAAGTCGGCCAGGGAGAAGCGAAGAGAGAGTTCGTCCGACGCTTTTCCGTCAAGAACCCACTTCTGAATTGCGAGAAGGGCAGATGATGCGGTATCAACATCGACCTCGCCCAGAGCCAACGAATAACTTACGGCCCCGTCATGAGGTAGTTCGAATGTCTTTGTTGTTGCTGAAAGAACGACACCGAAGTTCGGGCCAGCACCCTGGGCAGCCCACAGCAGATCAGAGCCCGGACCCGCTGTCACGGTTGTTCCGTTATAAAGCATGTATTCGACCGAGACGAGGTTATCAGCGGGAATGCCGAGGAACCTGCTGGTTGCTATAAGCCATTCGTCAGTCCGTTGCGTTTACGACAGCGGTTTCAATCACTCACTGCCGAAGCCTCCCCCGAAACTACTGCCCACTAGACCGACGTGCGAGCCACGTACATGAGGGAAATGGCGCTTCGTAGAGTCCCACAGGAACTTGGCAGTTGGTCCGATATTTGACCCTCCGCCGTAGGTCAACTGGTTTGTAGAGTTGTCGAAGCTGAGCTCGGTGAATGCTTCCATGTCGATTACCAGATTACCAGGCTTGCCAAAGCTATAACCTTGGAAAGAGTGACCACGGCCGAATACCGACACCTTGGTTGATGCGTTCCGGGCACAGCCCAATGCTAATGCGACTTCGCTTTGATTCCGTGGGAACGCTACGGATACAGGCTCTCGAGGGATGCGAAATTGAAAAGCCGCGGTGTCATTCGACCAGGTGGCATCTGTAGATATCGAGGCGTGTATGCCTCCATCCGAAAGACAGGCGTGAATGCTCTCTGCCTTACTAATCTGCCCAAACGCAAGGGCTGGTGTCAGGCACAACAACCCAAGAAGGCCATGTTTGTATGTATTAGATGGCGCCATCGCAGCGTTCTTTCTTGGAGATAATGTGGTGAGGGGCAATGTGAATGTTGCGGAAGCTCGCGGCCTTTATAAGCTCCTCTTCTAAGACCGCAGTCGGCGTGGACTCGGCGCAATGATCGTTGCGGCTCTTCTCATGTGTAGCGACGACACAAGAGGAAGTTAGAACCGGAACATCTCGGTAAACAATAACAGCAGACCGAAGCTCCTGCCTGGTCCGACAAAGCTAAGCCCGAGCTTCCTTTCCCTCGTTGCAACTGCCTTGTGCACTACGTGAAAGCACCATTTTCTATTGTGTCGTGCTCAACCAGATTCAGCAACCGGCTTGCTCTGATCGTTACATGATGTCAAAATAGTTGATCAATGCTTTTGAGTTTCCTACTGCGCATCAAAGCCAGCGCTTTCACGGGTGCAGAAGAGATTGCCGTCATGGTTGGGCAACTAGACACCAACGGCGCAGTTTGCTGTACGTGGGCATGAAGTCGGATAGTCTGCTCGCCCTTATCTTTGGTGCACTCGTATTGCTTCCCTGCCTACCCGGATCCTCGATCTTTGAGGCTTGGTGTCGGAGCCAAGGACGAAGCAAAGGTCTTGCGGCGCTTCAAAGTGCCGCTGCCCCACAATTCGAGGAGCCAGCCCCGGGCCACACTCTATTTAATCAGCATACACCGCAACTGCGCGACACCTGCGTAAGTGGATTCATAGTACGCATAGAGATTTCCTGTAAGACGAGGTATCTGTGCTTGTTATCCTGCTGTTGATCCGTTTACATAGACACGTTGCGTCAGTCACATAAGCAAACGCAGTTCTCAAGGGCTGGGAGAAGGTTCTCAATTGAACCCAATGCAAATTGCGATCGCGGAGGCACCATTTGAGCAGCGGTAATTGTCTGGCTGGAACAATCGATCATGATCATAACTGAAGCAGCCGGGTCCAATCGCGTCCGTCCTCAGTCGTTCAGGAGTCCGAAGATCCCCTGAATGTGAGTAGATATCAGTTCAGTTCGATGCGCGTCAGATAGGCTTGGAATGACGTTTTGTCGCAGATAACTAGCCTTATATAAGCAGCCTGATTAGATGTGAAAGTACATTCTATATTTTGTCACTTTTTAGCTGTGACACGTTTCAATTGGATTTCTTTAGTGTAACGGTTTGGGCCATGCCCAACCGCAAGTGCGAGCTGGTACCGGTATAGCTCATGTACAGCCACCTATATATGTAGCTGCCCACCTCAGATAGTCGATTAAGTGCAGTCCTCCTCCTCACACCGTTACATTTGGGGGTAGTGTGTGGAAGACTTTTAGTAGGTTCAGCTTGCAGAAACAGCTCGCTTAGATAGTCACGTGAGCGGCCCCGGCAATAGATAATAAGACCTAACTTGTACGTTGAATCTTCTTTGCTATTGACCAACAGATCCTGTCAAGTAACAGCTTGCAAGCGCGGGTAGCAGCCAAGACTGCAGCTCGAAGCAGTTATCAAATCCGAAATTACCTTTGACAGTTCGCTTGAAAATGGCACATTTCTCGTCGACTACTCGCAAGTTGAGTCTGGTGCTTTGTATTACGAAGCTAATATCACTGGCCTGACTGGAAGCAACTCGCTCGATAATGCACTGTAGGTAATGCTACCAAGAGATTGAACTACGCACCAAGCTTTGTGACAGCAACTTTAGGCTCCTCTCTTCCGTATCTGGCGAGTCAGTATTAGGTGGCACGATCCTGCCTGGTAAATCTTTAATCTGGCTCGACCGCGGCAAGACCAACGGCTTTGACTATCCTCTGTTCACCAATATATTCTTATGCGGCGCACTTTATGACCTAAATGGCGATATTGCATTCCGACTCTCGGCATTGTTGATAAGTTGGCTATTGAACTCTTCTTTAACGGAGGCGAAGCTGCTGCAACTAGTATTTTCTTCCTGACTAGGCCGTTGAACACGATGATCCTCAGGACGGCTAGCTTGAACGAGACTGTGACTGCTAGCGTTGCGGTCTGGTCCCTGAAGGCCACATGTCTCAATGAGGCAAACTTGAATGACATTATATTTGGGAACATCACGGCAACTCCACAACATCCAAGCGCTTGACTAAGGGAAGACGAGCTTCTTCCTAGAATAATCTTACCCGTGAGGAACTGATGCTCCGAGTAGTCTATGAGCGAGATATGGAACTATTGTTCCTAAATGCACCACTTTATTCGCTGCTCCAAACTTGTGTGCGGTCCTTTCTCACTCGTTCTTCAGTATGCACTGACTAGAAGAGATCCCTAAGGTGCCAATTGGCTTGGATTGTGAAGCAGTATCCGTCCATCTTTGAGACGAATGGCTGTAGCTCGGTTACCCACAGCAACGAACTTCCGGCAGCATAGGAGTGCAAAGCGGCTGAATGGTGTACTGAATTTAGTGACATTGGGCGAGATGTCGCGAATCGAAAGTGCGGTGGTCGATATATTGACCCAATTTTGAAGGCTTAACTTCTTATAACTTTGCAGCCTTGTGTTTCCTCCCCCGACTGAATTCGAGCTTCTATTTCTGCTGCGGCGGATCGTGACCTAGAGATGTTATCAAGGGTTCGGCCCACGTCATCGTGGCACTTTCATCTTCCAGTAACTATGCACGTAGCGACAATTCCTGTCCACGCTCGGGAGTTACGGTGGCCCATTACTACGTGTTGGAGCACACCCTTTTTAGGCGTGCGGTCGCCAAACGTTCTCGGGATTTCGCAGCCTGCTTTGCACTCGGTTTGGACGTAGGTCAATCCATACAGCCAGGAGTTAGTTAGAGTATTAGCATTACCGGATTAACGCAGTCGTGAAGGGAACATGGAATTCATGTATCTTTGATCATTAATTGCACCCTGAACGCAGACTCTCGTGGCATATGTTGCACAGCTAACGTCGTGGCGCCGATTTTGCGCTCGCACCGTCTTCGACAAAGTGCGTAGCAATCGTCGTTTCGACGTGGATGCAGCCCTTTTCGTTTGAGCAGCTTGGTGAACCAGACTCGACTGGCATATTGGCAGTGACGAGCGAGTCCTCTGAATCATGTGCTGTTGGCATTGTCCTTCTTGGCGACATAACACTGGCAGTGTGTCCATTTAGGGTATTGTTAGTCTTGCGTTGGCCCGACGTGAGTTCGTAGTGCTTGCCGTAGCTGCTTGTCACGTTCTGTGTGTTGCCTCCAATGAACATAGACCGCAAGGCTGGTAGGCACGACGCAATGATAGCTATAGCGGTTTCGACCATGGATACAGTGCAAGTCAACATCGTCTCGTTGAGGTGGGAGTAGTACGCCCGGATGACTAGCGTAGTATGAGTACGGTAGTCCAAGTGGGACGACCGCGCAGAAGCGACTTACTGCTTGAGATGATCACGAAGATACCAAGCGCAAACACAGCGGCCACACCGAGCTTCTGCTTCAATTTCATTTGCAGCCTCATGACCATGGTGATCGGGAGCGAGATGATGATAGCATCAGAGATGATATTGACTGTTTTGGTCAGTAGGGGTCGTATGCCGAGGAATTGAAACTAGCGTACAGAGTATTGTAATCCAGTAGTTTGCTTGAGCAGCTTTCGGATCGCATTGATCTGTTCGCAGTCAGAAATAAGTCCAATACTAGTGGAATGCAACTCACAGTCCGGATCCGCAGACCATCGCTTGTTGTATGGATAGCACTGGAACAAGATGTCGAAGATGATGATGAGAAACGTGACAGCCAGTCCACCCAGGGCGACATTGTATACTGTGACTAATCTCGAGCCAGGTACGGCAAGGCGCTTGTAGAACAGCACAAGCGCGAATTTGACAGCCCACAGAGATGCCACATACAGGAAGGACCCAGGTACGATCATCTGCATGATACCTTTGAGGTTCTCTGGAGTCACCGTAGCAATGTTACCGAGTCCCAAGTTCCACATGTGCTGCTGGATGGCCAGGTCGCCGATCAGACACAGAAAAGCCAGGACGATGAGGGCGTCTTCGATGGCGAGACCGCCGAACTTGGTCCACCGGGTGTACACCCTCAGCACTACGAAAGGAACCGCAGCCACCGTACATATGTACCACGAGACCTAAAGGTCGATCAGCCCGGACTTGTAACAGCGATAGAGAACAGTACTTACCACTTGGCCGATGCCATCAGCCATTGTACCTACTGTAGTCAATTTTTACTTTCGAGTTGGATCAGGGCTCTTTGGAAGATCCTTCAGAAATGGAATCGATGAAGTGTGAATTAGAAAGGGATCAGATCATGGAGAGCATCCTGGTATATGTTCAATCCAGCAAAATCATGTGGGCCTCACTGATTCAACCTCCTGGGGTACCCAGATAATTAGGTTTGCGGACATCGAAGCTACCATTTGCCCCTGGTGGAGTCATTGGACGATCTCATCTCGTCGCAACGATGACTAGCGGTCTTGCATGGACGAAGTGAAACCAGCCCTGCCGAGCCGTCGCGGACAAAACGATTATTGGGTTGGCGCAACCTCTCTACCTCCCGTTTGCTTCCACGGACAAAAATTGTCTCTTTTCGGAGCGTGCTGTAACGAGGATGATGCCTTGGTGCAATTAGCAGCGTGCCGCTACAGCTGCCGGGCCCCGAACGTCCACTGCCGTCCCGTTCGCGTCGCACAGTTTAAGGTGCTGACTCGGACAGTCACCTGACATTCGGACAACTTCAGCAGTGTAATCATGCAAGTCCATCTCTTACCTCGACACCAACATTCAATGTGTTACTCCGAACCGAGGTGTCGTGCTCGCAACCAGAGCATGGATGTATCGGTGGAGTCGACAGAATGGTGTGTGGGGCCAGACCATGACGATCTGCCGACGTTGAACCGATTCGCCAGGGTTGCATCCATGTTGATTCGCGTTAAGGCACCATTCTGGCTGCCGTTAAGTCATATTGCCTGTATAGCATCTGATAGTTGTTGTGATCGACCAGGCCTGTGCCGTAAAGTATCTTCCTGCGGGAAGCATAAAACAACAGGTCCTCTATCTGCCTAAGAATTTGTTATTACTACAGCTTAGCGAGCACTGTACGTATGGAATTGCCATTAAATGTTAACACTTGGACATTGTTTTGTTGTTGGAATGTTTTGTTGTTGGAATGTTTTGTTGTTGGAATGTTTTGTTGTTGGAAGAGTAGACTCTTTGTTCACAAGGCTGGATCAGGCCCCCCATATTTGGTCGGTCGACGACTATCGGATGGTGTAGGAAAGCACTGTCATTGTTAAGTGTTGCCGCACCGGCCCAGCTTAGCCTGTTGAGGGCTGGTCCCCGCCCTCGCATTTGCCGGAGGCGTGCCGCACTGCTCTCAGCAGAGAAATTTTTCAGGGTTCATCGAAAGGACCACATGTCGTGCATAGGGACCCTTCTGGTCGAGCAGATCTCAGAGGGAGTTAAATTGCTCAACACGTGCTGACCACGTGGTATATATACGATCGGCAGACCTCAAAAAGAACATCGCCTACGCCTTCCATTTTTCTATCGCTAAACCACACTTTCGGTACAATGGGGCTTCTACACGGGTTGATCAGCCTGCTGGTTGGGATCTGCGTCGGTGTGGAATGCATGCACCCAGCACCTGCGAGGAAGAGCGTAGGTGGGGCGCCGAGAGTGACACTCCCTCAAGCGACTGTCGAAGGCTTCCTCGATCTCCACAATAACACGGTATTCCTGGGTATTCCATTTGCTGCTACGACTGGAGGAGACAACCGGTAAGTCACGCGTCGTATATGCAAATGAAGTGGTGCGCACTTATACTCACAGTGTCAAAGATGGAAGGCGCCTCAGAACGTCCCTGAGACTGAGAAGCCTACTGTCTTCAATGCAACGCAGTATGGCGCAACATGCCCGCAAGCAATTTCAGGCACGTTGTACTCGCAGCAGGGCGAAGACTGTTTGAACCTCAATGTGTGGGCTCCCGCTACAGGCTCAAACTTGCCAGTATTCGTGTACATGTATGGAGGCGCGATGGTTACCGGCTCAAGCAGCAACCCTCAATTCCAGGGAAATAACTTCGCTCGCAAGGGTGTCGTGTATGTCAGCTTCAACACTCGTGAGAGCATCTTTGCGTACCCAAACTCAGTCGAACTGGAAAGTGCGACCGAGTCTCAGAACTTTGGAATCCTCGATGTCGAAAAGGCCTTAGACTGGGTTCGCAAGAATATTGCTGGTGCGTATACTCTGTGGCTCACGATAGCCTTGGTTTCCAGGTCTAGAGCTAATAAGTACGTGTGACGCAGCCTTTGGTGGTAACCCGGATCATATCGTATTCGGTGGCCACTCGTCCGGTTCTGTTCAAGTTGACCACTACCTCTGGAACCATCCTGATACTTGGCTTGTGGGTGCCGTTCAGATGGCAGCCAACGCAAAGTCGGGACCCGCCGTAGCTCCGATAAACCAGGCCCTCGATGTCGTCGCCTCTGAAGTTGGTTGCCCTAATGGCAAGGGTCAGTTGGCATGTCTCCGCAAAGTTGACCTGTACGATTTCCAGACCGAGAAGTTCAACGCCACTTACAACACATGGTTTACGCCGGCTGTTGACAACATCACCCGTTACCAGGATTATGAGAGCCGCCTTGCCGTTGGAAAATATGCCTCGCATGTTCCTCTGTTGACTGGTAATTCGGACGGCGAGGGCGCAATCTTCGCTCTTGTGTACGGTGGAGAAAACACAGACTTCAGTGCATGGCTTGACACATTTGACGCCGATGTTGCCGAGATTCCTAAAAATATTCTCCTGGCTGCGTACAACGCCTCGGACTACGATACAGTGTCTCAGATGAGTGGCGCGCAATACGGTGACGCCCGTTTCTTCTGTCCGGTTGACTACCTCCGCGATCTGAGGAGCACCACCCAGGACACGTGGACCTACCGCTTCTTTGGAGACTATGCTAATGTTTGGGGTGCGTCACTGTCGCGAGGATACTCATGACCAGTTATCAACTAACACACGAATAGGCCTTCCCGTGTCCGCGCCCACCCACGGTACTGAGATACCATTCTTCCTTGGCGGTAACGAGTGCTTCGATGCCATCAGCAACGTTACAGAAAGTGAGCAGGCGCTTGCTGACTACCAGAATGACTGGTTTGTGTCCTGGATTAAGAATCCCTCTGCTGGGCCTGGATGGGACAAGGTCACACCTAAATCGGGCAAGCTGGCAAAGCTGGGCGTGCCCGGCAATGAGCTCGCAATCGAGCTTGCAAATACTGACGACTACAACGGAAGATGTCAATCTGTAAGTCAGACTTGTGATCCAGCGTTCGACAAGTCGCCAACTAAGCTTCCCTCAGGTGTATAACCCGTACCTGCCGAAGTATCCTGTGGTCCAGGATGTGACGGGAGCGGAAGGCATGATCGGCAGTTGATAGTGGATTAAATTTACAGTAGTGAGACGAAATATGTGACTAATAGCTTGCGTCTAACCTCCAAGGCTCTCTGCTTGAAACACTCTTTGTCTCGCCGCAACTATACAGTGAGCAGTACACTTGCTATTGCCCATCTGCTTGGAGATCTCCGGGGCAGCACATTCAACGATGACGAGTACTGATCTGATACTAGCTGGGAGCATGTAAAGCCTGATGAATCGCCTGTAATAAATTTATTCACCAGCCCAGCTCATCTATGGGGCGCAAAGCTGAACAATGTTTTACCCGAGTACCTCTTTGGTGTTGCACCAACCTCGCCTGGGTACAAGACGCTGTGATCACACTTTTGATTGTTGTCTAGACCCAGCGGAAGTAAGTAACAGGGTGGCGACTCCATATAGACTAATTAAGGTCGCGTAGGCATTGAATAGCATTGGTGTTGAGTTTACAATGATCATTCTGACAAGCATGACTGGAACACTCAATTTCGATCTGGAGCGACTATGGGTGGTGACAACTCGCACGGTCAAGTCCAGGTATCTTGTGGAACCACAATGCTCAAACTCGCATTGTATTCAATATAAACCAATAGGTAGTCACCATAATCTTCTGAGATGGAGGTCATGCAACGTGTTATGACCAAAGTGATAGCACTATCAAAGTACAATTATGCATTGAATCTACGTTCGGTGTCACACTGCCGTGGCTCTGGGTTCACAAGTACATGTAGCACATAGGACCCTCGGTGGTGCTCATCAAGTCATTCATCGTGACAGGAGGACCAGCGGAATAGCCGAGGTCTATGAGGGTGTCAAGTGTAGTGTTGGCGGAAGGAGGAGTATTCAAAAAGGTGTTGGTTCCAGAAATTCCCTTCTCGCTGGTGCGTGTCTTCCTGTCAAGCTGCTGCCAGATCCACCAGGCGCGGTCGATCATGCCGTGATGCAGATAGAATAGAGGGTCACCGGGAGAGATAAAGAGGTCACGGCCGGGATCACCACCGATAGAGTAGTGACCTAGACGCTCGTCAGCATACATGGACTTTGCGGGGCATCGATGACTGACCACCACCGTGAACACCGATGTTTCCGCTGCCTGGAACACCCTGCATCTGCATCTGGAAGCTTTCGATGTCTTCGTTGCCCACAATAAGGCTGACAATGCTGGTAGCATTGGCCCACTTCTTGTTGCTGTAGTCAGTCAAGTCGCGCTTGAGGCATCTGGGGTTGTAGGCCAAGCCATCGCCGTTAGAAACGGTGCTACCGTTGGTGAGGCCGAGGGCAATGGGGCCAAGGTTGACCTTCATGTCCTTGAAAGGTCCAGATGTGACGCAGCCGCCACCACTGCCGGCGGGAATGGCGATTTCAGGCAGCCCGTTGCCGCCGAGAATGACATTGCCACGGCCAGGGATGAATTCTCCGTTACCGGACATGGAGTGGTCAGAGCCATCAAGCATAGGAGAATTCTCAAGGCCGGTGATGGCGGTCTTGGCCCAGTTCCAGTAGGGTTGGTAGCCAGTGTAGCCACATTCATTGCGAAGGGCTTGCTCGTATTGCCAGATGAAATATCGGTGCCCTGATGATCAAGTTAGGTGTTCGCTGAAGCGTGGAGGTACCCAACGTAGTGGAAGAAAGCTTGATCTTACATGCAAGGAAAGTACCGGTGTAGTGGATAGTCAGGGTCTGATTCAGGTGTGTACCAACCCAGTCATCGAACCGCGACCGCGAACCGGGTATGAGAGATGCCGGTGTCTTGGTCCGCTTCTTCTGCAGGCACAGGACAGCGTCGGTGTAGGACTTACGCTCCTTTTTCGACAAAGAGGAATACTCGCGGCGCACAGCTACGTTCGACAAGCTGCATCCTTTACGCTTCTTGCTGTTAGTGGACAGAGTAGAGTTAGTCTGCTCCTGCGCAAAGTTCGAGAGCTGGTCCAACTGATCAGCAGCTACAGCGGTGTCAGTGCTGGCAGCAGTGAACGTGACCGAAGATGGAGCGGCAGATACGGTGGAAGTGGGTTTGTCTTGCGCAGGAGGCAAAGCGTGTGACAGCGTGCCAGCAAGCAGAGACAGAGCCAATGGCGAAGCCAAACGCATCGTGAACTGAGTAAATATGATGAGCGATGAAACGCTCGAGGAATAAGAAGGTGCTGCTGCAGGACAATGAGCTACAAGAGTACCTATTGGTTATATCTGGTTTGGATCTTCAAGCTGTCACCTCAACTGCCGGCGAGCATCGGAGTAAGATAGCCACTCGGACCCTTGTGTATGGCGAACACCGTGGAGAATTTGATATGCATGCATGGCACCACAGGATGTAGTTCCGAGGCGGTCCACCCGTATTCGAGAACAGGTCGTTATTATCAGCGTAGCATGAGCGTCGCATCCTTTCAGGGTGGACTAATGCAGACTAATTTATTGTGGAATCAGGCCCGCGTACCTCAGGGCTAGATCATCCTAGTCCGTACTGCGGCGATAGGATGGCGACGGCCAATCCAACCCGCGCGCCCCTTGCAGAGACGGCTGAGCCGACTAGCTCATAGTGCGGGGCTTACACTACATCTTAGGCGTTCTTGTCAGTCAATTTGCCGGTATAAAGACGACGGACGATGAGATTATTTTGGTCGAGGTCGTATGGATAACTCGTGATGGATCACAGTTGGACATTGCATGGTCAAAGTTCATTCCGTGAAGTCCTCACGGGCTCACGAGTCACCACTGTTGCGGATGATAGATAATGCACAACTGACGTGCCGACACCATGAAGTCGGTCAGACATCATATGCTTAACGCTTGCATGCCTGCCAGAAAATATAACCAGCATCATGTAAGACACGTGAAACGGTTAACCGCTGAAACGGTGGAACCGAGGCGTTCAGCAAGCGATTGTATTGCGCCCATCGAAGATCCGAATTTGCTCGCGCAGGTTCCAGCAGTTTAGTACCAGTAGCGCGTCATGTTCTTCGTGCTCTTCGTACAACTCTGCTGATCGATCTGTACTGTCTTACACGTATCCTCAGCCCACAAGACACCAATTATTGCAACCAGCCACAGGGGGGTTGAATCACCTGTGTTATTGGCCGCGCAAACCACCCGAGATGTTGTTTGGATTGGACCCGATCCAGGTGTCAAGCTTCTGCCGACTGTCGTGAAGCCAAAGCGCATTCTGAGGACGTCGCAACTTCGTTGGACGTTGCCGAAGCGGCGATATGCTGGAGGCCGCAGAGGACGGTGTTGCCCAGCGGCGATAAAGAGGCTGGTGCGAATTGGAGGTAGACCAGGTATGCGGCTAACGAGATGCATTTACAGGGGCTCTGCGTCAGTGTGGGGCCTTCGCGTATGTAGGAGACAGCCAATTACAAGGCTTCAGGGCTCGAAATGAGCTCGTCAAGCGGCCGAACTCGACGGCTGCGTAGATCGGACTGTAGGGCTTGCCCCGAACTCGCGGGTGGCGCTCTAAGACGCTCCGTCCCTTGTGAGTTGCCCGTTTCCCCGCTGCAACAATCCTGTAGGATTTTTTTTCGTTTCCGGTGCGGACAAATTTGGAGTATCAAGGAGCCTGCAGTCTGACTCTCGAAAGCACCTGCAAGTATGAAAGACTACCATGTTCTTTGAAGGGAATATCGGAACCAAACAACATGAAATCAATCGAAGAGGCACTGCGCCAGTCACTACAGGGGCACTTCAAATTGTAATCAGACACCCTAGACCATAACAACTTCGGTTAAAGCGTGCCGCCCGCGCGGTTTGCTATCCGACTTACTACTGAGGCAGAGTTACATGGGGAGTTGGAAGGCATTTTGGTAAGGTTTGTGCTACAGGTAATCTGGACTTCACCATAGGTAGGTAGGTACGACCCCGTCCCGTCTTCCTTGAGTAGCATGGGAAAGGGACCTTCACAGCTGTCCGAGGCCTATACTGAGCATTCGTATTCGCTGATGAACAGAAGAAGATCAACATGGAAGGCGACCAAGATCTTCACTGGCCATCCGGAACGCCAGATGATGCCCATCATGGGTTTTCCCTTGCCATCGTTTTGAAAGCCACCAGCCAGGAACGAACAGTGCATCAGGATGAATCAATCCTGGCGAGCACGTTACAGCCTCAGTGGAACCCTCGATCAATGCTTCTCTCGTCACGGTTTTAAGGGTCCACTGTGCCGGAACTTACCGTACCAAGGGCTCCGCGCCACCATTCTTTGGTTTGAACCTGCTGGCGGTGCGCCACGCACACGGTGGTCCCTCATTTCACGAACGCGTGTGCGAGAACTCCAGCCTGAGCCGCTGCAGCGTGTTCTGCCCAAGAAAATATCATGCTGTCGGAGGTTCTTCCTATCGAGCTTTCGTTGGCCAAGCTCTCGGAGGTTCTTCCTGTCAAGTTTTTGTGGGTCGAGCTCTCGTACACCTCCAGGCCAAGGTACGCTATCTCTGACTTGAGAGCGCTGGGCAGATTCGGAGCGGTGGTACGCCGATGACATGTCTTGTGGATTCACTCCCCTGACTTTAAACTTGATGTATAATAATTCTCATGTTCCAGAAGTGGATTGAATTAGATGACTGCGTACTGTTGAATGTCAGATATCTCTGCTGCGAAGCGCTTCTCAGCTTGAACAAGATCATTGCAAGCACATACAAACCCAGTAACCTCAGAAATGACGTCAGCAACCGGACAAGGGCCACCAAACGAGGACGAGGGTCCTATCATTTTGGGGGCCACCTTGACAGTCACGATCATGGCTTTGATTACTATGGCAACGAGGCTTTTTGTTAGAATCTCTATGATGCGACAAAGGAGTCTTGGATGGGATGACTACATGATGCTATCGGCAATGGTTCTGGTGAGTCATCCGGTTCTCACAGCAGCACTCACAGTTCTGAATGTTTGCATCTGTTTGCATGTTAGAGAATGTACAATGTAGGCATCGCGAGATGTGGAGTCAAGCGACAGCTGTGTCGCACACTTTGAATCGAAATCAAGATCTACAGAGCATGTATGCTCCAAAAAAACCAGAATCAATCACACTGACAACATCACAGTGTATTGCTGGTCAGATCGTCATTATTCCGCAAGTCTACTATGGAGCCGGGCGACATATTCAGTACATTGAACCACATGAATTCGCGATGGGCTACAAATTCAACTTCATCACCCAGCCAATCTACGTGGTCGCCATTGCCCTTGTCAAAATATCCGTCGGCTTCTTCTTGCTGCGCATCGCAGTGCGCGCAGTCTACCGCCGCATCATCATCGGAATCATGACATTCATGGCTGTCTATACCACAGGATGCTTCTTCACAATCATTCTGCAATGCACAAATATCGCAGTCCTGTGGGACCACACGGTCAAGGCGACATGCTGGAGTGTCCCCACCATCAAGATACTTAGCTACCTCAACGTGTCGCTGAACATCGTCACGGACGTATTGTTCTCGATTGTCATCCCCATCCCACTGCTGTGGAATGTGCAGATGAACAAGCGGCAAAAGTCATCGCTGCTGTGCATCCTCGGCCTGGGAGTCTTGTAAGACCTCCATATCTCTCCACCCAGACAAATCACCAAAACTAACACCTCCCAGCGCAACAGCCGCCGCCCTAGTGAAAACTTCCTTCCTCCCCTCCTACGGCAGAACTGGCGACTGGCTGTGGGACAGTCGCAACCTCACAATCTGGACCGTCGTCGAATGCAACACCGGTATCATTGCGGGTAACCTTCCCTGCCTGAAGCCCTTATTCCGCGTCGTGCTCGGCTCGACCTACGGACGCGGCAGCCGCAAGAACACCGCGCCACAGTACGGCTATGGCAGCCGTCCGTACGGCGCAGGCTCACAGCAAAGCGATGCGAAGGGTTGGGGCACGTTGGCGAGTAACAAGACGGCGGACAAAACGGATGGGTCAAGGGCGTATGGAAAGGCTGATGAGAGTTATATGTTGACGACTATCAATGCGGGGAGGGATTCGAAGATGAAGAGTGGGACGCCGAGTGCGAGTGTTGAGGAGGGAGATAACATGGAGAACAGCAGTACAGAGAGCTTGCATAGGCAGCATAGCGGTAGGCGATTGGGCGGTATCACAGTCAATACCGAGGTCAACGTGGTCGAGTCGGTTAATACGCTGGACTTTGGATTCGAAGATTATGACCGGCGTGAGAGGAAGGACATGGTCTAGCGCGAGGGCTTGATTTGTTGCTTATTACCAACAGTAATGTGATTGCATGTTCGTGTTCATCACTTATTGAGCTGGAAGCGTGAAAGTGGTTAGGTGAAGTAGAAATGGGTATCATACCTTGCGCCGCTAATGCTTATGCTATGAACTGTTGCGCTAATCTCAAGACATTACTCCATCCCCGCTCTCGCGCCTAGTGAGCTTCCTGCCTAGCTCTCACATCCCGAATCAACGCCTTGGCGTCTTCGACCTCGAAGTTGTCCTGGCATAGCTCGTTTGCCAAATCACTTGCTCTTTGGTACATGCCGCGCTGGTACTCGTACCTCGCCAGCCAGAGTCTCGCTTTGCTCGTTGTCGGTGTCACGCCAACGCCTCCACCGTCCACCTCATCTTCTGAACCCTCCTCTTGAGCGAGGACAAGCTCCATGTATGCAGAGCATTCGGCCATGTTGCGAATGCGTTCGTAGAGAAGGGCGATCTGGTAGAGTACTTCCGGATCGAGGCCGGCGCGAAACCCTCCTTCGCCACCCCCAAACGACGTGCCTACCTCGCCATCGTATGAACCTGCTACAAGCGCACGTTTGTACGCCCGAATACCATTCATGACTTTCCCTACTTTTCCAAAACATTGGCCAACTGCCATCCACAGCTTGGGATCGTATGGCCGCAAGGCCGCGGCCCGTTGATGGTAGAAGAGCGCATATGAATGCATCTCGAGCATTTCGTAAGTCTGACCCAGACCGTACCAGGCGCGATAATCTTTCCGGTTGACGTCGACGGCGCGGCGGTAAGACTCGATGGCAGCATGGGTGTTCTTCATTTCGACAAACTCGTGACCCATGAGTGTCCAAGCCGAGAGGAAGTTACGGTCTAGCATGAGAGCGCGACGGAAGTACATGACGGCTTTTTCGTGTTCTGACTTGAGCGAGTAGTAATTGCCAACGACGCAACACGTTTCTGGCCGAAACTTGTCCGTCGCTGTTGCTATCTGGGCAAGGAATGCGAGCTTTGGTCTCATCTCCATGACGTAAAGGATGTTCGAGTAGTGGTCGAGGTGATCAAGACGGTGAGGATCAGTGACCATCAGATCTGAAAATATTTGCTCAGCATCATCAAAGTCTTTGCTGTGATAGAACATCAGCGCCTTCTGCGTCTTCAGGAATGCTGACGCTGGAAAGATAGCCATGAGTTGTGTGAGCGAATTCTGTACTCCGTCGCTGACTTGGTACAGCTCCTGCGAGGTGGTTACGTGAAAGATAAAGGCCATCAGGTTCTGCGGCAGTTGTGGAGACAAATCCTGAAGCTGAGCAACATTAGTCAACGCGACTCGAGAATAGACAACTGTTCTCACCTCTTCGTTCGTGCTCATAAGAGACGTGAGCTCCTGCCATGCGCCCCAGTTGTACTCATATTGATGCACACTCTGCAAAAGGTAGTCAATTGCGAGCTTGTCGTTCTTCCCCTTGGCAAGCACAATGCCGTACAGGTACTCCAACCATCCCTGCGGCTGCCGCGCGCTAGTAGGCAACGCAGTAAACCACTGCTCAAGTATCGTGGATATACCAGACAGCTCATTATTAGACATGACGCCGTCTTGAGGGCCGAGAATCATCTCGCTATCCTCGTTCCTGCGCCTCTCGCCAACAATATACTTCGCATACAATGCGAGAAAGAGCGATTTCTGACTCAGTCCGGCTATGATCTCGGCAGTCGCGGTTGGGACGCGCGATGCGCTGGCGCGCGCCTTGCCTTTGGGCGCAGTCTTCGAGTTCGCGTTCGGTGACGAGGTCGCAAGAACGGCGCCTTTGGGTAGCGGTCCTGGAAGAAAGACAGCGGCACATCGATCGTACTCGCGGCAATCAAAGTATGTCTTCGCAAGGAGGTACCTGTGCGCTTCTCGCGCCTCTAGTCGCTCCTCAGTGGCATCTTTGGGAATGCGGTGTGGTGTCTGAGGCGGTGTGTGCCCCGACATGGGCGAGTCGACATCTGTATCAGAACTATCGTCGTCTGAGGCTGGGAGCGAGTTGAGCAGTTCTGCAGCCCTTGGTCAACATCAGTACAGTCAATGCGTAACAGCAAGCTCCGCGGCGGCATACCATTTCGACGAGTTGTATAGGCAGCGCTCTGTGCAAGACACGACAGCGTCATGCAACTGCGCCTTCAGTTGCGCCACTTGGTCTGGCGAGAGCGAACTCATCGTAGCAGAGGTGCGTGTGATAGTCGACTATGACCGCATCGAGCTGGGTGTCGGTGTTGCTTGCACGCGCCAATGCGCCTTTCTGCGCTGGGGTGAAATGTGGGGCACCAACAAACAAACCCGGAAAAGGTCGCGGGGCTCGGCGCGGAAATTTGGCCTCGCACCGCCTTTGTCCCACCAGTGCCCCTCACCCCGAGTGTTGTTCGAAGTTTGACTTGAAGGTTGCAAGCAATCAAAACCCAAAAATGCCTACCACGTTGAAGGAGTTTGAGAGCGTCTGGCCACGCATTGTGGCCGACCTGCAGGACCACTGCAAAGGCTACAACCTGCCTAAGCAGTCCCTTGATTGGTTCACCAAGGTACGCCCTGAACAATGCTACCAGAAGGTCACATGCTCACCATCAACTCCAGTCACTTGACTACAACACAGTCGGCGGAAAGTGCAACCGTGGGATGTCAGTTGTCGACACTGTCTCCATCCTCCGCAATGAGACTCTCGACCCCAAGTCGGAGGAGTACTTCCGCCCTGCCCTGCTCGGCTGGATGATCGAGCTCCTGCAGGCATTCTTCCTGGTCTCGGACGACATCATGGACTCCTCCAAGACCCGTCGTGGCAACCCTTGCTGGTACCTTGCACCCAAGGTCGGTATGATTGCCATCAACGATGCCTTCATGCTTGAGGGTTCCATATACCTTCTGTTGAAGAAGCACTTCCGCCAGGAGAAGAGCTATATGGACATAACTGAACTGTTCCACGAGGTCACCTTCCAGACCGAGTGCGGCCAGCTGTGCGATTTGCTCACCGCTCCCGAAGACGATGTCAATCTTGACAACTTCAGCCTTGACAAGTTCACCTTTATTGTCATCTACAAGACTGCATACTACTCCTTCTACCTCTCTGTAGCACTTGCCCTTTACTACAACGGTACCGCCACACCGAAGAACCTTCAGACCGCTCACGACATCCTCATCCCTATGGGTGAGTACTTCCAAGCCCAGGATGACTACCTTGACGCTTTCGCCGATCCCGAGACGCTCGGCAAGATTGGCACTGACATCCAGGACAACAAGTGCTCGTGGCTCGTCAACCAAGCCCTGAAAAAGGTCACGCCAGAACAGCGCAAGATTCTTGAGGACAACTATGGCCAAAAGGACTCTGAAAAGGAGGCTAAGGTCAAGACTCTGTACCACGAGCTCGAATTGCAGAAATTTTACGAGCAGTGGGAGGAGGAGCGTGTCACTGAGATCAGGTCGAGGATTGAGAAGGTTGATGAGAGCGAAGGCCTGAAAAAGGAGGTCTTTGAGGCTTTCCTCAAGAAGATTTACAAGCGCAGCAAGTAAACGGCGTCACCCGAACGGTTGAAGACGAGATCTAGCGCAATGGTACCACACAAATCAACCAGCTGGTTTCCCTGAGTACGAGAGCACTATTCAGTAGTGTACGTCGGCGCCCATGGAGACACGAGCTTCGGTAGTGACTGCCAGGGTAGTGACTGCTGCGCAGTGGAGCTGGCCGACACGTTGGCAAGCGCTTCGTGTCACCCTGGCGAGCAGTTCAGTCTTCAAACTATGTGTCGTGAATTATTGACTTACGCAATTTGGCGTATATGCAATGCGGCAGATGTTAATGGCTTGTGTGATCCCGCGCCGTCCCTGGCATCAGTTTACCACTATAAAAGCGCAGGAAATCTGACCATCACTTGGTCTCAGCAAGTTCAATCTCGCACCGAGCCGACACCATTTTAGCAAACCGTGTCACCCAATACAGACGAGCGAGACTCTTCCTGTTATAGATTTGGATGAACTACAATTACTATTCGATCAATGGGACTTTCGACTAGGCCGCCTTCCCGAGTGGTCCCTCGGTCCACTTCCTGATTAAGATCCTGCGAATGAACTTCCAGACACCCACATCCTAATACCTCTCTACTTCCCGCTCGACCTCGCTCGAAGAGGATGGACTAGCGACTTTGTTTCCACTTGGTTAAGCCCTGAGCTATGTCGTATCAGGAGGCAGGTTCATGAAGGCTATCAAAGAATGCACTTCTCAGACTTCAGAGACATAGTGAGCCTCATAGTGTATGAAATGAGGCGGCGCTATCTCGATCCGGGCCGAGAGCGAAGAGTCGTCACCGAGCGAGTCCGAGCTCCCCCTGCACTACTACCACAGCAAGACTTCCATCTCTACGAACCTGCGCAAAACATCTACATGCAGAACTACGAGCGACCACAAGTTCAGCACGTCTACGAGCAGCCACCGCCGACGAATGTCTATGTCCATTGGCCCTCTCAGGTGCGTGTGCTTCATCGCCAACTTCCACCGCGCATTATCATCCATGATGAGTTTTCATCACATGCTGCTATTCAGCAATCGGGCGCGCTTCTTCCGTATGACCTTCCAGATCCAGAGCCTGAGGATGTCGGATTCACGTCGAGGGTGATGGAGCTCAAAGATGACGAAAGTCAGAAGGATAAGGAGTAGAGTGAAAGCATGACAGCAGTGATATGAGAGACTGAGTATGAGGAGACATTTAATAGCTACAATAGCGTTGTCTACGTTAATCTACATAGCGTCTTCGCGCTGCTGCCAATGAATCTTCAAATGATAGAAACGTTACGATGCTTGTGTTCTTAAATTACGCGTTTGACCGACAATCCTTGCATCTAACGCTGGAACTACCACTTTGAACTTGGCTGGTGCCATCACAGCGTAGGAGAAGAGCGGCCTAAATATTGCTCTGGGTGCTGTTGCCTATTGTAGGCATTTGCCACGTGTTTGTCAATAGCCCACCCTTCCCACCGTAACCTCCATCGCTTGCTGCTTATGGTATGCAGCTTGCAGATTTAGTAGAAAGGTAAGAACACCAAGGAAAGCAAGAGCGCTAAAGGTAAAAGCAAAAAGAACGCGCAAGAATCCTCAGAGGGAGCTGCGGAGGAGGAGAGTGATCGCAGGAGCATGTCCAAGAAGAAGTCTCAGAACAAGAGTACTAAGGCGGGAAAGAGCCGTAAACAGGAGTTATCTGACGAGGAGAATGATCTTGAAGAGAGCGACTACAAGGGTAAGTCAAGAAAAGGTAAGAGCAAGTCTTGAGCGCCCCCCTCCGAGGACGAAGAACGCTCCGAGTCCGAATCCGAAGATGCCACATCCGAGGCCGAGTCCGCTTTCAGCGAAGAACGTGGACCAGCACGTGGTAGGTTGATCGACGACAAGCCACACAACAGGGTTCCTAGCTTCGAGGATGACTACGGCTCGGCTCCGATGTCGGTCATGTCATTGAGAAGACGATGACTTATAGGAAGAAGACGAGGCCTCTAGGAAGGGTAGACAGCAGCATCGAGATGGATACGTGTTTCACTAGAGGGCATACCGCTGGGCTACAGTTGAGGTATTGATAGCGCACCAGGTTGGACAAGAACGAGCTGGAAGAGGGTTCGTGCCATATTTCATTACCCCAGTTACCCTGCTTGATTTCTCTTGAATGCTCATGATTATGACATGATAGACTGCAGCTATAGATTGTGTGATGTCGCAGGGAATTAGCTCTATAAACAGCCTGTTTAGGGGTAGAAGTGAAGACTACATTTTTGCCACTTTTTAGCTGTTACATTTGATATATTGATCATTGCAATAGATTGCACCATTCATCCACATGCTTGCAGGTCAATGGTCCCAGCCAGTGCACGCTCAACTTGTTGGCAGAGCCATGCAAAGGGAGACTCGTCGATGTGGGTTCATGAGGGCATATCATCCAGGATGGTAGGAAGGACAGGGGTAGTTCAAGAGACGATTGGACGGACAGAGCCACCGCTTATAAATCTTCACTCAGACGAATATGGAAGACCAGAAATTCACGGACATGAAGGCGATGTATAACCAGAATGAGGCTGAGAGATTATCAACGATGTAAAACGACAAATATGTACACTAAAGAGACACCCCACCGGCTATGCTAAACACAATCATGACCATCAAACATCAACATCTAGGCAGCCTCAGCAGCAGCCAGGATAACATCAGCAGCCTTCTCAGCGACCATGTAGGTCGAGACGGCAGTGAAGGTGCCCGGGATACGGGGGAAGACAGAAGCATCAACGACACGGAGACCCTTGGTTCCGCGGACGTTGAAGTTGCTGTCAAGCACAGCAAGCTCGTCATCATCGGCACCGATGGGGCAGGTGGACGAAGCGTGGTGGCCCCATGCGCTGTCCCTGATGTAGTCGGAGAGCTGCTCGGAGGTCGTGACATCCGCACCAGGGAGGACCTCGGTGACAGGGACAAGCTGGCGCTTGAAGGCGTCACGGGTAAGAGCGATGGCCTCAGTCATGGCAGTGACGTCCTTCTCCCACTCGCCCACACCGGTGTCGAAGTAGTTGTAGGTGATAGCGGGGACTTCGAGAGGATCAGCAGACTGGAGGGTAACGGAGCCAGCGTTGTTGCGGGGATGGGCCTTGAGAATAGCCCAGGTGAAGAGGTTGTGGACGGCGGTGGCGTTGACGCTGTAGCTGGGGAAGTAACCGCGGAAGTTGACAGGGCCACCGAAGGCGAAGATGTCCCAGTTGTTCTTCTCCGCGACGCTGGACTGGTAGAACATGTTGGCACCAAGACCGGGGGAAGCGTAGATACCGCGGTTGCCAAGGATGGGGGTGTTGTAGCGCTTGATGCAGGGATCGGCAGCGTCACCCTTGAAGGTGCAGCCGTCCAGAGCAGAGAAGTCGTTCTCGATTGTGCCCTGAACGGAGATCTCGTAGTGGTCCTGGAGATTGGTTCCGACACCGGGAAGGTCAACAACGACAGGAATGTCAAACTTCTTCAACTCGTCGGAAGGACCGACACCAGAAAGCTTGAGGAGCTGGGGAGAGTTGTAGGTACCACCGGCAACAATGACTTCGCGCGAAGCCTTAGCAGAACCAGCAGTACCTGTGGCACCAGTGTTTTTGGGGCTGGCCTTGTAGAGGTACTGGCCCTCGCGGAACTCGACTCCAGTGGCAGTGGGGGGAGTAGTGGTCTCGTCGAATGTGATCTTGGTGACGTGGGTGTTGAGCTTGACATCGAGAGGGTACCTCTTCGTGCCGTTGGTGAATGTGGCATCACGGACAGCGACGACAAACTCACGAGAACCGGTACGCTGACCGTCGGCAGTGCTCAGAGGGATCTGGAACAGACCGGGGTCAGAGTCACGGGCATCGGTGTCGGCGTTGGCATCGCCAGCAACGAGGGTGGCCAGGTTGATGATAGCGTTGGTCTTGTTGCTAAGAGCGAAGGCAGCGCCGCTGATCATGCTCGTGAGCTGAAGATCGCTGGTGACGATGTCGATGGGGGCATATTGGGTGCCCAACCATCCCTCGTAGCCGTGACCCTTACCAGTGGTGAGGTAAGCGTTCTTTTCAAGCTTGACAAAGTACTTGCGCATGTTGTCAGGGGCCCAAGAGTCGTCACCAGTGAGGTTCTGAATGTACTCAAAGTCAGACTGGTGAGGGTAGACAGCGATCAGGGCATTGTGAGCTGTGCATCCACCGAGGGTACCAGTGCGAGGGTACAGGGTTCCCTTCTGGACAGAGCCAGCAGGGGGCGACAAGCCGGTGTACTCGCCACCATCCGGTGTGGTGTAGGAGGTCTTGAAGTCACGGGCTTGTCTGTCCTCGTCGGCGTAGTGCTTGACGAAGAAGTTCCAGGCCAGGCTGGGGTCTTCAGAGACCTTCGCGTTGAACGAAGGTACAGTGTAGTTCTGGTTAGCACCCTGGTCGTCACCAGCTTCAATCAGAAGTGTCTTGTGGCCAGCGAGGGCAAGGCGGGCAGCGAGAGGACCACCACCTGCATTCATGGTCAGATCCGAGAAACTATAAGTAGATCCATGAGGTCGACTTACCGGCACCACTTCCAACGACGACATATTCGTATCCTGTAAGCTCGACAGCCTTTGCGAGAGAGATAGAGGCCGCAGCCAGAGCGAATTGACGGAACAGCATGGTGACTATTAGTAACGAGAGTAAGTATACAACAGGTTCTAGGGCGGTCAGCGAGTAATCAGGAAGCACCTATAGGCTGACTTACAAATGAGTGAAGACCTGCTGATCCAAGGCTGGATGTCTTCTCTATCTTTATACTGCCCCTCCACCAGCATATCACTGCCCCTATGGATATCGCATTGCTCCAGATCATAACCCTGTTGACACTTGCCTTGCTGGGTCGATACTCGCTAGGCACATGTAGTTACGAAGCATGCGGTACAGATTCCTATTCCGTGTGACAAGACCGAAGCAAACAGATGTTGCCCGTGCCAATGATCGCCACGGCATGGTGTGGATATACTCCATTGACCAGGGTCCTCTTGAAGTGGTAATGTCCGAGGTCGATGCCTAGGCGGACGAGCTCGAATCCCAGGTGTTTGGTAGAGACCAAGCTGCTGCGCATCTCCATTGGCACAAAACCTAGTAGACCTGCTGATGAAGGACCCATGCGAGTCGCAGGGTGCAGGAGACTTGCGATGGTGACGCTGAGTTTAGATTACATGTTCCAGAGGATCCGCGGGTGAAAGCGCGCGTTCGTCAGCGCAAAACAGCCATCCCTAATCTCGATCCGTTCCCGCGGCTGTTCGGAGGCTAGAGGTAGCTTGGCGCCTCATCGGGACTAGTGAGCCGGAATTCTTGCGCTGTTCGTAGACGTCGACCGTCTTGTTCATTTCGAAATTCTAAAAACCGTCGTTCCGACCCATAACGTCTGGGGAACGCGGCTGAACGCCCAACGGTTCGTAGTGGCCCAGCGGCTGCACGACACTGCCTCCTAGCACGCAACGGGTGTCGGTGCTCGGGCCTGTAGCACTGTGGTGGTGCCATTCTCGTTTCTGATATTGCCTTCCCATATAGTGCATTTGATCTACGTCGCCAAATGATCCTGTTACTCCTTTCATACTCACGATCGAGACTAGTGACGCGCAACGTCCTTCTCGACCAAGAGGCACGACTCGACCATGGCCGCACATTCTTGAAGAGCGGTTGGTCGAATCGCATGCGGCGTAGCGGTCTGGATGGGTTACGACAGCAACCTCGTGGCCAACTGGGGACCTTGGCGCCGTTGCCACTTATTGTCGCCGCTGCCGCTTATTGTCGCCGCTGCCGCTCATTGTCGCCGTTTGCCGCTTGTGGCCATTTTCACCACAAGCTGCGCATCATTGGTCTTCTTGGGTATCAATTTTGGACGATCTCGCCGTGCTTGTGAAGCGCCCTGTAGGTCGCAATGATATCTGGACAGGGGTAGATGACAAAAGGGAGGAAGGCAAGGGCGTACCTGTCGAATGCCGATGTACAGCGACGACGCTGGAGCGGATGGCGAGTTCCGGACGAGATTCACTACCCACCTGGACTCCACTTGACAGCAAAAACACATCCTGCCCTCGTCACAATGTGCAAAACCGACCGCGGTAGCTAAGTTTGCCGCATCACAGGAGGTACTACGATTCAGTTGACAGCTCAGGTCAATCGCGCCCGCCGGCGGTAACTACCGGTCGCTACCAAATATTCTCCATTGAAAATTGTGATGGACATCCTCACCGTGCATGGCAGAAGTGTCACGGCCTTGGATGTGGATACAGGGCTCGATATCTATAGGTAATAGCAGTTGTACTGCCACCATGGAGCTGTAGTTGCGGACCACCACGGAGCTGTAGTTGCGGACCACGTCCGAATAGAAAGTGGAGAAAGCATCTCGCTCAGTCTTCCATTCCAAGCCACACTTCGGGAATTACCGAAGTGACTACTTCCCAACTGCTGAGTGACGTTGCAATCAACAACGGTCTATGGTGTTCCGGTCTGCGGATCGACGCACCCGGCATCGAGTCTCCGCTGGACGACCGAGAACTCGAGCAGTACACCTCATACCAGCTCATGCGGTTCAAAGTCGAAGCAAGCAAAGTCTACGACCGCAATTGTGAGGGAGGGGGGTCAGATGTTTGGAAACACGTGCATCTCACACCGTCCCGCAGCTTATCCGTACACTACGCGCCACACCACTGCCGCAGCCATGAAGTCTGCCTGTAACATTTTCGCGCGGCGCACGACCTGAAGACGATGATTGATTGATTGATGGATACCGCGGCCCGTCCGAGCAGCCCGTCATGAGCGAACCAGCACACGTCGCTGCGGAAAGGGCTCAACACGTCGCTGCGGAAAGGGCTCAACACGTCGCTGCGGAAAGGGCTCTACACGCCGCTGCGGAAAGGGTTCAAAACGTCGCTGCGGAAAGGGTTCTACACGTCTCGCTCAACGCCCACCCGACCGCGCAGCCCTACTCGCGCCAACCGCAAGATCCTCGCGTATCCTACTCGCCGCACTCTGCTCGCCATCCGCGTCCTCATCCTCACTCTCCGCCCGATCGCCACCCACCACATCACCCTCACCTTCCTCGCGCTCCTCAGCATCCGACTCCTCATCCGTCGAATCCCCGTCATCCCTGGCCTCGGTGTCACGCCGCGGATCCCGGCCCAGCTCGGGCTTCTTCTTGCGCTCAAAGTCCTGCGCGTGCGCGTCGCGGAAAATGGCGCCGACGTGCGTAAACGCGCGCTGCAGGGGCGAGGGGCGGAAACCCTCGTCGTCTTCTCCGTCGTCAACGTGTGGGAAGCCGCGACGCTGTCGGACCGAGTCCGGGGGTGCGGGGTCTGCGCCCGCGGACGGGGTGGGCGCGAGGCCGTTTGGCGGCGCGGTCGCGGACTTGGGGGTGCGGGATGGTTGCTCGTCGTCGATTCTGGCGCCGCGTTGGTCAATGACGGGGGACACGTGGGGGCTCGGCGGGAGCTCGTAGGGGAGGGGTACGTCGCGGCTTGCGCGGAAGCGGCCGACGTTTGTGCAGTGTTCGTTTTCGACGCGGAACAGAGACCAGATGCCTCTTCTGAAGATCTCGGCGAGGGCGGCGCCGAACGACGTCTTGGCGGAGTGTTGGAGCTGCAGCGGGTCGACAATGTAGAGAACCCAGGCGAATCGCAGGATCGGGTCGATGACCATTGCTGTGTAGTACCACCATATCTTCTTATAGCCAAGCTCTTTGCGAAGGAACGGGTGCTTCGCACGCGGGTCACCGAGACTCCAGTCGTAGTAGATGTCCCAGAAGCTGGTGTAGATGGCGTTGATGACAGCAAAGGTGATGAAGGCTGCCTTGTTCGGGCCCGTCCTGTTGATGCGATAGATGCTCAAGGTCATGTAGTAGATGATGGTCGCAAAGTACTTGCCACAGTTGAGCAGATGGGGGAACTTGTTGCCTGTGTCCCAGTAACGGCGAATGCATTGCAGGGCACGCCAGATGCCGGGCAAGCAGGCAAGGAAGCCCATAGTGCGCAGATGCGACGAATTGCACTGCGCGGGCTCGTCCCAGAATCGAGCGTACAGGCAGAAGAACATGGCCATGTTCTGCAACGTGTTAGTGGAGCATGACATACAAGGTGCGCGTGCTTACACTCATGCTGTAGGTGAGCGAGCAGAACATGTCGCCAAGGTAAAAGTCGCGCCACTCGACAGGGTAGATGCCGGCCAGGAGAAGACGCCACTAGAAGTATGTTAGCGCAGCCACGAAGAGTCGCGTCTTGACTTGCCAACGAGTACAGCAGCCACATCCTGCTCCGAAAGTAGAAGATCCGGAGAGGGTTGACGAGGACCAGGACGGACACACCAATCAGAACGACCGGCCAGTACAGATACATGGCTTCACCACCAACGCGATGGAAGTTCAGCTGCATGGTGAGACCGAGGAAGAAGAAATACCAACACGGCAGCTGTGGATCGTCAGTCTGTTGTCGCAGCGCAGGCTGGCTATGTGCGTACCTCGGCGAGCTGCCTCCAATCCAGAAAGTGACGCGTGTCGTACTCGAAAATGAAGACAAAGTTGATCTTGTGCTCGTGCCACACGCGGCATGCAAGAGAGAAGAGGATGATCAGAAGGTTGACGAGGAAGAAGCCGGCGTAAATCTATCCACGTCAGCTCTATCGGCGTCGACTGCTGTTGTGACCAAAGGCAACGTACCTGCAGCAGATAGCTGCTATTGACCGATAACGCAGGGTCGTCGGCATGATGCGTGCCGGCGATGCCTGCGGCCTTGATGAGACCCTGGATGCTCAGACTAGCACCAGCAGCGACGAGAAGTCCGTTGCGGAACGTGTTGTCGGTGTAGTCGCCGGCGCGGGCAATCTTGATGCGCAGCTTGCCCACGGCGACTTTGTGGTTTCCTCGCTCAAAGTACCTGGCGTAGAGGTCCTCGACGGAGCGGATGTGGCCCTCGATGACGTCGCTGTTCACAAACCACGCGGTGCCGACTTTGTCGTTCATGTAGCGCATCGACGGGCGTGCGTGGACGGTCTTGTCGTACTTTTTGTTGATCTTGCGGAATGCCGTGCGGTTCAGCAGCGCATACGACTTGAGGAGCTCCAGACCGCGGTAGTACTCTTGGAGTGCGACCTTTAGCTTGCGCTTCGCCGACTGGTAGGGCACGTCTGGGAGCTCCGGCCGGCGCGCAAAGTCGCGGCGGTCGTCGTTGTGCAGCATGGGCTTGAGCACCGACGGCGTTGCCAGCGCGGTCATGGCCCTCGTGCTGCTGCCGTACTTTCCGGCATTCACGGCCTCGAGCGCGGCGTCGATGGGATTCAGCCACGCACTGCTCACCTCGTGGCCCTGCTTCACCTCGTGGCCCTGCTTCACCTCGTGCGCGTCCGCAGGCGCGCCGGCGGAGCCGCTGGCCTGGCCGTTCACCGCGGGGCGCTTCTTGTGCGCCTTGGCGTCCAGCTTGGCCGTCTGGCGCTGGATCAGCTCGTCGAGGCGGCGGTCGCGCATAATGTGCAGCTGCTCGCGCAGGACGCCCAGCCGGACCGTGGCCTCGTCCTCCTTGTCCTTGTAGAACCGCTCGACCTTGTCCAGCTCGGCGTCGAGGAACTGGAAGAAGTCTGCCTGGCGGAAGTCGAACTCGCGGTAGGCCTCGAGCGGCACGTCGCCGGGGCTGGCCGCGGGCTCATGCGCGCCCACGGACGCGACGCGCTTGATCAACGGCCGCGGGTGAGCCTCGACGCCGGACCCGCGCCCGGGCATCGAGTTCATGCGCTTCGGGCTGAAGATGCTGCGGTAGCGCGCGGGCAGCGAGGCGTGCTTCTTCGGCGTCTTGGTCCGCCCGACCTCGAAGGCGTTGCCGTCGCCGGGCGAGGGCAGCCTCAGCGTCGTGTGCCGCCTGAGCGACGCGGCCGCCTGCCCGTCTGCGGACTCGGTGCGCTCGGGGTCCAGCGCCGCGCCCGGCAGCTGCAGCGACGGCGGCGGCGGGCTGCCCACGAAGCTGCCGTAACTGGTGCCCAGGCCGCTGAGCCCGTTGCCGCCCGTCGCCAGCGGCGTCTCCTCTGCGCGGCCAGCCGAGCGGCTGCGGCTGCGGCTGCGGCTGCGGCTGGGGCTGCGGCAGGGGTCGGGCACGTCGGCCGGGTCGTTCGCCTCGCGTCCCAGGCCATCGCGGTTGAGGAACGAGTACTTGGGCGCGACGTCGGCGGCATTGGGCAGCAGGTTGGTGCCGCGGCGGCGGAGGCGCGGCGTGTGCGCGTCGCGGTTCACGCTGCGGAGAGCGCGGTCGATGGCCTTGAGTTTCTTCTTGCCGACTTTGTAGTCGAGGTACTTCAGCCGCCACTCGGGCACCAGGTCGCGCTCGAGTTCCCTGCTCGTGTTAGCTGCCTGTGGTTGCGGCGGTCTGGCGGGGCGCTGTACTTTGCAAACTTCATCTCGTCAGGCTGCGGATGCGCGACGCTCGGCGCTCTGCAGAGGCATGAGGACTCGAGGAGGGCCGAGGGGAATACTGCGAGTCCTCTGCGGGACCGTGCGAAGGCGTCTGGGTGCCGCAGTCCAGCGATGGCGTCCGCACATCGCAACGCTGCACTGCCAGCTTGGTCGCACTATCGAGAGTGGGTGTCTTGGCCGGCAGATCGCCAGCTGGCACGGGCTGTCAACCGCCATCCAAGTGGGCTTCAGCGGCAGCCGTCACCGCACCTGCCATCTGACTAGCATCTTTGCACAGCAGCAGCATCTTTACACAGCAGCAGCAGCAGCATCACAAAGTAGGGTATCATCGAACCGACCAGGCATGGCGTTGAATTTTTTTCATTCACAGTCCCATGGCTCTATCTACGCGCAGTGCACAGTCTACCATCCGCGACGCTCAAAGCGCTCAGGGCGGCCGTACTGGTTAGGATCGTACTGGTCAGCACCATGGTTGTCAATGTACTGCTCGTCGTACATCTTCTCCGCGTGGTTCTTGGCCTGACGCTTGGCCTTTTCGCGGTCGAACCAGTCCTCGCCCTTTGTCTCGGCGAGCTGCGGACGTCAGTCACACGAACATTGTCTCCATGGACGGCTGCGGGTGCTCACCTTGTCAACCTCAGCAGCAGCAAAGCCCGCAACAAGCTCCTTGGCGAAGGCGTGCGAGACGGGCTTGCCCTCCTTGCGCTGGTGGTCCTCGAACGCCTTGAAGCCCGCAAAGGCGGCGCCGCCTGCTACCAGCTCGTGGCTGAAGCTGGACTTGTTCTCCTCGAAGTTGTCGTTGTTGTACACCTTCTCGTACGAGTCCTCGCCGTGGTCTGCGGGGTGTTAGTCTCGGCGTGGTCACGGAGGGGCAGGGCGGACGGGGAGACGTACCCCAGAAGCCCATTGTGATGTGTGGTTGGTGTGAGGTGGGGTAAGAGACGAGCTGTAGTGGTGTGGGGAGGTGGCGCGTGGAATTGGAGTGTGTAGATGGAGTGTGTAGATGGAGTGTGTAGATGGAGTGTGTAGATGGAGTGTGTAGATGCATCTCAGCAACGGGCAGACCATCGCCCTTAAGTAGCTTCAGCTCTCGGCGGCCACCATTCTCAAACCGACACCCCGCTGTTGTCTGTCGTCATCTCAGCGAATCGATCTCGCCGTGCCCCTCTCTCTGAACCGTAAGCTATCCAGGGTCCAGAGGTGGCTCAGCTGCGGCACTGCTGCAAGTAACGGTCCGCTATGATGCACTAGGCCATTGTGTGATTCTATGATTGGATAGCTCCTCGGCCAGCTGCTCGGTCGTAGCAGACGCCGCCTCAAGCAGCACCTTGATGGGGCCTAGACGCATGCGTAATGGCCTGTAGCGGAGTGCTCACCGGCCGGTATGCTGGAGTGGTTCTAAGCTAGCCAAGCTTCCTTGGTAAAGCTTATCTCTGACCGCTTCGGCGCCCGCAGCTCGACACGAAGACGTACAGCGGAAAGTCGTGGCTGTGGAGAAATTCGTGCTCAATTCGTGTTCCAGTGGTTCTGAGCGAGGTCCTGGGTTCAATTCGCCTTCCACGTCGTGGCACTGTCGACGTTGCGATTGCAAGCTTCTGATCGCTCGGCAGCGATCTCCCGCATCCCTCGACCAGCCGCGTCAGACGCGTGGACCCCTCACACATGCCCGCGACAACGCACCCCCCGCGCACAGCATGCCAGGGCGACTGCCCACTCCGGCCGACTTCCCGTCTACGGTGGTCCTGAGCATCACGCCCGGTACGTCAGCACACACATTAGACTGCTCCAGCACACACATCAGACTGCTCCAACACACACCGCAGCACCCGTCTAGCAGCTAACCCACCCAGCGCCCGCCTCGCAGCAACCCACCAACATCCTCATCCTCGTGCACGGCCTCGGCGACACCCACACCTCCTTCACGCGGCTGGGGCAGCAGCTGAACCTGCCCGAGACAGCATGCATCGCCATCCAAGCCCCCGCCCCGCTGCCCTTTGACCTCGGCGGCTTCCACTGGGGCGACGACATGGTGTTCGACCAGCACACGGGCGCAATGGACACAGACACGGGATTCCGCGCTGCGACGCGTATCGTGCTTGACCGCGTGATTCGCGAGGGACTGATGCGCGGGTGCGGATACAAGGCGCGCGAGATCGTTGTCTTTGGGTTCGCGCAGGGCGGTATGGTCGGGCTGCAGGTCGCCGTCGAGCTTGGGGAGGAACTGGGCGGTGTTGTTAGTATTGGGGGCCGGCTCCCGGCGTCGCTGGAGCTAAAGGCCAGGAAGAGCAGGACGCCTGTCTTGGTTTGCCGGGCGGTGCGGGCGTCGGCGGTCACGGATAGTGCTGTGGCGAAGATGAAGGATGCGTTTGAGTTTGTTGAGATTAGGGACTGGAAGAAGAATGGCGATGGGATGCCGAGTAGTAGGGAGGAGATGTTGCCGGTTATGCAGTTCTTCGCTCGCAGACTCCGGAGTACGAGGGGTGTGCCGGCTGGGAGCGTGGAGCTTAGTTGATCGAGGCGCTAGTTCACGTCTACGTTCTCACCATCCAAGGGGAGGATTGAATTCATCTGCACGACTACGTTCATGTTGAAGTCGACTTGTAAGCTCGGCCATATACTTCTCGGCCACATACTTCTCGGCCACATAGTTTTCGGCCACCCTACCCACCACGCGTCATCTTCAATTAACGCTCTATATTATCACAACCACTTTGTTAAAATGGATACCCGTGAGCTTGCTATACAGTCTGCGCTTCGTGATCTCGATTCTGGTGTTTTTAAGAGCCAGCGGCAGGCTGCTCGTGCGTACGGAGTTCCTCGATCCACGCTTCAAAGCCGCCTACAGGGCTGTCAACCTCACACGTCAGCACACTCAAAACAGCAGCGACTGACTCCAGAGCAAGAGCGCTTCTTAGTTGAGTGGATTGTTGAAGAGGATAAACGTGCTCAGCCCCCATCCCATCCACGGGTACGAGAAATGGCCTCCCGAATACTTCAGATGAATGGCGACCACGCTCCGCTTGGTCAGCTATGGGTACCCCATTTCATCGCCCGCAACCCGCAGGTTGCCTCTATAGTTGGCCGAACAATTAAGACGGCGAGGACTACAGGAGCTCAGTATGAGACGATTCGTGCCTTTCTTGAGCTATTTGAGCGTACCAGAATCGAGCTGGGTATACAGTATGAGGATATATGGAAAATGGATGAGACTGGGGTCGGCCTTGGGGTACGTACAAACACCAGAGTCCTCGCTAGCTCGTCAAAGAAGAAGGCTTGTATCAAATCCCCAGAGAATCGCGAGTGGGTCTCGCTAATTGAGACGTTATCCACCACAGGCGTCAAGCTTCAATGCCTCGTCATCTTCAGGGGCAAGCATCTACAAGCCACGTGGTTCCCAGCGCACGGAGTACCTGACTGGCTATATACAACCTCGGAATGGATGGACGTCAAATCAGGTTGGATGGACGTCAAATCAGGTTGGATGGACGTCAAATCAGATTGGATGGACGTCAAATCAGATTGGATTGGAGGGGTTACAGCGTATATTTATCCCTAATGCTACTCCCTGCCAAGGCCAATGGAGGCTCCTTCTCGTGGACGGCCATGGCTCTCATGCCCCTGTTGACTTCATGTTGGCCTGTAAGGAGAACAAGATATGGGTCCTCTAGCTTCCCCCTCAGGCCTCACACGTGCTTCAGCCCCTGGATCTTGCTCCTTTCTCTGCTGTTAAGACGAAGTATCAATCAGAGATCCGTGCTCTCTCTGCCCTCGATGACGCAGCACCTACCAAGAAAGAGCGCTTCGTTGTATCATACAACAAGGCAAGAGAGGAAGGCTTGGCTAAGCGAGTAATCCAAGCTGGGTGGAGAGCCTCAGGTCTCTGCCCATATAACGCAGACCTCGTCTTACTCTCATGCCAAGTGTCCAGCCGTCCAGCAACGCCACCACGTGATACCCAGGACTCGGAGCTCCGGAATTCGATTCTCAGCACGCCTCAGAGCGCACAGGCTCTATATAGGGCCCATCGGCAGCTCCTACAGTCAGAGTCTCTCTCACGGAGCACTCGGACAGTGCTTAGCAAGGCAGGCAAGGCTATAGCAAAGGCACATACTCGAGCAGCCGAGCTCCAAGCTGAAAATCAACAACGTAAATATCAACTAGATGGTACTGCTACTGCCCGGAAGAGAAAGCGAGTCCAGCCTGACCTAGATGAGCGCTTTCGTAACGTTGAAGCGATCAAGGCTGCGCTTGAGCGAGCGGCAGCATTACACGCCGAGCAGACATCAAGTTCAGTTGAAGAAGAAGCTCAAAAGGCAGCAGAGGTAGCAGCAGCTCTCACGCTTCAGTCTAGGTGTAGCGAGTGGCAAATATAAGTGTGGCTGTTGAAAACACCACGACTCCAAATGGGGTGCTTCATTTTGGTGGGGTGGCCGAAAACTATACGTGGCCGACAAGTACGTGGCCGACAAGTACATGGCCGACAAGTACATGGCCGACAAGTACATGGCCGAGCTTACTGCTGTTCGTGCACGTGTCGGACGGTGACAGCTTACGTCATCGCTCGAGGCTGTAGTTAGCTTGTAGGTTAAACGCAACTCGACATGTTCACACACACCACACAACCGGAGATGGCCGCACCAAGAACGTCATTGCGCGGGTTCCTCGCGCATGCAAAGAGCGCGCTGCGGAGTGCAATCAGCTCCCAGCAAAAAGTCACTCTGGTCATTGGCAATGAGTCGGCCGGTCAGCGCCTCACATGCCTCGTACAAGCATCCGACGCTGATGGGCGACAGACCTCGACTCGATGACATGCCAGATTCTATATGCATACGTGCGCTCCATGGCGCCGCCAAAAAACGCGTTCACGCCGCTGTACATACCCGTGACCAACATGCCGGCCGCGGGCGTGGACATGAGACGCGAGTTTCTCGCCGTGTTCAAGCATGCAGACATCGAGGCGGCGCATCTGATCACGCTCGACGACCTCCCGGCGCCGTCGGACATGCAGACCAAGCTGAGGCCGGAGAACACAAGGTGGATCCTGGTCGACCACAACGCGCTGCAGGGCCAGCTCGGAAGCATCTACTCCAGCCGCGTGCAGGGCGTGATCGACCACCACGACGACGAAGGCGCGGTGCCCCAGGACACGGGCGCGGAGCCGCGCATCATCGAGAAGAGCGGGAGCTGCACGAGCCTAGTCACAAACTACGTGGGCCCGACGTGGGATACGGTGTCGGGCGGCGCGCTCGACGACGACGCCAGGGTAGCCCAGCTGGGTCTGGCCAGCATCCTCATGGACACGGCGAATCTGCAGGACCAGAGCAAGACGACCGAGCACGACCGCAGGGCTGTCGAGTACCTGGAGGCAAAGGTGCTGCGGTGTCCACAGGTGGCGACGACGTACGACCGCGGCGCGTTCTACGAGGCGATTGACGCGGCGAAGAAGGATATCGGCGCGTTGGAGCTGCAGCACATACTGCAAAAGGACTACAAGGAGTGGGAGCAGGAGGGGCAGAAGCTGGGGATTAGCTCGGTTGTCAAGGAGATTGCGTTCCTGCAGACGAAAGCGGGCGAGGAGGCGGAGGCGGAGGCGGCGTCTTCAACCTCTCAGGCCTTCCTGGACCAACTCGCAGACTTTGCTCGAGAGCGGAGTCTCAATCTCTACAGCGTCATGACGACGAGCACGTCCGCCGGCGGCTCGTTCCAGCGCGAGCTGCTGGTGTGGGCATTCGACGAGAGCGCCGTGTCGTGGGCACAGCGGTTCGCGTCCCAGTCGCAGGGGGAGCTTGGGCTCGAGGCGTGGGAGGAGGATGGCAACGTGGCGAGCGGCGAGGGCGACGGGCAGTGGAGGAGAGTGTGGTGGCAGCGCGAGGTGCAGCACAGTCGCAAACGAGTCGCGCCGCTGCTGAGGCAGGCTCGATGACTGGCTCGGTGACTGGCTCGGTGACTGGCTCGATGACTGGCTCGACGACTGGCTCGATGACTGGCTCGGTGACTGGCTCGACGACTGGCTCGGTGACTGGCTCGGTGACTGGCTCGACGACTGGCTCGACGACTGGCTCGGTGACTGAGCCGGAGCAGGCGAATGTTACTACTTGGTAGAGATGCACGCTTGTGATTAAAGGCACCACACGCGCGCTGCACGATGACGAACAACCAACTACAAACTACAAGTGTCACCTGTAATTACCACGTCGAGCACTGCATCGCGCCGCGCGTCGGCAGTCTCGTGACACCGTGTCCTACCGGGATACCTATGCGGTCGTCGTGTGTCCCCGGTTGCTGGAGGCGGTGTCGTTGCGCGGTGGCACTCGACGCACGTCTCGACATGTCATGCCGGTCTTGTCGCGTCTCAGAACAGGTGATGTGGTGGTGGCGTGTGTGTATACAACGCATGCCAGCCATTTCTCTTCACGGTGGCAACCACGACGGAACAGGGGCACGGTCGCGCTGCAGGCCAGACGGGCGTCTGCAAGCACCAACAATGGAACAGGTTCGCACGCATCACCACGGGGAATCAACTCTGCAGTGCTGCTGGGCAGATGGCCAAGACACGGTTGGAGAATCATTCGCTGCACGGCGAATGGCGGGCTGCAGCGTCGTGACAGCGAAACAGTGCATATGCGCAGCGCTGGTTGAGGGGTGCCAGCACATCAAGCGCGGGGCGCGCAGAAGACAAGCCATGTATGGGGACCCCGGCCAGCAGGTCAAGGCAGACGGGCGCGCGCAGGCCAGGGCAGACGGGCGCGCGCAGGCCAGGGCAGACGGGTGCACGCAGGTCAGGGCAGACGGGTGCACGCAAGTCACGGGGCGCGCGTTGGGGTGCAGGACATGTCGATTCTCACCTTGCAGCGACCGACGAGAAACATGGCAGTCGTGTGCTGTGGCGTGCTGTGGTGAGAGGTGGGTGGTGTGCAGATTCTGGGCTAGCGCTGCGGCTGCAGATTGGGCCAGCCGCTGCGGGAGGAGGCGGGCGGGCGTCAAAACAAACACCAGGCGAGGCTGGCGGTCCAGTCGACTGGACAAGTGGGACGCTGGAGTCTGGACGTGTGTTGGTGTGGGCGGCTGGTCGAGGGTCCCTCGTGTCTCAGCAGTGCGCTGCGAGCTGGACGGTGGCGCTGCGAGCTGGACGGTGGCGCTGCGAGCTGGACGGTGACGGTGACGCTGCCCTCGGTCTGCGGTGATGCTGGCGCGCGAATGCCCGACTCGAGCACCGACTCGAGCACCGACTCGGGCCCTGCCAATCATCCATCGCGAGCGTGTGCAGCCGACTGACAACGCATCCGCTCTCCTTTGGGCAGCGCCAGCCCGCGGCCATGCGGCGCTGTGTGTAAAGACCAAACACCTTGGGCTGTCGCTGCACTCGCCTTCACGGCATGCTGTCTCATGGCGACGACAGCATGTTCCGGCACACTCCTCCGCGTAGGTCCCTCTCGTGCTGTATAATCCGTGTACTGTAGCTGTCCGTTGCTCCACTGCGGTGTCTGTGCCTGGCAGCGCTGCTGGCCCCGTCTGCGACAACCCGGTGCGCATCAGTGCGCCTGTACGATGAGCTGGCAGCGCTGCGACGACGAGGCCAAAACGTCCACATGTCGCCCTCACTCCCCAGCTGCTGACGCCTCCCAGCCAGGTCGCCCGCCGTGCCCGTCCTGCCCGTCCTGCCCGCCGTGCCCGTCCTGCCCGCCGTGCCCGCCCTGCCCGCCGTGCCTGTCCTGCCCCATGTGTCGAGCGTCTCCAAGGTGTCGTCTCGCGCCCACACGCCGCAACACCCGTCCGCGCCGACGACTGCTGTGACCGACGACCCCCCGCCCGCAGAGCCGACCCGCCCTGAACCCAACCACGACTCGTCGCCCGCGCCCGCGACCGCGCCTCTGCCCGCGACTGCGCCCGCGCCTGCGCCCGCGCCCGCCAGCATGGGCTCACGGCCAGCCCTCGAACACGCCCACGGCACCACCGCCCACAATGCCCACAACGCCGTGCCGCGCCCGCACATGGCTTCCTCCCTCTCCGCGCCCGCCGGCAAGCTCCCGCGCCTGCTGCCCGCGGACCTGTCCGCCTACAGCGACGCCCTCCTGCCCTCGGCCGCCATCCCCACCTCGGCCACGTCGCTCGCCGAGCTCGCCCACCTCATCCGCCTGCAGGGCCACCAGGAGCAGCGCAAGGCCCACTCGCGCCTGCGCCTGCACCGCTGGCTGGTCTCGAGCGCCCTGTCGGCCCGCATGGTCCACTGCGGCGAGCTGGCCTACCGCACCCTCGTCGACAACTTCCGCTCCGACGACAAGAAGAGCTTCGCGCACCTGTACAACGCCCTCAACGACGTCCGCAGCTCGTGCGATGCCACCCGCCAGTACGCCCTGCTGGAGCCCGACCTGCATCTCGGACCCGCCAGGGCCGCCGTCAAGACGGACAAGGCCTCTCTCTCCACCTTTGTCAGCGACGTGCCGGCCAGGATCCTCGACGACCTGCTCGGCTTCATTTCAGAGCTCCGCACCAACCCCGATTTCCTCGCGGCCCGAATCGCGAGCTTGTCGCAGCAGGAGCTCGCCGCGCTCTCGTCGTTTCGCCAGGCCCTCGATCCCGTCGAGTCTGTCATTGCCATCACCGGCGCCCGGGCCAAGAACGCGGCTGCGAGCAAGCCCAGCCAGAGCGGCCCCAGCCCGGTCGAGCGCCTGCTGAGCTTCCAGCGACACGACCCGCTCGCCGCCCTCGTCTACACCATCTTCGCCAACTCGTCTGGGCCGGACTCGGCCGAGGACCTGCGCCGGACCGATGTGTGGGCCGCGACGTGCGCCAAGATGATCAGGGAGAACAAGGCGGGGACAGACAGGTTTGTCAAGACGGTCCTCGACGTCTGGGCCAGCATGCGGGAGTGGCCGGGGAAAGCCAACCTGGAGCTCTACCTCACCCAGGCCCTGCAGGACGGCCAGTTCCTGCTGGAAAAGGCCGAGGAGCAGCCCGCGCGACAAGGACAGCCGCCGCCGCGGACGACCAAGGACACCATCGCCGCGGACGAGTTCTTCGACAAGGCTGTGAAGCGCCTGTTTGAAGTCGTCGACGACGAGCCGAGCGCCGGCGGCATTCCGGACGGCGTCTTGGAAATCGGGAACGCTATCCTGCGCAAGTTGGACGACGAGAGAGGTGCCCGCCGGGGCGCCCAGATGTTCTTCGTCTCGCGCTGGCTGTTCACCACGTACCTGATGAACGCAATCATCCACCCCGAGGCACGTTGTCCACGGCAGCCGTCTCGCCATGCTTGGCTAACCGCAGCAGACACACGGCATCATGATCGAGCACCACATCAGCGAACACGCCCGCCAGAAGATCCTCAAGGAGATTGCTGTGCGCGCACAGAAACACGTCTTGGACCTGACGTACAATTGGTACGAGCTTTGCTTTGGTTTCCGCCTCTTCCGGGAAGCTAACTATGGTCACAGGAAGCAGCAAGTGCCTGTTCTTCCCGAGATCCGCACGCACATTGAGAGCATAATAGCCAGGTTCAAGCACACCAAGACATACTCCAAGCCCATCCTCCTGCCTGCAAAGGCCATTACCTCTCCGCGAGAGACGGTCGAAGTGCAGCCGTTCATCGTGCTGTGCCCGTCAGACATCATCACCCTCGTCAACACACTGTTCCCCGAGCGGCGCCCGTCGTCGAGCCATCTGAACAAGGACGCCGAGCGCCGCGGTGGAATCGCCTCGTCTGCGTCCTCCATGTCTGGAATCTCCATGCCGTTCCGCAGCGCTTCGGCGGCGACGGCGGCGACGGCGGCGACGACGGCGACGACGGACGCAAGCTCGATCCTGAGCGCGAGCGCATCATCCATGACCAGCGACACTACCTCGCGGGAGCCCCTCTTGGACACGGACAATGTTGATCTGGGCCGGCCTGTGGGAGAAGCATACGGCGAATCAAACATTGCGCCTAGCGAGAGCTACGGGCGACACCTGAGGATGGCGTGCTCCGAGATGACGCGCATCCTCGGTGGTGACGCCACCTCTGGCACATGCCATCCTTGCAAAGAGCGCTGGGCGGTGCTGTACATTTCGGCTGACGGCAAGCACCTCAAGCCGCGCATGCGCAAGGATGCAGACGACGAAGACGAGCACGACGAGGACTCGCACGACACGGACAGCAGCGACGACGAGGGCTCGGGAGCGATCGACCTCGAGAACGACTACCACCAGCTGAAGGATGCCATCGCCAAGCTCGTCGACGAGTACGAGATACCAAAGGAGCTGGCGCCCGACAGCGAGTCCAAGAGCTTCAGCAACCGCATGACGACGCGCAAGGCCGGCAGAGGCCGTGGCCTGGGCCGAGTCGCCAGCGAGTCCTTTGCGTCTCGCAACCCCTACAATCAACCGCAGGCTCAGACGCAGAGCCAGCTCACCAGCCTGATTGCGAGCCAGCGCAACGTCCCAGCGCGGCATCGCTCACCGCAGCATGCACGGAGCAACAGCAACCCACAGAATCCAAACGAGCGGCAGGAGAGCAACTCGGTCCTGGTCACGATGCTCGAGTCGGCCATGCTCCAATGCCAGGCTCGCTCCGACTTTGTCAGCGCGCTCATGTACCACAAGACGCTGGCCAGCCTCCGCAGACTGAGCTCGCCCACACTCGTCAAGAACGGCTATGCGGCGCTGCTCAACTACTTCTCGCGCGGCCCTCGCGATTCGCTCAGCAAGGCCGCCAACGCCATTGAAGAGTTCGAAGCCTGGTTCGTCTGGTTGAAGCAGTCTCAGGAGCGGGCCGACGGCATGATTGAAGAGATGATGGTCGGGTTCAAAAAGTTGCGCGACAAGATGTGGTACATTAGCGACGTCCGGGGCTCGAAAGAGTACGATGACGCCAAGAACGTCGCCCTCGCGCTCAAGATCATGGGCCAGCCGACCAAGACGCTGGACGGCAAGCCCTTGCAGGCGCCCCGCGCCCGCAACCACTCCAAGTCGTCCTCGAACAATTTCGCGCTGAGGAACGAGGCCCAGCTTGTGGACGTCATGGCTGCATCTCAGGACTTTGGCGGGCCGAACAAGCTGTCAGACGAGCAGTCGGAGATGACGCTGAAGTGGATCAATCAGTATGGCATCGAGAACTTTTGCAAGGGCGAGGAGCGCATCCACCGCTTCTGCCTCGAAATCGACAAGTGCGTCAACAAGATCGTGGCCGACAACCTGATGGAAGGCCCCACGCTCTGGGCCAGCGACTTGTACAAGCGCGACCAGCAGATCTTGGACAGCGGCCGCCAGAAGGGCGATCTCTTCCTCACCGGTGTCGGGACGCTGTCCGTCGCCGGCGACGACGAGTATGAGACTCACGGTCGGCCTGGCTCGCGGAGCCTCGACTTTGCACAGCGCCCCAGTCACAGCAGCCTGCGCTCGGCTGCCAACCGCAACGTGTCGGGCAACTTTGATCAGAGCCCCTGGGCCACCAGTCCCGTTGACTCGCACGACTACTTTGGTGGCTCGTCACCACTCATGGCCATCGACTCGGCCACGACCTTCTGGTCGCCGTTCCAGACGCAGGCTCAGTCGCCGACGAGCGCCGCCAGCATCCGGCCGCGCACTGCATCGTCCTCCAAGGGCACGGTGATGCTGAAGCAGTCGGCAAGCGTCAACGAGGAGAAGCGCCGCTTCCTGCTCGACCTGAAGCAGACGCTGACGGGTCTGCTGCTGAGCGATCTTGGCACCATGGTCTTCGCCGCCGGGAGCGAGACGGATTCTTGGTTTGGCGGTGACATCCTGGAAGACTGCATCCAGCGCAGGGACGAAGAAGAGCGCAGGCGCAAGAAACAGCTTGCCAAGAAGAAGAGCGTCAAGAGCCTGCGCAAGCCGACCCATGTCGATCAACGCAATGTGCCGCTCGACACGCTGGGGAGGACCGAGAGAGGCCAGGCTGCACCTCCTGTCGCCACGCTCCAGCACGCTGCGGGCTCTGATGCCCAGCACTCTGCAGGCGAGCATTCTTCGACGTCGAGCGACGCCACATCGCGGTCGGCAGGCGTGGCTGCCAAGAAGGCTGGCCTGCTCGAGTTCCCGTACAACGTTGCCTTCCGACGGTTGCTGACCAAGTTTGCAACGCACCCGAACCCCTACACGAAGCTCCACGCTCTGTACGAGCTCGAGCTCCTCATCATCGCCTCCCTCTCCTCTCGCTCGGCCCGCTCCTACAGCAGCCGCCGCGAGACTCTGCCCACCGTTGCGCAGTCGCCCACCCTCGGCGCAGTGCCCGAGTACAGCTCTCGCGAGCCCGCAGCACAGCACTCGCGCGCCCAGAATCTCGACGAGGCAATCGCAAACTGCTCCGAGCGCCGCGCATACACCATGGCCGGCGACCGCTCCTCCCCCGTTCCCTACCGCAGCGACGCGCGCTCCCCCGTCGGGCCCCCCAGCACCGACATGATTGTCGAAGTCATCCAGAGCCTGCTCCGCGACGCCGACGTGCGGCCCAAATCCCTCTTCCGCGACCTGCAATACATTGCCTCGTTCGTGCCGGCGACCATGCTCGACAAGACCGAGCGCGGCAAGGCGTTCTGGGACGTCGGTCTCGCCGCCCTCGGGCTCAAGCAGGACGTGTGCCGGATCATGGTCGAGCTCGTCGACGAAGTCATCAACGCATCCAACACATCACGCGCCGCAACCCTGCAGCAATCCAGCGCCGAGAAACCCAGCTCCCGCACAGGCACCCCCGCGCCAGCACCACAGCCCCGCTACACAATGCAAGACGCAGCTCGCATGCTCCTCATCACCGCCAAAGAAGGCGACGCCGTCGCAGAGCGCGAACTCGCCATCTTCTACCTCACGAGCCCGGAGCTACTGCACCGCGCTGTCCTGCCGCTCACCCGCCCCAGCGATGTGTTCAAGACGGAGCTGCTCAACCGCGAGAGGAAGGCGAGCCAAGATCCGCAGCGCAGCGATCCCATGACGATGTGTGTTGCGCAGCATTGGATGGAGCAGAGCATGCGCGGTGGCGATGGGCTGGCGGCCAAGTATTTGCGGCAGAGGAGCGAGCTTGAGAGTATACCCAGTCGCGCCTAGAGGGAAGTGTGGGTGACGTGTGTTGGCGTTTTGGTTGCATGGCGCGGTGTTTCTGGTTTTTTGTTTCTTGTTTCTGCTTTCTTCCTGGCTCCTGCCTGGCTCGCCTTTTTTTCGTCTTTTTTCTTGGGGTTTTTGGCGTAATGGGCATAGCATGATTCCCCCTACTCTGTTCTGCCGCACCGAACGCGCAGGAGCGGCGTGTTGTTGGCGTTGGATGCGTATACGGTCGCGGTGCTGTTTGCGGTGCTGTTTGCGGTGCTGTTTGCGGTGCTGTTTGCGGTGCTGTTTGCGGTGCTGTTTGCGGTGCTGTTTGCGGTGCTGTTCGCGGTGCTGTTCGCGAGGTGCATGATGCATGGATAGATGGATGAATGTCGCGGTATCGCGGCGGTGATTGCATTGTGATGGTGATGGTAGTTGAGATGGTAATTAGATACCCATAAATTTACAGTGTAACAATCCCCATGCAATCCCCAGACCGCTCTTGCCCCTCTCGATACTCTCTATATGTAATCGGTCAAATGTTGTGTTCCTCAGCATATACCCACCATATTCAAGTGGCACGTTGCCTCACTCAGATACGAAGTACTCAGATGCTCCTAGAGGCTAGCGAGCATGCACCATCTCCACCTCCACACCTTTTATCTGGTAGCCGCGATACCGCACCAATGAGTCCGTCTACCGTCAGAGCTGCGTGATGTTCCTTTATCAAAGTACCACTTGTTCGCCTCAGCCGCCCCCGCACGTGTAGCTACCATGCCCGTAGCATCCGCCCGTTTCTCACGAGCCATGCATAGCTTCAGTGTACACACACGTGCCAGAGACTCACACTCGTGCTCGCACTCGCTTAGACTTGCCGACTATTCCATAGCCGTTGCGTCGAAGTCACGACTGAAAGGGCTGGGGGGCTTGATGGCATAATATCCACATTCTTCTCCTGGGCCGACTCAGTTCACATGTGGACTGGAGTGGGAGCAACGGCGGGGCGTGCATGGCGTAAACCCCGAGTCGGCGTGCTCGGGAGATGTGCACAGCTTACGTACCGTGCCGTCCATGAGAGTACCGCGGAGCGTGACTGCGCAACGGGGAGGGGGAGGTCAGCTGATCTGGCCATATGAGTGGACACTGGAGACGGGTTGGCAATTCTGTTTGTTGTCTGGATCTAAACTACGTTCTGCTCGTACTCGTGCAAATCTCTTTCTAACGCTCGTTCAGTGCTCGTGGCCGTGGCCGTGGTGGTCGTTCGCACCGCCAAAGTCCATCTTCCAGCCGCGCCCGATACCAACGCCGGGATCGCGGATGATCGCATAAGCCGCTTTCTTGCCGTCTGCAGCGTGGTATGAGAGGGGTGCAGGCATCCTCCTCTTGCTCTCCTTGGCGCCCTCCTGCATGACAATAACCTCGTCCTTGTCCTTCCATGCGCTGGGGGCATTCACGATGATGACCTTCTCGACGCGGACCTTGTCCATTGTCTTGGCATACTTCTCGAACTTGACGGTGCGCATGGTGCTGGTGTCGAGGTTCACCGAAGTGAGGATGTTGCGCTTGCCGTCGAAGGAGAAGCGGCGATGGATGAACGCGCCGCCCTGGTAGTCAAATGTCTCGCCGTCGTCGAGGTAGAGCGTGCCAGCCGCGTTGCCGTCCTTGTCGAGGACAACGACGAGAGTGAAAGGGTCGTACTTCATCAGGCCTGAGGATCGGCGAGGACGGTCACGACGGGGGATGATGTGGCCGCCGCGCATCAGGAGTGGGATCTTCTCGAGAGGCGCAGGGACGGTGTGCTGGCCCTTACCACTGTAGGTGGTGTAGTCGAAGTAGTCGAAGTACGGCTGGTCATCTGCAAGGTAGACAGAGACGCTGTCAGCGCCCTCCTTTGTGACCGGCTTGGCAAGCAGACCAGTGGATCCGATGTAAAGTTGGTCGTCGATAGCGAAACCAGCCTCATCCTCAGGGTGGACATAGAAGTTGGGCCGAACGATTGGTGCACCAGAAACGTGTGCCTCGTGAAAGGCTGTGTACCACGCAGGTAGGAGCTGGTAACGGAGACGCAGCGCTTGTGTGATAATCTCGGTGTATGGTGATCCGGGGATGTAGGGCTCACGACGACGAGTGTCGATGTGGGCGTGGCCGCGGAAGAAGGGGTAGTAGATACCAGCCTGGTACCAGCGAGTAAGAAGCTCCTTGCTGGGGTTGCCGAAGAAACCACCGACATCAGCACCCGCAAATGGGAAGCCAGAGATACCCTGGTTGAGGACCATAGGCAGGGATGCCTCGAGATGGGGCCAATCAGCCTGGTTATCGCCGGTCCACATGGCAGCACTGCGCTGACTGCCAGAGTAGAACGCACGAGTCAGAACGAAGGGGCGGCGAAGCTCACCCTTTTTTCGCTCAGTCAAAGCCTGGTAGGTAGCATTGTGGAAGGTCATGCCGTTGATGTTGTGAACGTCACGATGCTCCCAGTCGCCGTGATGCAGGTTGTCCTTGGGCATGGTTGTCTCAGGACCGTTAAAGACCGAGGGCTCGTTCATGTCGTTCCATATGAACGTGTTGTGTGCAGAGCCCTTGAACTTGTCGTACTTGAAGAGACCCTTCCACCAGTCGATAGCAGCGGGGTTAAAGCAGTCGACCCACATTGAAGAACCGGGCCAGCACCAACCTTCGTACTGGTTGCCGTCCTTATTCTTGACAGCAAGGTCCTTCTTCTTCAGCTCGTCAATGATCGGGTAGTCGTTGGTATTCTTGATGTGAGGGTCAATGATGGCTACGAGCTTCCTGTCGCGCTTGTCGAGTTGCTGCTGCATCGAGATTGGATCGACGAATGTGAGAGGGTCCCAGGTAAAGTACTCCTTCTCGTGAGTGTACTCAATGTCAAGCCAGATGACATCGTATGGAATGTTGAACTTATCGAAGCGACGGTCAACATCCTTGACATCCTCATCAGTGACGTAGTTCCAGCGGCACTGGTGGTAGGCAATGGCGAAGGACTGGGGCATGGCAGTGTAGCCAGTAAGCTCGCCGTACTGACGAGTAAGGTCCTGAGGGGTGGGGCCAAGGAAGACAAATACATCCAGCAGACCGCTCTCCGACATCCAGTGGGTCTGGGTGTCAGTGTGACCCTCGACGCCCAGAGCAAGCGGGTTAGCAGTATTCCTCTTTTTGGTCACATCGATCCAGGTCTCAGCAGCGTTGAGCCAGAAGACACCAACAGTGGAGCCCTTGCGGTGAGCCTGCATGAAGGGAATAGCACCATACAGGGTCATAGGGCTGTCCATCTCGTACTCGAAGACATCGGCGTTGTACAGACGGTACGGCTCGGTGTAAGCATCGTCGCCGCCCCTGCTGTGTGTCAGTTGGGCTCTTGAGTTTAAAAATTCTTGTCAAGCCTACCTGGTAGTCTTCAATGAGAGACGCGTGGCATGCTCCGGGATACCAAAGACATGCGCGTAGCCTGGGAAAGAGATATCGAGAGAGATAGCTTCAGGTCCCCTAGGCTTTGTATCGGTGTTCCCACCAAAGCTCTCGTCCCACCAGGTGCTCTCATCTTCGCCTTTCTCCTCTTCGACTTTGGCTTCTTCCTTGTTCTCCTCTTCGACTTTGGCTTCTTCCTTGTTCTCCTCACCTTCCTTGGGTTCTTCACTGGGCTTTTCGACCTTTGGTCTCCAATGCTCGAGGTTCAGAAATCCACGCTCGTTGAACTTGACTTGCGTCTCGCCGTCTCGCTGGAACTCGATCGAGAAGGGCGAATGGCGGATGATAGCTTGGTGCTTGCTGCCTTTGCCATAGACTACCTTGGTGTAGCCAGCATCAGCGGCCTCGGCCAGTGCAGCACCGCTGGAGGGCTTCAAGCCACCAACAAGAGCCCATTTACCAGCCTCATTATAGCGTTCCTTCCTGGCCTTGCTGTCATGACGAAGGTCGATATCGCCCTTCTGCCTCCTTGCTTCGTCGAGAGTGACGCGCGCGACACCAGATTCGAGGAATGTTACCGAAAGTGGCAACTGAACCTTCTCCTGACCGTTGTTGATTGCTTTCAGAACGACAGCGCTCAATTGGCCATCTTTGAACTTGAGAGTCGCTGGGTCGAGGGCGTATGGGGAGACGAAGGAGCCCGATGCGGTGACGTCGTCCGCGAATGCGCGATTGCGCTTACAGAAGCCAGACTGCTCGCAAGTCTTGAAATTCTCATGTTTGACGGCAACTGTTCTCTTGCATTAGGAACTTGAGGAGGAAAGATATGCATATCTCAGGGCTACGCCCGCGATTGGAGCTTCGAGTACTTACCAGCTGGCAAGAGCAAGCTGCACAGCGCCGTCCAAAGCAATAGTACGGCCGTCCACCGGGGAGCGGACCGCTGTTGTAATGTGACCATATCCAGCAGCTCTCAAAGCAGATACCGCTTGAGCCAAAGGGATTGCTGTCAACTTCTCCCCAGATGTCTGATGAAACGTAGCAGCTCTTAGTAAGCGCTGCAAACACGCCAAACATGCGCCATCCAGGGTCGCCGTCTCACCGCCACTAAGAACGCGGGGCGCCAACAGCTGGCGCAGCACCCCACCAACCAACACCAAGAGAATTTTAGTGCAGGAATGCCCGAGACCAATTCTTCTCCGTTCCTCTCTGGCATCCCCGACCCTCTCATCTTCTCGACGGAAACCATCTTCGAAAGAACATCAAACTCCTCCACACCGCCAACATGACTACCGAGCAGACGTATGTGACGTCCCCAATTGCACACTGACGAGGGGTAAACAATTGAAAGGCGGTGTAGCTAACTGTTGGGAATAGCTTCATTGCTATCAAGCCTGATGGCGTCCAGGTACGCACAACACCACGAGTCACTGCAATTACAGCATTCAACTCAACGGCCATGGAACGACACGACGTAGTAGCATCATGCTAACCCTGCCCTCAGCGTGGCCTCATTGGCCCCATCATCTCCCGCTTTGAGAACCGCGGCTTCAAGCTTGCGGCCATCAAGCTCGTCCAGCCCGGTAAGGAGCACCTCGAGAAGCACTACGAGGACCTCAACGGCAAGCCCTTCTTCCCCGGTCTGATCGCCTGTACGTACCCTCCGTCTCCATACCCTCTACGTGCCCCTCCAAGACCCCTGCAGAGAGACCCTGCAGAGACCCTGCAAACCCTCCCCTCTCAGCCGCCCACGTGGCATTGCATACTGACAAGCGCCAGACATGGCCTCGGGCCCCATCTGCGCCATGGTCTGGGAGGGCCGCGACGCCGTCAAGACCGGCCGTGTCCTCCTCGGTGCCACCAACCCCGCCGCCTCGGCCCCAGGCACCATCCGTGGTGACTTCGCCATCGATGTCGGCCGCAACGTCTGCCACGGCTCCGACTCTGTCGAGAACGCCCAGAAGGAGATTGCTCTGTGGTTCAAGGACGGCGAGGTCCAGTCCTGGAAGCAGGCTGGCTTCGACTGGATCTACGAGAAGGCTTAAGCGCTTTCTCGATTTGATTGAACGGCCGGAGTGTTGTTGAGAGTACACCTAGTAAGGTCAGCCCCCGGGTGGACGGAGTATGTCAGTAATGCTGCAGTCTCGTACTGCGGTGTGAACAGATGGTCTGTCTGTGCGGTGATGGTCTGGAAAGGTACACGAAACAGCGCAATAGCCATAACGATACGATCTTGACGGACAAATTAAAACCCAAAATGAGACACACGCATGATCTCAACACAAGTCGCTTCTCAACATCGTCGTGTTGTGATGCTATATCCAATGGCGGGTGGTATGTACCACACAAAGCTTGTAGTGACTACTCGTGTTCCTTGACCTCGTCGACCTGGACATCAGCCCCCTTACTACCACCCCTAAGCTCTCTCCTCAGGCCCAGCCTTTCCGCCTCCCTCTCTTCAAGCACCTCCTTAACAATCCCCACATACCACCCCCTCAGCTTCTCCACCTCCGCCCACTCACCCAGCCCTCTCTCAACAGCCGGCCCCTTAACCTCCTCCCTCGCCCTTAGCTCGCCCCACCTGCCGCCCTTCTTGCCCCAAACCGGCTTCCCGTAGCGCCACACACACCACGAGCTCTCCTCGGCACTTCGCAGCCGTGGTTCCCGCCTGCGACTCTCGACCTTGAACGCACGCAACAGCACCACGTCACCGACTTCCGCCGCGGGAAGCGCAGTCTGATACGCGCGGAACACATCGACGCGCCGCGTCTGCGGCCAGATACTCAGATCCGTGACGCTGAGGCTGGTCGTCCAGTCTCGTGGACCGTTGGTCGCCTGCGCCGGGGTTATCGAAGAGGATGTGCAGAGCGCGAGGATGTCGGGGTTCGCGGCGGAGTGGAACTGGGACGAGCGGTTGAGGAAGTAGATTAGGTCGCGCAGGGGCGTGTAGTATGCCAGCGGGGTTGAGAGGCCGAGGGAGGGCGGCTCTGGCTTTGTCACTAGAGTCGCGTCCTGGTCTTCGGCTGAGATGGCGGAGGAGGATTGGTAGATAGGCGATGACTGCTGAGCGGGTGATGTGGATTTGGGTTCGGTGGTGGCAGGTTTGCGGCGCGGAGAGGTCCGGAGGATGGGTGAGTGGGGCGCGGGTTGTGTTTCTACGCCTGGGAGGGGGACGTCAAAGGAGCGAAGTGTTGCGGTTGCTGAGGTTGTTTGTGTGAGGTCCGGTGTGATAAGGTGACTTTGTTCGGGTTGGCGGGCTTGGAAGGATAGAGGTGGCTCCGCGGCTGTTTGCTGGGTTTCGTCTGGTGTGAGAAGATTACTCTCTTGGAGGGTCGTCTGTGCGGAGGCCGGTGCTAGTGGAGAGCTGTGAATGTTGCCTCTGCTTTCAGCGGACAAGATGGGATAGACGATGGACTGTTCTTTAGCCTTTGATGTGTCCTCTCGACCTTGGTCTTCGTCGACTACCTCAGGGACCGGAGGAGATACTTGTACTGCCGCTTTCAATGTACGTGCGATTCGAGGGCTTGGGGTAGACGAAAAAGTTGAACGCGTCAGTCTGGGTGACCGCCTTGGGGATTGAGGTGGCTGGATAGGTGACACAACGCTTTGTTGCCTCATCGACCTTGACCTGGAGCGAGTCTGACGTTGTGATTGCAGAAAGCTTGGTGGTGGCTTTAGTTGAGGTGTAGCTGGCTGCAGGTCATCGGTGACTTCAGCTGGGTCACTCCTGTTAGCACGACCTACATCGTCATCAGAGGCATGAACCGTGGAGATTGAGCTTTCTGAGTGAGAAGTGTTCTCCTCGGAGTCCTTCACGAAGCCTACGTCGGAGTATCTACCTTGCGAAAGCTGTGAATATCCGAACCCCAGCTCTTGCGACGGCTCGAATATGCTACCAAACAGATCTCGGTTCTCGACTTGAGAAGGGACGATGTCAAAGTCGGTGTCTCGCCGTTCGAGTTTGCGAGGACTCCGGCGAGCCGGGAGCTGAGGAGCAGTGACACTCTGGTCGGGCGAGAGTTGCTTAGACTGTGAGCGCAAACTGTAGGGTGAGGTATGAGTTACGTCTTGCGTTCCCGTAGTTGTCGTTGACCTTGGAGGTCCTCGGCTTTGCGTGGGTGATGTAGCATCCCGGTTGGTGGAATCGAATGAGGCTTTAGATCTTATGCGTCGCACACTCGTGCTGATCCTAGACACATACCCCTCTTCCTCGATCGGAGAGGCTGCAGACTTCGCTTTCGATCTAGTGTTCCTCGCCGGAGCAGTGGCAGGCACAGATTTGTATTGGATTTCTCCAAGCTTGTGGCCATTCTCTGGAACAGATATCCAAAGCTCTGTGGCAGGATCGGTGGCAGACTCCTGCGGTACATCCTGACTTTGGCTGATGAGGTATGAAGAGCCATCTTCCACTGACTCGGTCTTGACCTCTGAATGTTCAGCATCGGTCCGTGTATCCGCTGCCTCTTCTATCAGAACATCTGCAGCGTCCGCTTGGGCACCACCGGGCGAGTCTTCAATATCTCGGAGCGGGTTTTCCTCTCCGATAAACGGCAAGGGCTCGTCCATTCCCAGCTGCGGCTCCCAGTCATCGAACTCCACACTAAGTGGCTGATCGTAGGTATCTGGTATGGAGATCGAAGCCGGTTCGCGGATGGGGCCGTCCGGGCTGGAGGATAATACAACCGTCGATTTCTGCGTTATGTCTTGGCCAACGAAGTCGTCGAAATTGAGGTCCTTATGACTGGTTGCAGAGGTGGGTTGAACTATCGGTCCCACTCGGAGATCGGTATTATCGTCTTCAAGATCTTGAGCGGTCTCAGTAGGGTCGTTCGGCTCTGCCTCGTTGACGGTTTGCACGGGGATTGATGCGATAGAAGGGCTGTCGTTGTGATCAGTGTCGCTGCCTCCATCCGCTGAAGGGGAGCCGAGATCCACAACTTCAGACACAGCTACAGATGTCTGTGTTGCTACAAACGTGTCGTCTTGCTGGGATTGAGGCTGCTCGTCTTCTGCCTCCGACTCAAAGCTCGTTGTCGGGCTCTCTTGGCCTTTCCGTCCTTCGTAGCTTGCAGGCGGTGCGTGCTGGGCATCGATCTCATCAGTCTCGGCCTCGGACTCAAGTACAGACCCCGACTCAAATTTAGACTCGGACTCAGCTTTCTCCTCACTCTCTGACTCAGTTTCTTCCTCTGTGGTGCGATCCATCTCAGGCTCGGCCATGATTTCGTCTTCCACTTCATCCTTACAATCTTCGTACTCTACGTCAGAAGAAAGGACAACCATGTTGGAAGACTTTGGCACTGCTTCAGTAGGATCTGCTTCCGCTGGCCCGAAGATAGGCTCCACTGGCGTTTGGGCAGGTTCTGGTACCACCTCTTCGGTCTCGTTGCGAGCTCTGACCGCACTTGTCACGTCTCCATCGAATGTCCCCGCCAGTGACGAGTAGCTCACATCCTCAACAAGTTCAAATTGCTCGGCGAGAGCTGGCTGAGCCTCCTCTCGCTCAATGTTCTCTTCATCTTGAAAAGCAGTCGGCGCGGGCTCTTTGATCGTGATTGGAGGAGCGTCTTCCGGTGGCGGCGAAGACAGTTCGAGAGGACGAGACCAGCCAGCTCCGTCCATGCCGAAAGTGAAGCGCACAGGTGTAAAAGCAGTCTCATGGTCTTGATGCAGACCACCCCCTCTTGAAGAGCTGATTGAACTGAAGAAGGAGTTCTCCATGATGTAGTCAGCATCGTCGTCAATCGCGAGCTCCTGCTGTACAACTGGGCCATCAAGGGGAGCTTGCTGCCGTCCTACTGAGATGTGCTCAAAGTAGGAGATAGCCTGCTCGCCGGGGAAAGGTGAGGGTAACGGAAGTGTAGCCGAGTCCACAGCCTTGAGATTTGGACTTGATGGCTCCCTGCCAATGGGGGTCAACAGGTCTGTCACACTAGGCGCAGCAAAGCCTGTGTATATGTCGGGCAAGCTAGGCGGAGGCATGGCGACTGTGAGAGACTCCTCGGCGACTGTCGCAGTTTCGACGACCTCTGCGACTGTCTCATCGATAGTTGTATCCTCTGCCCCTTCCGAGACCTCCTCAGGCCGCTCAGGTTCGACCTCGGGTTCGCTGTCTTCTTCTGTGGCGTTTGCTTCAACGTCGGTAATCTCATATTCAGCCTCAATAATTGAGGGCTCATCTTCCACCTCTTCAGGCTCGTCTTCCAGCTCAGTAGCCACCTCTGTTGCACTCACGTCGACCGCTTCAACGTCTGGAACAGTGACGTCTTCATCTTCTTCATCGTCTTCCTCATCTTCTGTGTTGAGCTCTGTATCGCCTCCAAAATCGTACTGTGAGTCCAGCGGAGCGCCGTCGTACTCGATTTGAGGAACAGCATCTCGCTGCCGGCGCTCTGGGGTTGTGCTCAAGGGAGCGTAGACCTTCTGCAGCTCTCCGTCGTCGATCGTTGTGTCATCCTCAGCGCTGTCCGCTATTGTAGTCTCCTCGACGTACTCTAAATCTTCTCGCGCTTCTGCTGCGGCTGACATAGCCTCCGTCCTCGAAGGTGATACAGGCGTCCTTGGCAATTGCGGTCGCCGGCTCGGCGAAGACATGGCCTCCTCCAAGTCGTCTTCGATAGCGACATGTTCCTTCTCTGGCGACGGCGTTCTTGTTGTGTATGTCCAAGCTGTCCAGTCTCTGTACGACTTGCGCCGCCGCTTTTTGTCGTGCGTTCCATTGTATGCGTCTGCTAGAGGGTCGAATGCGGGCTGTTCGAAGGAGGGCCTGTCCGAGAGCCGCGCGCGCCTGAGGAAAGCAGGAGAGGACCATTGCGGCATGGGACTGGGCGCCGCTGCCGGTTTCTTGACTGGCGACCGGGGCGCAGGTGTGGGTGCAGCATCGATCAGCTCGAGATTTGCGATTTCAGCTCCGTCTCGGCGCACAGAGATGGCGAGCGTCTGGGTGTATGCCAGCTCCCAGTCGATGCGCTTCCCCGGCGTTCCGACGGCGCCATCCTGCACGAACTGCGCGCCATGCAAGCCCAGGACCACCTCATCGCCAATCCCCACACCCGTTGTCGCAAGAGCTCTCGCGCTTGTCGACGAGAAGTGAGCGCGCACCTGGCCGTTCTTGCGTCGCAGTCGGAGGTCGGGCTCGGCGAGGAGCAGGGCAAACTGGCGCTGGGAGGACGAGTACGGCCATATGAGCGTGACCACGGCTTTGATCTGCTTCGATTCGAGCGCGTCCACGTTCGGTCGCAGCGCTGCGATGTGCACGTGCTCCATACTGTATAAGGTGCGTCGCGTGCACCGTGTTCTTCTTATTATGTGTCGAACATGGCTGCCGACACGTGACGGACCAAGTAGCTCTCCAAAGTGTGCGGTGAAGGGTAGCTGGTGGATTGTCTGGTGTGGAACTCGGTACCGTCATTATTGACGCGCCTACGCTAGTAAGCTACAGCCAGCATCGGTGTCAACTCTCGGTGAGGGGCACCTGCCTCCTTGCGGTCCACACATGTACTACATTGATCATATCTCGAAGACGTACATCGTATGGCCGTCTCGATTGTATGAGGGCTATGCTGGACTTTGTCGACCTGAGAGGGGACCAGGCGATACAATCTTTGTCATTGCAGCAGCCAAATTGCCCGATATCCTCATTGGGATTCTGACTACAGTATCTGGAAGCTGTAGGTCTGGGCACGCAGACGGAGATAATCACATACTTAGTAATTATTAGTAACCATGGTCTGCGCAACGCCCCATGAGATCACGCGCGTAGAGAGCGTTCGCAGCCAGATCTCCATCAGTGTCGTGACTAAACACTACCATCTCGCTCGTGCCAACTTCCAAGACCTCAACGACCACTTCATCGTCGATATCGGCGGGTGCAGCCACCCCACTTGATTAGTCTGCGGCGCGCTTTTTCCTGGCATCATCCACCAGTTGCGTCAGAGATTTCTAGCAGGACCTGTATCTCCACCACGCCTCGCAACACGTTCACTTTTCGCCAAACATACTCTTGAGTATGGAAGCGCGCGAGTCATTACTGAACACTGCGGAGCCCAGATCGACGTTCTTCAAGCCGTTTCGCTGACAATACGACTTCCGCGTGGTGGCACCATAGGACGCTAACACGATAACTGCCTTACGGGACCTACAGAGTCCAGACTGAGCTCCATCTGCGCACCTTGCAGGAATGCAAAAAGCGTACGCGACAGCCTTGCTGCTGTCCTACGCTCCTATTAGCCATGTTTCCGGATTTGGCACCATCAACGAGCCTGCCATCATCGGCCAACATTGCGAGCATGAGCGCATCACCAGAGCCGCATTCGCCTGCCCAGCTGCGCGCCAAATATCGGACGGACGATGCTTCGAAGAGCTGAGCTTGCACCAATTGTCTGGAAGGTCGGACATCTACGTCGGCCAGGGATCAAATGGAGCAGTCGGCGCACCAGACATGCTGGACCCAGTACCAGAAGGACCCGAAGCTCACTGCGACAATGCCGATTTCCTGGACACTCAACTTTTCAACCTCAATGTCGAATATCCAGTGACACGCCAAGAAGCTACAAACCAGCTGCAGATATGCGTCAGTCATATGAGGGGCAGGGTCGAAGAAGGTATCGACGCGGCTGCCAGAATCGTTGACGATGGCGCACGTATCATCACCCCTGAAGTGGACATCAGCACCCTAGATTGCAGATTTTCGTTTCCAGCTCTGCAGATGCACGTCTTCGCAAGAGCGAAGTGCTCTGCCATTGAAGGTTTTGGACGAGCATTGCACGGCGTCCAGGACTTTTACGCACACAGCAATTGGGCCGACGACGCGGAACCACCATTCGGACCCAACAACCCGCCGGGACTGAAGCGGATTGATTCACCGGCTTTCTTAGATCTTCGTGGCGAGAACGACATCACTGAGCAGGTGCCGCACAATTTGTCGACAGGATGTTTTGGCGGGTTATTCACAGATGGACCAGTGGGGAAGGCAGGGCATCCGCTTGAACCAGGCTCTATTGACTGCACTGGACGCATCACCCACCACACTCTTAACAAAGACAATGGAGTCATTGATCATGTCACGGGCATCGTCAGCACTCCAGGCCCGAATACCCCACGAAGCGACCTTCCTGGCAACTTCCAACGCGCTGTTACTGCAGCTATCACAGACTCTCGTCGGCAGTGGCGCCACTTCAGAGAGGCAATTAGACGCACGTACGGCACTGAGCGTGGCAACATCATGATTTGCGCTCTTGTGCGCGACAAGCCTGCTACCGACTGCTACGGACGCCGTGTGGCCATTTTGCGAGATGTGGTGAAGACTGCGAACCGAATTGCTGAGATGCAGATTCCTGTCCACAGGTGGTTGTTGGAAGAGCTTGCCAACAAGCCGCACGACGAAGGGCCAGGAGAAGGCTTAACAGAACAAAATTCGACAAAAAGCAGAGGGTCAAGCGACGACTTGTACAGACTGCATCCTGGCTTCGAAGTCGATTGCGACACCCAAACTAGCCCCGACATTGGTGCAGCAATGGCCGAGCTGGTGAACCACTCTACGCCACTGCCGAAGAATAAGACTGCAGTCGTAGCCTTGACATGCGCACGCAACTCGAATCTCGCGGAGCAAATCGCACACGTCTGGCACGCCGGCGACAAGGGCATGCGCATGCACTTCGGTATTCTCCCCAAGAAAGGCCAGCTCCCATTCGGCCCGAGGCCGCGCGAGCAAACAATATTGACCGGCAAGATCAGAGAAGAGGATCTCATCGCCGCCGTCCTGCGCACGGGCGGCACCTACAGCATCCTGCACAATCGCGAGGCCATACCGCGCTTCGTCGACCACGTCATCTCGCGGGGCCTGACCGAGTACGACAACTCGCGCGACACTGCCACGCTCCTCCCCGTCGGCCTCTCCATCAGCGACTACGTGCAGCCCGAATCAGAGCCGCGCCGCTTCTCATTCGATGCGAGCTACACCGACAACGTTGTCATTGCCGTTGCGCCCATGACGCCCAAGCTCGCGCTACACGTTACTCTGCGTCACGTCAGGAAGAACGTGGTCTTGAACGAACAGTACGTCGGGCGAGGTGGGAATAGCACGTTCAGAGCGAAACTCGACATCGACGATGTGCCGAGGACAGACGCGTGGTTCGAGCTGGAGGTTGCGCATGCAGAGGGAAGGGGCTTGGTGGGAAGTGGACTATTCGAGGTCAGCATCGAGTCGGAGAGTACGGGCGCAAATGCGGAGTCGAGCGGGCAGCATAGATCCGACAAAGACGAGCATGACGAGCTGTAATTCTCTCCAGAGCTGTAGTCCGCGAGGCATAGACTGTCCTGTTAGACCCTTAAAACGATCTACTTTTCTTCTCATGGTAATGCCCAGAGTGGCAGTACAGTGATCCAATGGAGTACTCATATTTGCGGTTCGACATCTGTTCGGTCGATTCAAGAGCAGTATTGAATCGACAGGAGCAATAATATTACCACCTACACGACTTCAAATTACACTTCTCGCACAGGTTGCTTCATGAGGCAGATATCATGTCTGGACGCGGCGTGCGTACATCACCTACATCACGCTTCCTAAATACGCAGCACTGGAGTACTTGAAGTCGATAGAAAGAGCGTCAAGGCTGAAAGGAGACCCAGGTTGGGTTTCGAGGTCAAACTGAACGTACTGGGCGAGCCAATGGCGAGCTACTTATACCTGCTACTCTATTGCAGTTGCATTTGGAGCTTGATAGCCCTGCATCATCGCAAACTCCGCGTATACAGTCAGTCGATTGCTTCGCGGTGGACTTTACCAGGGTCGTCGGTACAACCGTCCCAGAGACCAGGTTTCGCCATCCCAGCAGTGTGTTTACCCTATAAGCTGTGTTGTGGACGCTTGTCCTCGAGCGGCGCGGAACTGTTTTGCTTCGTCGAGATTATGACACTATGTGTGAAATCGCGCGTCTGCGAGGCAGGGATGCGTGAGATTAATGGCGCGGTGTGATCGATCTGCGATGAAAACTGCTCACGATCACTTGGACTTGCGCGATATTCTGCGATCACTGCAGCTGTATCGCATCTGAGGTGACATATTGATCGCAAAACCGGCTGGTCGAAGCAGTGCAAGACGAGAGGGCTTGTTCATGATAGGGCTCAGCCACATGGCCGGAAATTTGATGGCGCGTACGATCATCAGGGACATACCGCATGCTACTGTGATCAACTGCAATTTTCCATCAGCGGCCAGGCTGGAGCTTTCATGTCTCACAGTCGTCAAGACAAGCTTTTGTCTGGCCACGGTAGTCATGGTATCGGTGCTCTGCACGTGACATGAATTCGTATCTTTTGTACCATGGCTCGTTCCAGACAGCGGTGCCCGATCGATCTGGAATATTCGATCATCGTATGTCTTATCAGTCAAACTGCATGTGTAGCGAGCGTGAGCGCGGGTGCATGATTCGACATCCAGTATCTCGCAAGGCGGACCGATTCAGACCGCACGATGGCAGCACGTTCGAGATGGCGGTGAAGGAATTACTTCGTGTCGCAATGGAGACCAGAACATGCTGTTGTGAAAAGATGTTGATGCTTTCAGCCCCTGAGAGAGTACCTCGTATAGCGCAATCGATGTTAGTTTAGAGTTGTACCGATCTACAGGCTCCACCGAGGAAATATTCACTGGTGTTGTGGTATAAATGCCTCAAGCTTGTCTGTTTGGCTACCGGTGTGCGATGCATGGATTCGACTCGAATGCAATCGCAAACGACGGCGAGCACGCAGAGAGGAGGTTGACCGGAAAGGAAGATGCAGGTCGGAGTGACCATCCGGCTTGGAAATGCAGCTGGCCTTGAGGATTGCCGTTGCAGGTGCTTGTAGCTGGGTCATTGCGCAGGTCAGCCCGAACACGCTTGAAAAAATTCAGCTCGGAATTTCATTTCCACACGCTCCACACGCCTGACAACAGGCATCGTGGAAAAAAAAATGAGGCCGAAGCAAGCCAGCGCTCACGATGTTACCAAGGCAGCCGGCCACAACAAACAGGAAGGTGGGGAATGCGGTGCCCGGCTAGACTTTTCGATCATCCGCTTCGGATGGCCGGGCTGTGAGGTAGCGGTCGGCGGCCCCGCAAATTGGGTTGGCGTCTTTGATCGTCGGTGGTCCTCATGACATGGCGCGTCTCGCACAAAGGCGTCTGAAGGTTGTGTATTTGACATCGTGACGTTCGTTGCGTACCAGCAGGTTTCTATGCCGTAATTGCATGCCGCCAGCCCTTCTGGACTCGTGGCACTCTGCAAAATACCATCATCCACGCAGCACGAGCGCGTAAAAACCTCATAAGCTCGTGGCATCGTGGCATGGCAAACGTCAGCGTCAGAACGCGCAGTGGTCAGTGTGGGTCTGTAAAGTGGGCTTGTGGAAACCGTGTGTGCGGCAGAAGCTCGAGCGAAGCAAATTGTGAGAGCGTTGCTGTGAGGGAACTGGCTTGGCTGCGCTTTCCCGCGGCTGAGCCGTCAGAAGTTAGGTGCAGATCCAAGGAATCTAGAAAACGTCCTGTTTCTTCTTGCCGGCCCCACAGATAGTCTCATGCGAGCTGCACGTATGCTCAAAATTTCGGGTTCTGCATGCCTCTCAATCAATCAACGTGGTGATGGGGCAGATAAGGATGGCCTGCTAAGTTATCAAACTCTGCAAGTTGAGTAGTCTTATCACACGACACGATGCAGGATTCTAAAATGGGAAGTCAACGAGGACCTGAGCGGTGGCTCAGCTGCAACGAGCATGGCGTTACGCGGTTGTGCGCACTACACCTGGCAGGGGTCCAGTCTGATCCTCGTCATACAAAGCACGAATAGCGATATTGGCTTGTGTCATCGCGTACTCTGCAACAGCCAGCTCGATGGGTCCACTATTGGAACGCGGCGAATGCTGGTCACATTGAGCACGGGAGTGCCTGAGCGATTTAATTTTGTGCTGCTTTAACGCCCAGCTATCGTGAAAACAAGATGGTACACGGAGTGCTTCTTGTGAGGTGTCGAACTATCTGAATGTGCAAAACTATGGCTTGGAATTGACAACCTGCTTATTGGCGAGTACCTGCCGTTACAGGCTATTGCACGCAAGGGGCTGAAAGAGTGGTGACCCCTGAGCTATCGTGGCTTTCCCCAGACTTTGTTTGGTCGGATCGGCTGTAGCGGTGTAGTGGAGAAGGTCCACGGGTCAAAAATGGCTCAGCGCTAGCCAAGCCTGATCACGTAGTCACCAGAAATGCTACGCGATCATTGGGGTGATCGAGATGCATGCATCAGCAGTCGTGTCTGAGGTTACCGTCAGGGCGTTATTCGTGCTGTTTCCGATCTTACGGTGTGCCGAGGATCGTGAGGCCTTTCAAGGGTTCCAGCCATTCGTCTGCTATAAAGTGATCGCTGACTGCTCCCTCGAAGCAGCAATAATCACCAAGCTTCAATCGTTCAAGCCATCTAGGTACTCCCAGTACTCAATTCAAGACAGGATCGACATCAAAGAACTATCTTCACACAAACCGAGAACTACTCTTAACATTCACCATGCCTTCTCTTCCGTTCAGCGCTTCATCCTCGCCATCTTCTTCTCCCAACTCGTCGCCAGCGCCCTCGATAGTTCTTCATCCCTCATCGGGTATATTTGATCAACCAAACTAAGGCTTGCCATCTAACCTAGCATCAGGCGCTTCATTAAAGAAGTCTCTCCACACTTCGAAAGAGGACGCTGCAGAAGCATACCGCAACCGCTACGCGCAATACCTCGCCTGCACCTTCAACATGTCGATACAAGCCGCGCTGGTCGAGGCTGATAACATGTTGGCTCCCCAGCGTCGCTCGTCGAGTGTGTCGGAAGCCGAGTCATTACGCCAAAGCGAGTTTTAGTTGGATAGTGGGGACTGAAGATTCGACTTTACAACTTTCACGACTTTATGATCTGCATGGATGGGTAACAATCAGCATTGGGCTGATGCAACACGGCGCATACTGACTGTTTGATACAATCTAAATGCCTTTGTTTTCTCTTGTGCATGCTTCGGCAATGGAGCAACCTGCTTCAGCTAACATCGTGACGTATACAGGTCGCGTGCCCCATAACCTTTGATGGTCATAACCTCCTACACCTGGTGGCTCAGATTGCGATAGGCTAACGTCAATCAATTTCGATCTGACTCTCCAACGCGAGGTCACTTGTTGCTGTTTTCAGCGACGACCAAAGTTGGTGTTGATTTTCGATGGTACTGGTGAGATATCGCTTTGCTGTGCTGTTGTGGGGTGGGGGTTGCTACTGCAGCCCAGGCCAAAATTGGCCCCCCCCCCACCAGCTGGTACCTGCCTTCCGCGTGGAGTCTCGGATCTGCGGCTCTCTGGGGCTCTCTGGGGCTCTTTCCAATCGATAAGGTGCGAGGCAATTTCGACTACAAATCATCACGCTGTACTTCTTCCCTTATGCCAATTGCTGGAGACTCTATGAACAATGGAGTCCGCACCACACGCGGTCGCCCACACCTACCCCGCAGCCGTAGAGGTGAAGGCCGAGCATCGGTGAAACCTCAACAACTGACGACCTTCCTGATTCTTTGAGCCTTCGCGAAAGACGATTCGGTTCGAGGTGCATTACTCCGCATTCTTATCAGTCGCCGTGTTGCGCCTCATTGGTGGCAAATAGATCTATTGCCGGACCAGTTGAAAACGCGTGGCGAGCATCGGCGTATCACGTCTGACTCCAACGCTTGCAAAAGAGCCAAGAGCAGCGTGACGCAACGACTGAGCATCGTGAGTGATCTGCTCGCTAGTAAATCATGACTAACATGATCAGATCTGGTATACCGTGGCGTTTCCTTGCTTGCAAACGAAGACTGAACAGTCCAGTCGTACCACAAGCCTGCATTACAGCTGTACATTAGGTCGGTATTGCCAACAGTCGATGCGCCTCGGCAGTGAGGCTGTGTACGTCTCTATCGATTGCACGATTCCGGGAAACGGCAAAGAAGCCCTTGGAGCCGTCAGCCAAGGTTCTTGACCTCTCGTCAATGAGCTGGAAAGCAACAACCAGAGCAACAGAATTGCGTGCAACGAAACTCTTCGCAAAGAGCGCCGGGCGCGGCGTCTCGCGGGCAGAATTTCACAGCGCATAAGATGCACGGGACTACTTCTTACGATGCGTTGGTCTCGCGATGACCACAGGTGAGTAAGGTGTGAATGATGAGGGTTACCAAGACCTCCCCACGCTTGGAAGGACCCACGTAGCTCTCCCTAGCGTGCGCGACCCCGCGAACTTCTGCCCGGGTGGCACGACAAACAGGTATAACTGCCACCCCCGTGAGCGCCTCCCTTCACTCTCTACCAAAGCCACACCACTGTGCCATCGAGTTATTGAATGGGTGAAACCGTACTGCCTAACGTTGAGGAGACCGCTCCCCAAGAAACAGAACCCCCTATAGGTGGTTTAAATGGGCTAAGTACATCTCAACAACAAAGGCAACATCAGCCGACGAGCGACCGCGCCTCTCCGCCGCCGCTACACGCACCGCATACCCTCTCCTTTTCAGAAGTTGCAGAGGCTCTACGCGTAGACTTCAAGTAAGATCAGGGAGATTCTCTTGCTATATCTTGCAGTTTTACTAATTCCTCAACAGCCATGGACTCAGCAACGCTGAAGCAGAGAGTCGCCTCGGCCTCTATGGACCTAACAAGGTTAAGGGAGCTGAGGGGCTTTCCATGTGGAAGATTCTCATGAGGCAGATCTCGAACAGTCTAACGTTCGTCCTGATCATCGTAATGGCCATCAGCTTTGGCATTGATGATTACATCGAGGGCGGCGTCATCACTGCAGTCATCCTACTCAACATCATCGTTGGTTTCTGGCAAGACTATCGTGCTGAAAAGACGATCGAGTCTCTTAAGAAGCTCACTGCCCCCGAGGCTACTGTTACTCGTAATGGCATACCCGATCAAAAGGTCAAGGCCACCGACCTTGTACCCGGTGATATCGTGCAACTCAACGTAGGAAGCATTGTTCCTGCCGATCTTCGTCTCATCGATGGCATGAATGCCTTCACCAACGAAGCTTTCCTTACAGGCGAATCTCTTCCTGTCGAGAAGACCCCCGAGAAGAAGTTCGACGACGCCGATATCGCCACCGCCGACCGTACCAACCTCGCCTTCTCTGGAAGTGAGATGACATCTGGTCGATGCCGTGGTATTGTGGTCGCAACTGCTATGGACACTGAAGTAGGCCAGATTGCTACCATGCTTCGTCAAAAGAAGGACGACAAAGCGCAATCTCAAGGCTTCTTCGCCAAGCTTGTATGGCGATTTGTGAACGGCTTGAAGACTATTCTCGGTCTGGTTGGAACACCACTCCAGATCACGCTCAGCAAGTTTGCCCTCTTGCTCTTCGGTCTCGCCATATTCCTTGCTATCATTGTCTTCTCGGCAAGCAAATGGGTAATTGGAGGCGAAGTCCTCATCTACGGTATCTGTGTGGCCGTCGCGGTCATCCCAGAATCTCTCATCGCCGTGCTTACCATCACCATCGCCGTCGGTGGTAAGGCTATGGCCAAGGCCAATGTCATCACCAGAGTCCAGTCTGCCATCGAAGCTGTCGGTGGCGTCACGAACATCTGTTCTGACAAGACTGGTACACTCACACAGGGTCGCATGGTCTCGAAGAAGGCCCTCATTCCAGGTGTCGGTACCTTCTCCGTGGACGGTATCACCGACCCTTACAACCCAGGAAGCGGCCAAGTCAGCCTCGATGGCCAGGTTCTTGCACTTGAGGCCTACCGACCTGACACTGTACTCGCTCGCTTCCTTCGCACCATCGCTCTCTGCAACAATTCCAAGGTCCTGCCTGCGAACGACGGCGACCTGGAGACACGCAGTGAGAAGAAGGATGGTCTTGATCGCTACTCCAACGACAACAAGAGCGAGACTGACGCTTCCACTATCGAGTCCATCTCACGCCCGCCCACTGCCATCCTCAACAATCCCATGACGGGACCATGGAAGGCTCACGGTGAGCCCACTGAGATTGCTCTCCACGTCCTTGCTTCCCGCTTCGGTATGGGCAAGGAGAACCTTCTGAACTCGCTCAACGTGTCTCTCGCCACCGAGTTCTCGTTCGATTCCACGGTCAAGAAAATGACCGTCGTCTACCGTGACAACTCCAACCATAATCTCGATGTCTACACCAAGGGAGCCACCGAATTCATGCTTCCCGTCCTCAACGTTACCGAACAGGAGCGTGAAGGTATTCTACAGGCTGCCGAGTCGATGGCCAATGAAGGTCTTCGTGTGCTGTGTATCGCCCAAAAGACCCTCCTGCCTGGTACCGACATCCACGAGCGTGCTGCAGTCGAGGCCAACCTCAACTACATTGGTCTGGTCGCTATCTATGATCCGCCTCGCCTAGAGACCAAAGGTGCTGTTCGCGAATGTAAGGTTGCTGGTATCACCGTGCACATGCTCACTGGTGATCACCCGGGTACTGCTCGAGCTATCGCTCGCGACGTCGACATCATTAATGACTCTACTCCCGCTTCCGCTGTCATGATTGCTCGCGATTTCGACGATATGAGTGAAGACCAGATCGACGCTATGGAAACTCTCCCTCTTGTCATCGCCAGATGTAGTCCCAAGACCAAGGTCAAAATGGTCCAGGCTCTCCATCGCAGGCGGCGCTTCTGCGTCATGACCGGTGACGGTGTCAACGACTCACCTGCCCTCAAGCAAGCTAATGTCGGTATGGCCATGGGTTCTGGCAGCGATGTCGCCAAGGATGCCGCTGAGATGATTCTGACTGACGATAACTTCGCTTCCATCGTCAAGGCGGTTGAGGAAGGTCGCCGTCTCTTCGACAACATCCAGAAATTCTTGATGCATCTCCTCATCTCCAACATTGCCCAGGTCATCCTTCTCCTAATCGGTCTTGCCTTCAAGGACAATGATAACCACTCTGTCTTCCCCTTGTCGCCTATCGAGATTCTTTGGGTCAACCTCATCACCTCCTCATTCCTCGCCATTGGTCTTGGTCTTGAAGAGAAGCAGGAAGACAGCATGTACCGCCCACCTCAAGACGTCAAGGCTGGTGTCTTCTCCAAGGAACTCATCACCGATAAGTTCATCTATGGTTTCTTCATGGGTGCTCTTTGTCTCTTCTCGTTCGCCATCGTTGCCTACGTCGGCCCCGGTGGTGGCAACCTCGGCTCTGGCTGCAATGAAGGCTTCAACGACACTTGCGACGTTGTGTTCCGCGCTCGCGCTACAACATATACCACCATCACTCTCTTGCTGCTCGTCACAGCTTGGGAGGTCAAGCACTTCGCGCGCTCGCTGTTCAACATGTATCCCAACACCGACCAGAATGTGCCGCGTGGCCTGTCCGTCTTCCCCACGCTCTGGCGCAACCGCTTCCTTTTCTTCGCCGTCATCGCGGGCCTCGTCATGATGTTCCCGATCGTTTACATCCCTATCATCAACGAAAAGGTCTTCAAGCACGGTGCCATCACCTGGGAGTGGGGCGTCAGCTTCGGCTGTGTTGTCCTCTACATCTCGGCCATTGAGATTTGGAAAATGATCAAGCGTCGCTTTGGCATCTGGTCTGGTGCGCATAAGGTCATCTCGAGGGAGGATGCTGAGGCTAGGGCGGGGCTGGATGTTGTCCCAGTGCAGATGATGGGTGAGAAATAAGCCGTGTGATGGCGTTGAGGTGTTTCATTATCATTGTCTCTGTATCGACACAGGTCTGTCTTTATTGACGCTGTGCGTTCATCTGCTTGATGGCTTGCCATCGCTTCACACTCTTTTAGTATCATTATGAGGCTAGAAATCGAATACGGTCACTCCTTCATCCAACCTCTTCTATCGTGACATCTTAACTCTTCTCACCCATGGAATAGACTGGCTGTGATTTGAGAAGAGTTCAAAGTAGATCACACATGGCACTGGAGACAGTCTTTATGGCGTACAACATACAATGTTGCGTCGATAATATTATCGCGGCCCATATATCGACATCCAGCTCATTGTAATAACTCTGATTCTAGAACGCAGATGCTCGCTGCGATGCTCCTGTACGCCTCGCTGAACCCACGCTACAATGCGACGACATATAAATGTAATATGGGTGCTTCACGACCCTCACGCCATTGTGGTAACTCAATTCTCTTACTCGTCAACAAGCGCACCCAGGATCAGACTCTGGATGACAAATTCGGCGCTCGCAACACGCACTCTCCGCCCAGCCATCTCGCCCTTCGCAACGAGCTCTTCGGCCTCGCCGTCATCCCTCTTTCTCTTCTTGCCCTTTTTGAAGCTGCCCTTCGTACTCTTGGCTGGAGCACCCGTGCCGAATAGCTCAGCGGCAGCATCGCCGATACTTCTGTGATCGCTGTCGACGTAGACCCAGTCCCACTGCCCTTGTGCGAGTAGTCGGGTTGCGGCCGCAAGGTCCGCACAGCGTCCTACGCTTGATGCACCGAGAGCATGTGTGAGGAAGACGAAAGGCTGACGCTTCTCGATCTCTTTCTTGTATTTGCCAGTGACGAGGAGTACGGACTGATCTTGGAGCAACAGATCGCGGTCTTGGAACGTCTTCTCGAATGACAAGTCGTCGCTCGAAGGATTGTAGATGCGCATCGCCCGTGATCGCACGATGCCGTTGGGATCGAGGTACTTCGAGAGACCAGCAGGCAGTAGGTAGCGCGCGAAGCTCACCGCATGAGCCACCGATAGCGAGTCGCTGACCCAGCGCAGATGCAGGCAGGGCACGTTGAGAGCAAGAGCCTGTAGGTACTTCGTGCTGCGGGAGTGCGAATCAGTGATGAGGGCAACAAAGCCAAGCTTCTTGCAATCCTCCTTCAGTTTCAGTATACCTGCGCCTTCGGAAACAGACACTGACGTCCGACGGCTTTGTGAAGCTGATATTCCGATCGACTCGGTGTCGAAAAGCTCGTGGAAGCCTTTCTCCAGAATGTGACCGCCATTTGTCTTGATGGCTCGTGCAATAGCGTCCTTGTCCATACCATCGCCGGTCGACGTCAAGACGAAAGCCATGTTCGAAAACGTACCGCTGCCAGATCGATTTGATGAGGTAACTGAACCAGCACGATTCGTTGCATCCTTCAGCAAAGATGGTGCCGCTAGACCTCTACGCGTGAATGAAGGTGTAGTGAATGATTCGATAGCCACTGGAGTGCCCAGTTCAGAGGCAGCTTTGCGTGGTGAGGATGGCGGCGAAAGTTGGAAGTGGCGATCACGGAATTGTTTCCATAGCTGGGCGGTGATGTAGACACTCGCAATGTGTACAGTGACCTGCTTTGGCTGAGGTAGAGCCTTGCCTGTGGGAACACTGTCGCGCTGCTTCTCCTCTAGGATGAGAGAGACATGTCCGTAACGATCTGTCATGGGGTATTCGTAATTGTGCAAGTCCGCGCACTTGTCTGTCAGACCAACAACAACGTACGTGAGCTTTTTCATGCCAGGCTCATCGACCTTAACCTGATCACCAGGTTTGAGATCGAGCGAGCGTACTTGGAAGGCGTCTGAGGAAGTCGTGTTGCCATCGTCGAAGCGGATCTGAAGTTGCTTTGAGTCTGAGCGCCCAATATAAGTGGCTGGGTAGTAGTGACTGCCCGGCCAAGATGCGAACACTCGATTTGGCACGACCACCTCCCCTGCTTGGATCTCGGATTTCCTTGGCGTCAGGCGGACGGGAAGGCGCGCTGCAGAGGGTGGCGGCGAGCTGGCAAGCTCATCCGTGCTGTCACCAACGTCGCGCATCTCGACATCTGCTTTTTGTCCGACAGGTTTGGTGGCTTTACGAGTAGGTGTTGCAGGTGTGGCCTCCTGTGCAGTTGCCGATGCCTTTGGTTTGGAAGGCGAGTTGATGGGTGAAGACATGGCGGCAATGACAGCCCTAACAGACTTCAAAGAGCCATTCTTGGTGTTCTGAGGCCTTGCAGGTCGTGAAGACCCCTTGGACTTAAGAGTTCTCGGCCAGCCGTACGCTACCGTCTGAACATCTTCTCTGGCTTGTGCTGCTGCAAGTGCACCTTGATCTTCACGTTCCTGGACTGACGCAGTTGGAGGCGTCTCCTCGCGGGTATGTCGTAATGACTTCAGAGGTGATGGTGACACCGGCTTTGGTATCGACTCGGCATTTGCAGCTTCCTTGACGAGGCTTTGGAAGACGCTGCTCTTAGCAGCGAGTGCAGTTCTGCGCCTTTTAGCTGCTGGTGTCGCGGGTGCAGGACTACCCATGTGTGTATCGTCGTCCGCATCGTTGAAGCTGTTGAGACAAGGAAGCTCTATGTCCTCTTCTGCTGCTGAGAGCTGGGTATTCGGAAGGTTTGCAATGTCGCCGAGAGACCGGATGCGGCTCACACTGAGCACTGGATCACTTCCCTCGTCTCTCGAACTGGCTGGAGCAGCCACATGAGACTGTGAGGCTGTCTGCTTTTCTTGCGCAGTCGAATAGGGCTCCATGCCGTTCGTGTCCTTAGTCACTTCCGTCTCAGGCGGAGCCGCCTCGGCCGGAAGAGCGTTTTCCTGCGGCGCGGAAGCTTGCTCCGCAAACCAAGAAGGCTGTGTCTCCTCCAGCGCATCCGTGTCCGGGATGGTATTCGGGCGCTGCAGACTGGGCGTCAGCTCCCTTGGTCCCGCAGGTGGCTCATTTTTAAGGTCTATAGAAGGCTTTCCTGCTTCATTCTGCGCGGCGTGATACTGCTTGTCATACTCAAGCGTTTTGGGGATCTCCTGGTCAGTCCTACCACTAACTTTCATGGGCTGAATCATCCCGGATTCCCAATCTGCTGCCATATCATCTGCAGCAGGTTGTACCGTACCTTGTCTACAATTGCAAACTGTCTCCTGCTCTGTGACAGGCAGCTCCTCTTCTTCTTCCATCTGCGCATCTTCGTAACCAGTTGCCGTTTCGTTGACTTCGTGATCCTCGTCACCCTCCGTGAGCTCATCGTGGCCGTGTTCATCATATACAATATCGTCTATTTCTGTCGGCAGCATCGGCGGACTGCTGGGCACTCGTTCTTCTTCATCAGGTGTCTCTTCCTCGACAGGGTCATCTTCTACTTCTTGAGTCATCCTTTGAGGCATTTGTATCATTGACGAATCTATCATCTGACTTGTGTATCCTGTCTTGGATGCAACCGTTGTCTGATTGATGCTGTACTGGTTGATCGACGGCGAAGAAGGGAACCGTATGTCGGGTCGCGGCCAGCTTTCGAAGTTTGCAGTGACATCAGGCTGAGAGTCCATGACAGCGGCAGAGCCTCTGCTGCTATATGGTGCTGTCCGAAGTATGGACTGTGAGGCTGGTGCATGTATCTGAGACTCACGTTGTAACTGCGACGAAGGCGTGCCTTGTTGCAATACAGTACCCGGTGTGCGATCTGGCTGCGTACGCTGTGGATGTGAAGATGTCTTTGGCACCTGCACCCCATTCTCCAACCCGTTGTATCTCATTGGTGCCTGCACAGTAATCGCGACGTCTTGAGAAAGCTCATCTGTCAACGGCTCTGTCCCGTGTCCTTCTGGCGCCAAATGCTGCGAAGTGTCGTTAATCGCAACATCCTCATCATCTCGAACGTCATCGTGCCACTGATGCCGTGATGTTTCATCTCTGGTTTTCGAAGAAACTCCCCGAGACTTCCGCCTGGGATCTGCCTCAGCAGCTGTCGGCGCTGAGATGCTTGACAATGACAGTCCAGCTTCTCGATGCTTCTGCTCCCTCTGCCTCTGACGCTGCAGGCGCTTCTGGGCGGCTGAAAGCTCCTCCCAGCTGTCCTCCTGTACGATAGGCGGATATTGTGTCTCTTTCGAATGCCTGCGTCTCTCTTGCGACTCCTTCATTGTGACATACTCAGACCGCGGCTCGCTCGAAGACCGTATTGTTGGGTCGGACCGTTCGATTCGCATGACCTTGATAGGGCTCGATAGCGCTGGGATAGGACTCGAATGGCGAACATTGGTGAAGTTCGGAGACGGCCGCTGGAAGATAGGGTCTTCCGTGCCAGCTACAGCGGGCGACGTGCGCGCTTGAGTAAGGTCAAAAGCCTGCGTCAGTGACAGTGGTTGCCCTATCATTGACCTGCCAAGCACACCACTAAACGCAGACGCCGATTCAGCAGTATCTGGCGTAGTCTCAATTCCCGCAGCGGGACTAAGCACCCGCCCTGAGCTGTTGCGTTTCCTGCCCCCCACCGCCGGTGTCTCGAACTTCAACGGACTTGTAAATGCGTCCTCGATTTGTAGGATTGGGCCACGGTCGTCTTCGAGGGCTGTTGGGCTGGTAATTGCAGCATCTTGAGCGACCTGGGAGGATATAATCACTTCAATGTCGTCGGTGAGGGCCTCTACATCGCCGTCGTCGTCCTCACGCTCAATAAAGAGTGACTTGGGCCCTGACCGAGGACTGGGCATGCATGTGGTGGTATTTGCTGTGCCGAGGATAGCACTCGTCCATTCTCTATGCATTTGGCTATCCGGCTGCGTGTCGCCGGGAGCATCCATGCCTGCAAAGCTATGACGCATCTTGGGTGCAATGACCGCGTCCGTTGGCGCTGAACTTATGGGCGCACTGTTGTGTTTCGCGAGGCCAGGCTTAACATTGTGGTGGGGCGCGAAGGTATGCGCGGCGACGCGTCGTGGTGGTAGAGTGTGTTTGGGCGCGGCGGGAAGCAGCAGCTGCGGGAGGGCGCCGAGGGAACGATGTGGCGGAACCGTGAAAGAGGAAACAGGCGCAGAGACGAACGAACCGTGAGACTCGGTGGAATTGGTGAATTGCAGGCCTTCGTGCTGCTCTGCACGCTGCCGCAGCGCCTGTGAGAGTTGCGATGGGTCCTGTGGCGATGAAGGTCAGCAACGAGGAGGCCGATTCATGCGCCGATCAGTTGCAAGGGTCTCCGCGTCGGGGCAGGGTTTATTGGCAAAACCATGCAGAAAATGAGAACTCACATCGTACAAAACCTCGCTCAGCAACGTGAACGCCTGGGAGTCGACCATTGCGTGCAATTAAAGTTCCGGAAGCACTTCCATGATGATGTTGCGGCCTGCCGCGTTCTGACACCAGGGGAAAGGAGTGGCGTTGGCGCCAGCGCGTCGCGTCTTCACGTGGCCGCCAAAGCGGAAAGTGCTCTGGTGGCTCCTGCCTGTACTCGATGATGTCAACAAGATCCGAGATCTGAGACATTAGTACGCACAGGTGGGCCTGCGTGCGTCAAATTTGGCAAGCGCACATACCTCCGTAAGTTTAAGGAATCGCATGCCCCAGTGGGATGTCTTCGCATACGCTGGCTCAAGGCTAATTACATTTGCATTACATCTTGAATATTCTGCATGGTATGTATGGCTGGGCATCGAGCCATCAATGTCTCTTCTTGGCGTTGACGTTCTTGCCAGCGCCGACCTTGACCCTGCCTCCAGCACGTCCGCGGTCACCTGTCAGAATACCCGGGAGGTAGTCCTGGTCCATAATGTCGCTGCCCTTCGCCCTCTTATCTTTCTCTTGCTGTCTCGTATACTCCTTCTGGTCTTCAGCCAGGATGAGGTCCCGCCCCCATCCTCCCTTTCCTCCACCGAGACCGCTCCACTTGGTGTTGGCTGTACCTGCGATAGGCTTGGGGATGCTGTACTTGTCACCCCGCTTGTTGTATGTGTAGTTCTTGGCGAGATGGATGTGGAATTCGCCCTTCGCATTTGTGCTGCAGGAGACTCGTGCGAGGGTGGCGCCACCGCAGCGTGGGCAGAATTGCTTACTCATGTCCTTGACGATCTGGAAGCAAGCGTGGCAACGCAGAACCTTAGAGGAGAGCTTCTTGATGCGCTGCATGTTAGTGGTGATGAGCTTGAGGTTCATCTGCAACAGGACGTTCTGCATAGCGAAATCGATGGTCATGGTAGCTACATCCATCTGGGTGGGTCCTTGAGTACGGACGTCAGCCTGAAGACCAGAATCCTTGACCTGGTGTTCGGGCATATTGGTCTCTGTGATCCACTCGCCATCGTCGTCGTCCTCGTCGTCAGATACAGGACGCATGGCCTGCTGCTGAGGCTCTTGAGTGGAAGCGATGGCGAGAGATGACAAGTCCAACTCCAGAGACTCAGTAGCTGGGGCAACATCAGATGCTGCCTGTGCGGACTCTGAGGTGCTTTCAACCTCAACAGGCTTCTCCCCTGTGGGAAAAGATGCTGGCTGCTCCTGGGTGGCATCTTGCGCAACAGACTCTTCAGACTTCTGCTGGGGCTCGGCCTCAGTCGCTGGCTGCTCAAGAATCATCTCATCATCCTGTGCCGACTCTCGCTCTTGCTCCTGCTCTGACTTGTTCGTCTTCCTGCTCTGGGCCTTTGACTTCTTCGACTTCTTCGACTTGGCAACAGTTGACCACTCATCGTCCTCCGCGGCTTGTCCAATCTCCAGATCTGCTTGCTCTTGAGCTGCCTTGGCGGCGTCTTTTGCTTCCTTCTGTCTGCGCGCCTCCTCTTCCTCTTCAGGTCTGAGCTTGATTGGTCCCTTAGGCACGGACCTCAGACCCCAGTCTCCTCCGTTTCGCTCGCAGTGTATCTCGTATGCCAGCGCCAGGATACCCAAATCCTGTCTGCTGAGCACGGCATGATCGCCGGTCTTTTTACTGAAGGCGATGACTGCATCGTAGCTTGCTGGGCTGGGGTTGCGAACTTTCAGGAAGGGCATCAGAGTAGTCTGCACTCGCATCCTAGTTGCCTCATCTCGAATCTCGGAGATGATAGCTGGGGTAGTGTAGAGTTTCTCGGCGGAATTAATGATCGTTGAAATCGAGACAACGTTCTTGATCAGTGGCCCAGTATCCAGGATAAGCGAGTGGATAGGCTTTTGGGTTGGTTCGACAGCCATTTTAACGACAGAAAATGGCGACAATTGGGTAACAAGTTACCTTGGTATTAGCTTACACTCGAATCACACGTTTCTGGCAGCAATGTTGTCGTTGTCAGAATAGTCGATTTTCGACTCACGAAATTTCAAGCTCTGGCGGGGTTCACGAATCAGGGAAGGCGGCATCAACACTGGCGCGCTAACGGATCTGGGCTTGGCATTTGGATGAGAGAGCAGCAACGCCCAGGTGGTCCCGTCGCGATTCTAGCTCCCGCGAAGTTACTTTTGACATCCCTGCGTGTCCGTCTTTAACGCCCGGTAGACACGGCTGTAATGTCTGTCGTCCTTGACGCTATGTAACGGTATGACTGGCTGCGAGCAGCAGGCAAGGTCTTATCGATCCTCCGAAACGGCCACTGACGCCGTGCAGAGCACCTATGCCTTCAGCTGATTGCTCTGGGTGTTCATCCGCGGCACATAACTCTTGTACGAAGCGAGTCGGCGTACATACTCGACTGGAACTGGTCTCCCAACGCGGCAGCGCACGTCTTATCCGCACTCGGCAGACATGGGAAGGTATTCCAGTTCCGGAGTGCCGGCCGTGGTAGACTCGACAACGGCGCGGCTCTACGTGCGTACTGAGCCTTTACCCAGAGCTCGGTAAATCGCCCACGCTCCATCCAGGCTGAAGGCATTTCATGGTCGATACCGACACGGTGCTCTTCATTCGCTGGGCCGTTCAATCCATTACCGTTCGCCAAAGCCTATCCACAGGATCCAAACTATCGGGTTTCGGTCAAGCCTCCACGTCACGGACCGATTTCGCCTCCCTGCTGCGGTTACTCAACACGCTGCTCGGTCCGAGGGGCGGTGACGATCGTTCACTACACACACGCTGTATGTTGTACGAATCAATGTTGCTGAACCGATTGTATATTTCGTCTTAGTGCACAACAGCAAATGTTCAGCATAGGCTTGGCCACCGCCAACACGGCTGATTCGTGGAGTAGACGGCCGATCGTCCTGCGCTCGAATACGTTACGGGCAAACGGCCGGGATGGTTGACTCTAAGAGGCAGTTCGAAGGTTATTTCAAGATCGCTCAAATGGGTCCAAGACTCTGCTCAATTTGAATTTGCGGCTCCCATACCACTACAGCCAGTGTCTCCCACGACTGTCGGCCGGAGCAGTCCTTGGTCTGATTTGCTGTTCAGGCTGGTTTGTTGGTCAACGCTGCTCTCAAACGCTGATTGGACCTCTCTTTTCAAAATGTGAAGCTGTGCCCTTGTCCTTGTAAGGTAACCCAACAGATTGTTGCAGCCACGCATCCGGCCTTGTGTGTATGCAGCCGTAGGATCTCACAGGCGAGGAGAGACTCTGCCATGTCTTGCCCTCCGGCGATCGTATCGCAGTACGTATATGTCGCTTCACTACTGGTGTCGACCCACAGTCGTGGTTCATCGGCCGTGAGACGATCGGATCGAATCGGGGATGGGTTATGGGTCAATGTTTGAAGCTCGGGGCAAGCTTTCGCTCGGCGCTGATCAGTGCGGGTCGATGATGGGTGCGATGACTGGGCCGACGAATGTGGCTCAAAGAGCGTACGTGTGATCTATCCTGAAGGAACGGCGTTGGCTATAGTGGACCGGTGAGTATCTGTTCCAATATGCCGCGGCCGGATGTTATTTGGTCGATGCAAGTGAGGTTGGGTCTGAAGCCTTGCAGTTCCGGTGAGTGATGGAAAGTGCCACGCACACTTCTCCAGATAAAGTCAGCAAAACGCTGTGTCGGGGCAATGGTATCAACCGCTGTATCCGAGCTTTTCCCTTAGCGGGATCGATTCGACTCTTGTCAGGCACATGCGCCAATGCGAGCTCAGGACGGCTTCCCAGAGGGAAGAGTGGGAGGGCACAAGGTAAAAACGAGGCATTCGTGCAGGAGACTTGAGTCCTTCACGACGCCATGACGCTTCTAGTATGGCCGGCCCCGGACATGCCTTTCCCTACTTAACCTTCACCAGTCCTGCAGTTTTGAGAATCGTCAATCTAACATCGAAACCGAGTTATCAAACGATGGCACGTTCCTGCTGTCCGCTTGGTTTGTTTGGACAATCATCAATCTCAGAGACTTGATCGTTGCAGTTAGCGTTCGGGCAGACGATGGCTTCCGTTGAATTCACGCGATGGTCCGCTTATAGCCCCTCTTGCCGTAGAGCAGAGCCGCAATTCCCGTTGTGGTCACAGACGTCCGCGGACTAGTCCTCCGACTAGTCCTCGGCAGTGGTTTCCGCAAGGATGTGGCTCCAGGAAACGCCAGAGCTGACAAGCAGGATCGGGAACGCTTGTCTCTCCTTCTTCCCAACAGCTGCTGTTGGGCCTCTCCGCATGACGACGCAGCACACTCGGGTGGGATTTCGCAGAACGTCACATGTCATATTCGGGACGGCAATGACCCTTACTGAAAACGACTTACGGCCGTCAAGACTGCTGGGCTGGGTCATCCGTCGCGGAGCACTATAAACGCCTACCAAACGCTTCCACCCGCAAAAGGTATGGATACCGCCACATCACTAGAGCCGGTCTCGCTCTTCCCGGCGTTGGGATGGCTCTGCCGCCTTCGTGGTTGGCCAAGTCCATGCACCATCACAACCCATGTTGGCGCAGCGCATCACATCCAGCAGGATACTCGGTTGCTCAATGCAGTTGCTTACTCTTCTGATATCTGTCACAGCTGCAGAAGCCTGGAAGTCTCTTCAGTACTTCAAGTCGAAACAAAGACTGTTTCTCGAGGCGAAATCGACACGCCTGGATGTACGACCGCCGCCGTCGTACCCAAATGCCATCTCGTTCGACCCACAAGAGTCATCTACACTACCAGCTATACGCGGACTGACAGTATGCGCGCTTCCACATACAGCTGCTGGCGGGGTAAAGGAAGCCGGCGCTGTCCAGTCGGTTACGACCTGCAGCCCATGCATCACCACTCTGCCGCCATGACAGTCGGAACCTTGATCAGGCTTATCAGAAGCTCGCCTGTGCCTACACTCTCATAAAGCAAAACGTTTTTTAAAGTCGTCGGCTGACAGAGGTGCTCGGATGCCTTCCCCTTTCAGCGCCCTCGAGCAGAGCCGCATCGTGATCAGGGAAGATAAAGGAGGTACGAGAACGGGCGCATGGCGACGAAATCAAAGTGATAACGCGTACATCCGCGGAACAAACAGCCCAAAAAATCTTCGTCAGCGTTGTCCTGTACACAATGAGCCATCAGCCAGCGATGGTAAGTCGCACAGTTGGGTCCGATAAGACGATCTTCCACTGACTCACAATGCAGCCGCGGTTCATCTTTTGCATCGAAGAGGCTCGCCAACATCCGGGTGTCGATTCTGTAACAGACAGCGGTGGACACTGGTTACCTTCCTTGCGTCCCGGATCCAATTACAAAGATCGAGGTCAAGGTGTTACGAACCTCTGGTGGATCTGCAACGGCACCCAAATTTACTCGATCGCTGAGGCGGCACTACCGGCGGATCTCAAACCGTACAAAACCTACTCGGTGTTCTTCAGTGAAGGCTTCGGCTTCCGGATCTTACAAGGAGATGCTACAAACCCACCTCCTGGCGAGGTCTGGCACCCTCTGGGATTTGAGCACGATGACAGAGACAATTATTCCTCTTACCTGACCAATGTTGTGCAGAGTACAGCTCTGCGCTGTCACCGCCAAGATCAAGCCTGGCCAGGTATGCTTTTGCCCAACATTTTCCACGGCCCTGTCGGTACGGGTTCGCAAGGTGCGCTGAAAGGAGAATTGCCGATATTCTTGGGCTTGCTCGCCCTGTCCATGTCTCCCGCGGAGCTGCAAGTAGAATTGCCTCAGATGTTCCACCACGGCATGTGGCAGACGCACACCAGCACGAACCGCTGTACGTAATGATAGACCGGAACTCTGCTAGTAGACTGGTATACTGATTCCATCTCCGCAGGGCAACACAAACGAGGTGTGGTCGTTACAGTCTTCTCCTATCCGACCACGGCTGGAGGATCTGTTCCCATCGACATCCAGAGATTCGAAGACGGATGTACAGGGAAATACTACTACTGATACAGTCGTCGCCAGCCCTACCGTCCTACGCCCTTCCGCGTCTGCCAAGACTCCGCTGTCCGTCTCCTACTCGTTCCGCCTTCCGCTACGCTACGCTGGTTGCCTGAAATATTACCCCAGTCGCTCGCTAAGAACCGCTTTGCCCGTCAGCTCACCGCGCCCACCCCTGGCGCCTCCAGCTCTATATCCCTTAGACGTACACAACCACGCTGAGAAAGGCGGTCCGTTCTACGGCTCACATCGACACCAGAATGCTTCACTCGTCGATGATACTTCGCATGCACCCTTACCAATACGTTTTCTCGTTCTACGATCAAATTGCTGATGTTATCAGAGAGCTTGGATAGTTTCATGGTCAGAAATGGTATAATTACTCCAACGTTTTGTCAGACACTTCGTGAGACACCCTTCGTGAGGCCTTAAGCACAGCCTGATGATAATCACTGTATTGAACAATGCTCGAGCCCTCGAGCCCTCGGAATGTGCTGCGTTGCTAACCATGTCTTCGTAGTGAGATCCTAAACGCCGCCCAATGCTATGCGTGCCACGCCTGTCTGAGTCGCGTGTAGTATATAGTACAATTACACTCCCTTCTCTCTTTCACACAGCCCAATGCTCGATGAAACGTGCGCGACCATCTACGCAATCGGTCTGCTCCGCTCGTCCTCGGGCATTCGCTGTTTGCTGTTAGTCTGCATTCAACACATACGCAAAAGACCCAGGACTCACCATGTACGCATCAATCGCGGCCGAAAACACCGCAAACCCCGCACACCCGACCGCGACCGCCTGCGGCCCCGCATTCCTCGCCAGCACGCCGCCCGTAATACACCCGCCCGCGACGCCGTTGTAAAGGTCGTTCTTCGCCCGCAGCCCTTCGATCGCGCACTCGGTCCCGCTGAATATCGCGCCCACTTTGGCGAAGTTCTTGCCCGACGCCAGCGACGACCGGTACATGTCCCGCAGCCCGTGCTTGAGCTGCTGCTTCAGCGGCAGATCCGAGATGCCGGGTTGCGCGAAGGGACTCGTCGCCGCGGGCGCCGCTGCTACTGCGGCTCCGCCCGAGGAGAGGGCTTGCGTGGCTGCGGCGGTGGGGAGTGTGGAGGGCGACGCCGCGCTCGAGGTCGCGGCGGCTTTGACGGCGTTTGTGATCGGGGTGCCTGTTGCTTTCGTTGCCGAGGCCGCAGCCGTGCTTCCGACTTCCTTCGCGGTGGTGCTTGCGGCGCCCGCGGCGACGGGGGATGCGTGCGCGGTCGCCAGCGGCTGGCCCATGGGCGTGTCGTAGCGCATCGAGGCCATGAACAGGCCGAACATGGCGCCCAGGCCGCCGCCCATGACGCCCGCCATGACCGTCTTGCCGACGCAGGACTCCATGGATGCTTGGATCTGGGTTGTGTGAGTCTCGGTGCCACAGAAACATGTGCGGAGCTCAGTTCAGGGATGACGAGGAGCGTACCATCTTGGTCATCTGGGCTTCTTGCTCGGACATGCCGGCCGTGGGGTTCATGTTGGCCATCATGCCGTTGGGGTTGCTCGGGAGCGCCATTCTGTGGTGGGCCGCGAGAGTGTGAAATGACGTGGGAGCGTAGGGTCGCGAAGGAGAGGAGGAAGAGTCGGTGATGGCGATGCGACGGCGTGTTGGAGCGCGGCAACTCAACTTTTGCGGAGAACTTCGGGGGTCTCGGCTTGGCACGTGCTTTCAGCCTTGCTCTCAGCACCCTGTCCGTTCACGATGTTTGAGGACAGATGGCAGGTACGAGTGGGTCGCAGGGCACGTTTTGGTAGGACAATGTAGTGGTAATCTAGTATGCAATATTTTCAAGTCTCCTGCTGTGCTTCTATAGACATCTGATATCTCCCAATGCCAGTACGTGCAGCAATCACGAACGCCCATCTCTCCATGCTTCGTCAGCTGCCATCTCCAAGCCGCCATGCTAATTTCTCCCTCCATGTGTGAAGTATATATGAATAGACATTTATTTAGACATTTGGTCTAGATGCGTAGCGTCGTCAATATGTAAGTCGTCTGTACAGATCGTTCGTCATTAGATAAGGCTGCCAGGTGAACCCGAGCGACCGATGTAATCCCCCTGCGAGTGACTTGACAGTCTTGACTCAGGCGGCGGTGTGAGCTGCTTCTCCCATTCCTTCATCAAGTGCGAAGCTGTGCGCTTGAGGTTGGATGGCGAAAGGTTGACCAGATCAGGCCACGGGATCGAGTTGCGCTTGGGGTCGCGTGACGTGCTGGTGTCGGGCATGCTCGCAGAGCTGATCGTGGCCAGCGACGAGTTCTTCGAGTCGTGACGGCGATTGTGCTGCTTAGCGCCGGTGCGGGAATTGTTGATGGCAGATGCCGGTGTGTCTGACTCGTCCGAATCAATGTGGGTGTCTGTTGTCTTCGCAACAAACGTGCTGCCAGGGCTGTCCCAGTTATCCCAGTCTTCTTCGAAGCTGTCGCTGTTCCTGGCCGTTTGCCTTTCGGGAGTGCGGGTGGCCTTGGACGTATGAGTCTTTTTGTTTACGGAGGTGGTCTTGGGCTCACTCAGACCATGTTCTGACCAGAAGTCTTCTCCGATCGATTGTTTCTTCTGCACGGACTTCCTGGAGCTGGCCGACCGGCTCAGGGATGGCCGGCTGGCGGATGTGTTTCGGATCACCTTAGCGGACCCATCCCTGTTCTGTGAGGGTCCAGAAGACTCTGCCGCCCCGTTGACAGCTTCGTCGCCCACGGTAGCCTGTCTAATATCCTCGATGAACGTAAACAGCCCGTTGCTAAAGTCGCTGGCCAATTGTTTGCCAGTGCGCAGGATGTTGTCACGCTGCATGTTCGGCAGTCCGCCGAGGTCATTGCTCGTGACGTCGATGAGCTGTCTCGATACATCAGAAGACGTAGACGACCGGACGGGCGGCGTTGGGCGCTTGATGTTGGACTCGCCGAGACTGGCTTCGGTGGACTGTGGAAAGGATGGCGCATATGCTCTGTCAGGCGACAACAGAGAGAGGGTGCGCAGATGGCGTGATCCGCTGAAGACCTTCCTTTGCGAGGACTTTGTGTTGCTCAGCAGCGCCTTCCTGCGCTCCATCTCGCGCTGCATCCAGAGGTTGCCTCCATCTTCGTCATCCTGTACGGCGTCGATGTTCGCAAGGGTGGTATTCAAAGGTTGCAATTGGGCTACCTTGCGTACGTCATTGCGCCGCTTGTTTGCCTCGTGGAGTGAGTAGTGCTTCTTCAACGTCTTGAGATCTTCTTCGGCTTTGCCGAGCTCTTCCCTGAGCTCCAGTACATAACGCTCTTGCGCGGCAAGAACAGCGAGAATATTGTTCTCGGGTGACGGCGGCTGTGCCTCCGGTGAAGGAAGAGGCGACGGCGCTGCGATCCAGGATTGCGGCCGTGAGCGAGGCGAAAAGACTGGTGAGCTACTGCCGGCAGTAGGTTGAATTGGAAATTGTAATGACAAGCGCTTGCCCTGTCTGACGAGATCGGCGTGCGACGTTGTTTTTGAACGAGCGTGAGAAGGCATGGAGGGTGGAGGGGTGGGGTGGGAGAGCGTGGTGGAGGAGGCGGTGGAGGAAGAGTCTCCAGACTCGCGTCGAGAAAGACGTTGGCCGGCCCCTGATGCGAGTTCTTGCGAGGGTGGCTTTGACGTTGACCGTTTCCGCGTAATGTCGCGCTCTGGGCAATCCTCGGCCTTTGCGCCTTGAACACTGGGACTCGAATTCATATCATGCTCCTTGGTGAGCATGCAGACGAAGGAAGAGAGCCTCAGGCGTCTGGAAAGCCGGAGAAGAATTAGTGCGGAGGTGGTTGGGTGCAGTTCGAAACAGACCGCCGATAGGCTGGCAGCCAGGGCGGCGAACTGCAAGCAGATCTTGGTAGAGTAAAACACCCACGAGAAATACGCCTTCAGCAGAGTCGGACTGGCTTTGCTGGAACCCATACCAGACTCTTCGAAGCGGGCATGTCTCGAATGCGGTGCAGATGAGGGGTCGAATTGGAATTATGGATGCCGTCTCTACATAGATAGATCTTGTGCAACCCGCACAGACTCACAACAGTCCACAGCAACCCGAGGCCCTACGGAAAGTGCCCATGGGTCGGCCTGCGGGGCTAGTGCAATTGAGGCGAGTGCAGGTACGCGTGGTGAGCTGACGGATCATCTGGTGAGAGTTGAGGTCTGCTGTGTGGAAAATATTTTACCTTTATTCACCGCTCGATCAGCAGACTGACGTCTAGTCTTGCAATCTGACATTGAGCCCAAGATCTGAAACTTGTCTTCAGACCGACGATAGGGCGACGGGGCGCTGAATTCATTCGCTCGTAGTTGACAGCACGCGCCCAAACGCCCAAGCTAACAAACGTCTGGCAGCTGTAGGATGAAATTCGGTGCTCTGCGCGGGGATCAACGCAGGTCGCGGCCGTTTTCAGCTCACCATGAAACACGGACCACAACGAGACCGCCTCCGGTAACCCCGGGCACGCGTCGTGTTGTTGCTGTGGGATACGCGGGCGCGTCATCAGGCGCGATGAGTGTCACGGCTGTCACCAGCCCGATTTCTCCCCAAAGCGATTTGATCCGAGCAGCTGACAGACCCGCCTGCGCTGAAACTTATGCAGGGCAACTGCCCAAGCATTCGACAGGAATGGCACTGATGCAGGTACAGCGCTTAAGGCCTTCTGTGACCTGGGGGCCGGGGCTCACGATGGGCGGCAAGCAACTTTGGAGTCGGCACCCGACTGATTTTCTTATTTTTGTCTCTGCAGCGCGGGCAGTCATACGGTGTTTGCTTTGGCTGCTATTAGGTTTGGGACCGTTCTGTGCACTTGCGCGTGCGTCGACGATCGCGTGGCGGGGCGAGCTTTGGTTTGTTTGCCCGGTCGCGTCGCCTAGCAACCGCCAGCATCAAGCGCTCGTACCACGCAGCGTCTCTTGACTCTATGACCGAGTCGCGCATCCAGCTCCAGGGCTGCACCACTGCCACCACCCTATTTCTATCCGAACGTGCTCTACCAAGGACTCCCGCCGTCCACCCCCCCAACCTGGATCCCGCAACTGCTTGAACACGCCGAGCGCCTGCATTGTTGTAGACAGCAACAGGCCATAGCTCACATCGCCGACCATGGCGGACAACTACCAGGTTATGGAGGAGTTGGGCAGTATGTGTTCCACAGCGCCGCCATGTTGCTTTTTAGGCTGACAGGCGCAGGCGGGTCCTTTGGAAAAGTGTACAAGGCTATCGACCGTAGCACAGGCGAGACGGTTGCTATCAAGCATGTAGGTGCTCATGCATCGCAGCTCCAAGCGCACATACTCACACGTCCAGATCGATCTTGAAGACAGCAACGAGGAGCTCGCTGACATCCAGGCCGAAATAGCCTTGCTCAGCACCTGCGACAGTCCGTACATCACTGCGTACAAGACGAGCTTCGTCAAGGGCGTCAAGCTATGGATCGTCATGGAATACCTCGGAGGTGGCTCAGCAGCCGACTTGCTTGCGCCAGGACCGATGGGCGAAGCCCACATTGCGATCATGTGCCGCGAGCTTCTCCTCGGCCTCGACTACCTGCACTCCACCGGCAAGATCCACCGAGACATCAAGGCCGCGAACGTGCTCCTGACCGACAAGGGCAAGGTGAAACTTGCTGACTTCGGTGTCGCCGCGCAACTGACCAACATGAAGTCACAGCGCATGACGTTCGTTGGCACTCCCTTCTGGATGGCTCCAGAGGTCATCCAGGAGGCTGGCTACGACTTCAGGGCTGACATCTGGTCGTTGGGCATCACTGCCATGGAATTGGCTGAAGGAGCACCGCCGCACGCTGGAGCACATCCCATGAAGGTGCTCTTCACTATCCCGAAGAACCCGGCGCCACGCCTCGAGGGCGACCAGTTCAGCAAGGACTTCAAGGACTTCATAGCCCAATGTCTGATCAAGGACCCTGATCGACGCGCCACCGCAAAGGAGCTGTTGGAACACAGATTCGTTCGCCGAGCTGGCAAGGTGGAGGCTCTGCGCGAGTTGGTCGAGCGCAAGCAGATGTTCGATGCGAAGAAGGACAAGGACGATGTCTCTCACCCCAAGTACTACGAGGAGACCATGTAAGTGCACTGCTCTTGACTCGAAGGAATGCACCTAACACATCCATAGGAAGGACCTCTCCCCTAGGCTCGAGTCAGACGACTGGACTTTCGATACAGTCAAAGCTGGCACTGTTGCGCCAGCACAGCGTACGACGGCCAGGAGGCGCAAGCTTGCTCGCATACCCTCTGGAGACGAAGAGACGCCGTTTTCGCTGATGCAGCACATGAATCTGGACGACGCGCCTCTGGGTGTCGCCTCGGACTCCCCCATGCCAGAGCGGACCCGAGCTTCTTCTCGCACATCGTCCACCGGAACCGCGTTCCGTGTATCCTCAGGCAACACGCCCACTGCTCGTCGCATTAGCGGTGCGCCCAAGCAGCCCCTTGGTGTGGATCTCACTTTTGGCAACTCGCCTTCGACCGTTCAACGCTTCAAGCGCATCCCTAGCGGAGAGCGCCGTGCAGCACTTCGATCGAACCCGCCCGCCAACCAGAACAACGCGTTCCATCCCAACCCGTCTGCTGCTACGTTTCGCCCATCGCCACCGAGTGCCGACCTCATGTTCGATGTGAATGATGTGAACAACGAAAATGAGCCACCAGAGCCCGAGTACCCACCTATGCCTGTCACCAAGGATGCACTTTACGGACGTCGAGCTTACAGCAAGGTCCTGGACGGAGTCTTCCAGGAAGCTTACGCAGACACTGGATCTGCTTACCAGCGTGAGGCGATGGGACGAGTCGCTTCTGCTTGGGCGCAGCTGGACGAGATCGATCCACAGGGGGAGTTCATGCTTCTGAAGGCTATGGTCGACCGTCTGAAGGCCGACTCAAAGTTAGCGGCTGCTCTAGGCATTGAGGTACCAACAGCCTCGTCAGCGCTCAAACGCAACAACACCCAGGGAAGTGACATGAGCTACAGCGGTACTACAGTCCACGGCAATGGCACAACTCGCGCTCGCTCTAACACCAAATTGTCCACGTCGTCTGTCAGCAAGTCTTCTGCGTCAGAAGATTACGACTTGCCTTCAACACCCATCGACACACCGAATGGCACGCCAAACGGCACATCAGATTCGCTTGCGAAGGGACCTAAACTCATACTTGCACAGAACAATCCTCACCTGAAGTCTCACCGTCGCCGCCAGAGCGCATTCGTCGTTGGGGAGAAGGCATACGGCAACGACTCTCTGCCCATTGTCGACGAGAAGAAGCTGCCAGGCCACGTCGAGAAGGGCATGGAGCAGCAGGGCCTTCTCGCGGACATTCTCTATGGCCAGTGGATGTCCGGGCTCCGCAGTCGCTGGCCTGTCGCCAACTAAAACACAAGGGCCTCGTCTCTTTGATACACGCCCTGGCGCGTGTGCACTTGCTTTCTTGCACATAGTTTCTCGTCTCTCTTTTTAGCACTCGTCCCAATCATGACTCACGACCCTGACGACACGCCGGCTGCGTTGCGTTGGAGCGGAGTTGCGTCTGGAACCGGTGCGATTGTTCTTTGCATAGCGGGCGCTTTTTTTTTGGGGGGGTTTACTTTCTGCCAGACAGGCATTTTTTACAGTCCGAGTGGGGCATGGACATGTGTAGATAGACTAAAATGGGCAGTGTATAATAGAATCAAACTGCATCTTTCTTCCTTTCAGACACATTTTTCCATTGCTGTGGTGATGGCTTTCGTGCCTGTGAGCATGGGACAGCACAGACGAGTGGTCCTGAGACTCTGGCAAACTGTTGCAGCTAACACGGAGCGCCCGTCGTTCGTGCGCTACTCTTACAAAGGTGCTTACTCCTGAGGGAGTCGGTTGGGCTGCGAACAGGTGGGCATGTGGATCCGTTTACACGTAGCTCTTGATGACGTGACAAAAGTAGCGGCCCTAGAATTGAATTTGTCTTTCTTCGTGGAGATCAGCATGGATTGCGGTATGCAAGGCAATCGTCTGGACCACATTGGGATTGTGTCTGGGTTGTGCAAGGAGTGGCCTTGTGCGACGCTCGGTATGAGGCGACTTGGAGGATCTCGAGTTGTCGAGTCCGCCACAAACAGGCACAGGGCAGTTAATTAAGCGCCTTCCAAATTCGCAAATGAAGCCTCGTAAAGACATGCAAGACGACCGGTGACCGATGCATGAAAAGCGGAAAACCATGATTCTCTTCTAATCGATTTCATTCGACACTTGATCGAACTGGTGTCGTCGTTGTCCAGCGTGCGTTGTCCTCGAGAGCGGTGGAGCCCAGCACGGCCCTAGAGCGGTCGTCGCGCCTGACAACGAGTCAAAACACGGCGCCGGCCCAATCAACCACGCAACGTCACAGAAGCTGGAGGTACAGACCCAGGTTAGCTCCCGTATTGATATCGCATATCATATCCCACTATCGATACTCGGTATACCTACACACCTCACGCCTCCCTCACCGCCAAAACCGCCTTTCGCTCGTTTGCTTGCCCTGTCGACGTCCGCAACGCGTTGCACCTCGAACCCTCGACGCGCCCGCCACGTGAACAGACGCATGTCGCCGTCGCTCGCCGGGTGAAGCGCGGTCCGTACCGCATCTGGGGGCAACAGCCGGAGGCACAGTCGGAGGAGAAAGTGCAGCATGGCCGGACAGGCGCTGCCGACGCGGTTCCCGTGTTGGTGCAAGGCCGTGTACTCGTGGGGGGGAGAGGTGAGTTGAGACGGACAGCCCTTTGTTTGCCTGCAGGATCCCTGACGGCCATTTTCACCGGCATAGACAAAACGCGACCTCGGATTCATAGAGGGCGACCTGATCGAGGTCATCAACGCCGGCGATGGCTCCTGGTGGATGGGACGGCTGAAGCGCGACAGGCGCATGGTCGGCCTGTTCCCGAGCAACTTCGTCGAGCTGCTCGGCGAAGACTACCAGCCATGGAGCGCGAGTCGCAACGGCAGCTCCGAGGCCGTCTCGCGGCAGAACAGCGCGCAGGCGCAGGCCAAGCCGGTGCCGCAGAAGCAGAAGAGCATGTTCAGGAAGCCCTTCACAGCTTACGCGGCTGCAGGCGCCCCGAACCCAGCCGCTGCGGCGCGCGAGAGGCTGCGGCAAGGCGCGACGCCCCAGGCCGCGAAGACGACGAAGCCCTTCTCGTCCATGAAGCAGCGAGACTCGCTTGAGGGCCGCGAAAGCGCATCGCCAGCGCCAGCCTCCAGAGGGCCCTCCAATCTGTGCGCCGTATCGCCTCGACCGGCTACGAAACGACCCGCCACGTCCCCAGCGAATGCAAACGTCAACAGGCACGGCTCGCACGCCCGCACAAACTCGCACCAGCCGGCGCCAGCCTTCCAGACCCATGCCTCGAGAGCTGTGTCGCCCGCGCCGCCGCCGTCAAGACAGACGTCCCACACGGGTTCGTACCAGCAACAGCCCAGAGCAGTGTCTCCTGCGCCGCCCAGGGCCGTCTCGCCAGCTCCACCACGCCAGCAGTACCAGCCGAGAGCTGTGTCGCCCGCGCCTCCTCCACAGCAATACCGCGCATATGACAGGGGGCCGTCGCCGTCGCCGTCGCCATACTCTCGTTCCATCTCTCCAGCGCCCCCGTCCAGACACGGATCGTATGCCCGGGGGCCTTCTCCTGCGCCGCCAGCACAGTCGCAGTACCGCTACCAGCAGCGGGCTGTGTCGCCTGCACCGCCGCCTCAGCATCAGTACCACAGAGCCGTTTCGCCCGCACCTCCACCGCAACAGCACTACCACAGAGCCGTATCTCCCGCGCCGCCACGGCAGTACCAACCCCGGGCAGTCTCTCCTGCACCGCCATCTCAATACCGCGCATACGACCGAGGCCCCTCTCCCTCTCCATACCAGCATGCAGCCTCTCCGGCACCCTCGTTCCAAGACCGGCCTCAGTCTCGAGGGGTGTCACCCGCTCCCTCGCTCCAGCAGTACTCACGTGCTGCATCTCCAGCGCCTTCGTTCCAGTATCGCGCCTACGATCGCGGACCTTCGCCCTCCCCATATCAGCAACAGATTGCAAGTCGAAGTCCATCGCCCGCGCCGCCTCAGTTCCAGAATCAATTCGAACCCGAGGAAGAAGACGACGGTCCACCTCCACCTCCTCCACCGCACCGTGTCGCATACGATCCAAACCGAGCAGCGTCACCTGCGCCGCCTCCACAAGACCGCTTTACCACCCCGGAGCCGCCTTCGCCGAATCCCCAGAAGTTCACGCCGTCGCCGCTCACAAACGCTATGAATGATGTCATGTCCTCGCTGCAGGACATGGCTTCGCCAGAACAAGATACACCCTCGAACCCTTGGTCTCACGACGCATTGGACCAGGTTCACCAGGCTTCAGCAAGGATGGCTGGATTGCAGACTGGCAACAGGAGTGGTAGTCGAATGGGGGATGACGACGACGATGAGCCTGTGCAAGGTCCACCGGACGTTGACGATTATGTCAAGCGCATGGAAAGCCGCTTGCGACGCATGCATCAGATGGAGGCCAACAAGAAGAAAAAGGAAGAAATGTTCATGGGTGGCAAGAGCACACCTCCTCCAGTTCCGTCTAAGAATCCGGGCTACCAGAGGCCAGGACCCTCGCCGATCAAGGACAGCCCAGGGGTCGAACGCAAACAGACACTGCGCCATCGCAAGTCGGTACATGACCTTGGAAAGAGCCTGGGCAGGTCTTTTACCGGCAAGACAAACTCCACAACCACGACTGAAAGCACCAATCGTAGCTTGATGTCTGGGCACTCGGCAACAGCCATGAGCTCCACTAGCGCTGGCAGCTACTATCGCAAAAAGTTCGCCGGCGAGAGGTCTCGGAGCGGGGTAGGGAATCGTCCATCTGGAACGGGCTTTGGCTTCGATGATGGACGACCAGAGTCACCCTTCACGGGCGTCACGTACCACTCCAGTCATGCATCGGGCTCTCAGTCGCGACCTGGTTCAAGCGATCAGCAACAGCAGTCGACACAACCCAGCACACCTGGACCAGAGAACCCGGATCCTCTCGGTGGTCTGACACAGCCTAAGGCGAGACGAAGTGGTTTCTTCCGCAAGATGATCGACTCTGCGAAGACTCAGGCAGCCAATGCTCGAAGCACCATGGAGACTATCAGCAGGCCGGCGTCTCGCGCAGCCAGTCGTGCTGCAAGCCGTGCTGCCAGCAGGGCAGGTAACCGCATCGACCGCGTAGAGTCTAGTACTCCTATCACAGGCTTTGCTGGTGGGTCTGCAGCCCATCAACCAACACCAAGCAGAGATGGCGGTCTAGGTACAACAGACTGGGTGCAGGTGCGCCGCGACGTCAACCGTTCCAACTCGTTGAGCAAGAACGAGCGTATCGAGAGAGCGGAGCGGTGCCAGATGATGGAATACCCTGCTCTGAACCCAGTCGATATTCTGAACGACGCTGTAGAGGGCGATGAAGGTCTTGATGGACTGCCAATCGCTGAGCCCATCGACTTTGCTGCGTGCAACTTGGCTCACGTCGACAAGGGCACCCGCTTTATTAACAGTATTCCCATGGGCACCACTTCGGCTGCTCTGGCTCAAGGCTACGTCTGCAGGCCGTTCAGGAGCGATGTTCAGCGTCTACGCGCCATCTTCACCTGGGTCAGCGAGCGCATTACCTGGGAAGAGGACTTCGAGGGCGAAATGGACACCCGCCACGTCCTTCAGAGCAAGCGCGGATGCTCGCAGGAGATTGCCATGGTGGTCGCCGAGATGTGTGCGTCTGTTGGACTCCACGCTGAGGTCGTGCGCGGTTACTTGAAGACCCCCGGAGAGCCCCTGGATCTTGAGAGCGTCGCGCATCCGAATCATTCTTGGAACGCTGTCATTGTCGACGGTGAATGGCGCATGATCGACTGCTCGCTTGCAGGTCCAACGAACCCCAAGCGTGCGCATTTCTCGATGGCTGGTTCCCAGGTCGCTGAGAGCTGGTACTTCCTGGCTCGCCCTCTTGAGATCTGCTACTCCCACGTTCCACTCCTGCCTGAGCAGCAGCATATTGTCCCGCCGCAGCCCCACGATATCCTCATGGCTCTTCCGTGCGCTACGCCTACGTACTTCAAGCACGGGCTGCAGATTGTCGACTTTGATACTAGCATGTTGAACCTCGACAATCTCGAGATGGCGCACGTATACGTCAATGTTCCAGAGAATGTGGAGTGTGTTGCCGAAGTAGAAGCCAGGGCATACTCTCAGGATGCGGATGGTGACTACTTCGAGAGTGGTGACTTTGTTCGTAAGCCAGCACTTGCGCAGGTAGAATGGATTGGAGGCCAGAAACGCTACACAGTCAAAGCGTTGCTGCCCGGAGATGAAGGCCAGGGTGTACTCAAGATCTATGCTGGGCCTCGTGGACTTATGGTAAGCCCCTTCTCAGACTGACTGAGTCCGATGTACTGACCATTCTTCAGCACTCCAACAAGCAAAATCCGCACACCCTAGCCATGGGCCTGCCGATAACACACACCGGCAGTAACCCTCCGTACTCGTTCTTGACACTTCACCCAACACCACACGCGCAGCGCCACGATCTTTACATCGCACAGCCTCAGTGCTCCAATCTTGTGCTCAATAACACATTCGTCTTCTGTGTCCGCCAACATCCCTCATCTACAACCCGCACCGAACCAGAGACTCCTCTCACTGGCCGCGCATCACCCAACCCCTTCGCACGCCCTGCATCAGCCATGAGCATGCAGTCCATCTCCGCCACTGGCAGTAATTACACCAATCCGTCTCAAGCATCTTCAGGCTCGAACGGAAGCAGCTCGATGAAGCCTGCTAAGCTCGCCATCCAGACACCCAGCGGCAAGATCATCCGACTGACCAGGAAGAGCGAACATGTCAGCGTGCTGACTGATGCCGACGGCACCGCATGGGAGACGGTCATCAAGATTGGCGAGAAGGGTACCTGGCGTGGCCTCGTGCTGGCGGATCGTAGCGCAAGATGGTGTGTTTTTGCGCAGTGGGAGTGCGCCTAGGAGGCAAATACCAGGGATCGATGGGGATTCGAATGACCCCGCATGTTGCGACGATGAAAAGGGTATGAGTGGATGTTCACTTCTTGATCCAAAATTTTCAGGATATACTTAATGGTAATGGTTTTGGCGTTGGTAGAGCAGACCTTGGGCATAGCATTGCATAGCCGGTGTTTGGATTTCGGTCTGGTGTCGTGTATGGTACGAATGGAGATATGTCTGCGCATCTTCCTGCTCATTCTTCGTGCCCTGAATGACGAGATTCTGTAAAATTTTGTGACTGCCTCCAGGATGCGTGTAGATTGTTGCTAAGATCGCTGTCGTGTGCCACTGAGTCGCGCCTTCTCTATCGATAAGCTGCCCCGCCAAACACTCATCATCCCACCAAAATCTCTCCGCCAGTGCTCTGATCACCTCCACAGTACACCATGGACGCCCAAATCGCCGAGTGGCAGACCCGTGCCGAGGCACTGAAGCCTCTCAACCTCAAGCAAATTGAGCCCAGCCTGCAGGAGCTCGATGCCCACCTCACCCTCCGCTCGCACATCGTTGGCTACACTATCACCGATGCCGACACCACTGTCTGGAAGACCCTGCGCGAGAACCGCGTCGCACACGCCTTCGTCAAGCAGAGTCTGATGCCAAGCTTGTGTAGATGGTTCAGGTACATCGAGGAAGCGTACCCCCAATCTGTTGTCCTGGCTGAGAGGCCGAAGGAGGCAACCAAGGGCGGCAGGAGCAAGAAGGAGGGCGCCAATGACGATGCCAACTACGACATTGGTCTGCAGGATGTCGGTGATGGCACGGGAATTGTCACACGTTTCCCTCCTGAGCCTTCGTGAGTGCTGCTTTCAAGTGGCTGGGGGACATTGTTCGACTGACTTGTAACAGAGGCTACCTCCACATTGGACACGCAAAGGCTGCCCTGCTGAACGACTACTTCGCTCACACCAAGTACAAGGGCAAGCTCATCCTTCGATTTGACGACACAAATCCCAGCAAGGAGAAGGCGGAATTCCAGGACTCAATCGTCGAGGACTGCGCTCTGCTTGGTGTCAAGCCTGATCAGGTCTCCTACACCAGCGACTACTTCGATGACCTCTATGAGAGGGCTATCCAGATGATCAAGGATGGTCTCGCATACGCCGACGACACTGCGCAGGAGAAGATGCGCGCCGAGCGCATGGACGGCATTGCCAGCGAGCGCCGTGAGATGAGCCCCGAGGAGACCTTGGCCAAGTTCGAGGTGATGAAGACGGGCTCGGAGGAGGGCAAGAGATGGTGCATCCGTGCGAAGATGTCCGTAGACAACCCCAACAAGGCCATGCGCGACCCCGTCATTTACCGATGCAACCCCGAGGACCACCACCGCACCGGCTCCAAGTGGAAGATGTACCCCACCTACGACTTCTGCTGCCCCATCGTCGACTCAGTCGAGGGTGTCACGCACGCTCTACGTACCACCGAGTACAACGACCGCGATGCGCAGTATCAGTGGTTCATCAAGGAGCTCAAGCTCCGCAAGGTCCACAACTGGGGTTTCGCCCGTCTGAACTTCGTCCGCACCGTCTTGTCCAAGCGCAAGCTGACCAAGATCGTCGACGCGGGTTTCGTCTGGGGCTGGGATGACCCGCGCATGCCCACCGTTCGTGGTGTCCGTCGCCGCGGTGCTGTTATCCCAGCTCTCCAGGAGTTTATCCTGAAGCAGGGACCTTCCAAGAACATCGTCAACCTCGACTGGTACTCCTTCTGGGCCACCAACAAGAAGCACATCGAGCCTACCGCCGCGCGCTACATCGCCATCGACGAGGACGCCAAGGTCTCCGTCACCGTCGTTGGTGCACGCGAGGGCATCATTACTGAGGACAAGCCTAAGCACGCCAAGTACGACCTCGGCAACAAGAAGGTTGTCTTCAGCAAGGAAATCATCATGGAGCAAGCCGACGCGCAGTCCTTCGCTCAAGACGAGGAAATCACCCTGATGAACTGGGGCAACGCCATCGTCCGAAAGATCTCGCACTCCATCAACCCGCTCTCCAAGGACGGCTTCAAGACCGTCACTGGCCTCGAGCTCGAACTGCACCTGCAGGGCGACGTCAAGAAGACGTCTAAGAAGGTCACCTGGCTGTCCAAGGACCAGGAGCTCATCCCCATTGAGCTCGTGGACTTTGACTACCTGATTTCCAAGGATAAGCTGGAGCCCGAGGACACGCTTGAGGACTTCCTCAACAAGAATACGGAGACCAGGGTCAAGGCTGTTGCGGACTGCAATGCCGCCGAGCTCAAGGTCGATGACATTATCCAGTTCGACCGCAAGGGCTTCTTCCGCATCGACAAGGCCTTTTCGCACGGCCAGGCTATCCAGGCTTTCCAGATCCCCACCGGAAAATCGAAGTAAATGTAGATGAAGAAATCATAAAGATGCCTTCTGCCGAGATGCAGACACACTCCCTCTCCACTGTTAAATCCCCTCTCGACCCTGTACCTAGTCTGCTCGTGAATACCGTACTTCACGTCCGGGGCGTGTCATTTCCTGCACAGTTTCACGGTTCTTTGTCTCTTATCTCTTATCTCTTCGCCGTAAGGATCATCTCACCACTATAGTCTCCGAGCGTGCGTAACACGGCTCCCTCGTTTCCTTGGTCAATAGATGATAGAAGATAGATGATAGATGAGTGATAGAATGATTGAGTGATCTTTCTCATTCCTTCCTAGAACCGGCTATCCATTGGACGCTACGCCTCTTCTCCACCTTGTGCACCCCATCTCTCCCGACCTCCTCAGTCGCACCCGGGTCTTTCATGTCACCGCCGGCCGAGCTCAATCTCCCGCCCTGACTCTACGCATCGCTTGTCAGACCGCCCACTCCCCCTCAACCCGCTCACTCACGCAAGACAGAACCAACTACGGCTATCCGGAATATCCACCAACTTATCTCCATTCTTCCCATTCCACGTAATGTCGCCCACGCACGCCTCCTACGCAAACGCAATGCACAACCCGCACTTGTCATTGTACACGCGGTTCATGATCTCGAACCACTCCACGTCCACACACAAGCGTTTGCGTTTAGCTCGAAGTCCCAGCCGCCCTTGATGATGTACTTGCTGCGCTTCGTTGCGTCCAGGTTGGTTGATGGTGAGGGCACGGTGAGGTGGGCGCCGCTGATTAGGGAGGCGACGTCGGCGCGGTCGATTGGGTAG